AACAATACAAAGAGATAGAAGTAATATAGTACATTTTCTTTTTTAAGTCAAGAGATACACATGCCATAGTCAATCAAGAATAAATTTACTATGCCATAAAATTTTGACCTCTGGCTTTTTCATTTCTTTTTATTAAAGCATTTTATTGAAAATTGTCAAAAAATGATAACCAATTTTTATGGTTAATGAACAATATTTTGTGAAGATGTTGATGAAGTTTTCAAAATTGTGTGAATTCATAAGTCATGTATAGCTTTTGACAAATTCAAAATCATTTTATTTTACCATTTGGTTGAGAGGAATCATTTACTTCAATTTTTGCAACACTGTGTAATCTGTGTTGTTGATATTTGTGTTGTATTATAAAATAGATATACATATGGACAGAAGTGGATAACTTTAATACATGTATAATAATATACTATCCTTCAGCACTGACTCTTGCTGTCCATTGTAGTTTAGTTTAATTAACACATGTGTCAATGTATAATTTATTTATATAATACATGTATATGTTTATCTCCATAAATTTTATGTCTGTTTATTCTACATGAGGCAGAAGTGGAATTCTGTATATCCTTTAGCATTCCAACTTTAATCTTGCTTTGCCTCCTTTAAAGTTGTTTCAAACATAGTTTTATGCATTTTGATATGTATATATTTACATATATATGTATATCATGAATAATACTTATGCACACTTTTTTTGTACAACAAACCATCATGTATGTCTGTATATGAAACTTAAATTGCCACCAACATATATATCAGTATATATATATACTTAATAGAAGAGTTGCTCTTCACCACATGTTGTATTCTGTCTATTACTTTAATATTATGTTTATATGTAATTATATATGTTATATGTTTATGCCTAATGGGCCCTGATTGGTCTTTCCAACTTTAAATTGGTAATTCCAACTTTAAAGTTGGTTATTCTTTAATCTTGGCTTTTCCAACTTTAATGAGAACTCTATTGTGAAATAAACATAATAGTTCAGCAAGATACCAATTTATGAAAACTGTAATTATAAACTTTTACTAGGTCTAAGGGCGAAAAGAGCTGCTCTACCATGTCTGTGATGAACATTTAATATTAGCTGTGTTCAGTGTAAAGCAATTTGTTTTTCTTGTTTTCTTTACTTTTTATCACTAACACATTTCTTAGTTTTTTTTTAATTTCTTTTTAAAGTATCACAAACTTAATTAAAGTGAAAATAACACATTGAAATAGATTTGTTAGCAATTTATTATTGCAATGTAACAAATCATCAGGGGGGGGAGAGAGAGAGAGAGAGAGAGAGAGAGAGAGAGAGCACTTTAGAAAATAGATATTAGCAGATTAAAATAAATTGCAACTCTTTTTATCTGTGTTTGTTTTATTTTTTTTTTACCTTGACCTTCCTTAAACCTTACATAAAACTTCCAACTTTAACTTAGAAATCTTTATATTCCTTTAAGTTCTCTTGTGTATTTCTATTGATAATGGGTCATATAAATTATGTACACAGTATTCCGTACATGACAGGATTTTAACTTAACCAATTACAGATATTAGTCATTTAATATGTATTGCATGAAAGAATTAGACAACAATTAAATAATTGTAATCAAATTTTATTTAATCAAATGAAACATTTTCTGTAAATTATATGAAACATAATATATGTCAAAGTTCTAGCTCACTTGTTTAAATCAAGAGATACACACTTGGAATTCAGTATGCTTGACAAGCAAAAAATTAATAAGTAAATAGATAATAAAATTTTCCTCTGCAACTTTTTAAATTGGAAAACAAGATTAAAGTTGTAAAAGCAAACTTTTTATTGAAAATCTAGTCCTTTCACGAGAATTCGATAATTTGAATATCTAATTTCTATTTTGACTATATGTAAAAGAAAAACAATACAAACAATATTTTTCTCTTTTCCTTGAAGATACGAAGTTTTCACAGAAACAAAATAACTTTACGGATTTTTACAACAAGTAGCATAAGCTCTGTAGAGCTTTTGACCGACACAAAACAATTTTATTTTACCATTTTTTCAGAATCAAGGGAAAAACATAAGAGGAATCATTTACTTCAATTTTTGCAATGATTGTGACATCTGTGTTCTGTCCATAAAAATGCTGTGCTTATTCGATTAAAATTGCAAGATATAGCATATCAACACGAATAGGAATTACCGATATTTTCTTTTTGGTCTTTTATACGGTAAAAGAGACTCTCTTCCGCGGAAAATTTCTTAAAGAAGAAAGGGGACATTGACCAGAGAGCAAAATAATGGAACAAGAGAAAACGACATATTTTACGTAGTCGGACTGTTTTAGACTTATGATTGATTCCCTTCTAAAAACATTCAAAACAATTAGAGTATTAACAGTTTATACGAGAAGAAAAAATATTCAAATCATAATCACATCATTATTTTTAATGCTTTAACTTATTCGATGTTATGACATTAGTATAATTTTCTGTCTTCCACCATCTATTGTGTCAGGCAAGCACAAAATTGTGTTATAATAGAGTTGCAAGCACTGAATCAGGCAGGTGTGAATTTTCCGAAATTTTCACTTAACAGTATAATTGTTTAAGAAATGGAATTTCATATCATGGAAGCATGACTTTTTATTTTCGATTTTGTAATATATCTGTAAAACACGGTAGAAATTAATTACATCTTATATCGGGAATCAGTTACTGATGCCTGTAAATGTGCTATACTAGTATTTATTCCACAGGCCTTTCGACTGTCTTCATTCGACTTACAGAAGATTTGAGTCGCCCGTGTGGCGCGCAGTGGTTATCTAGAGCGTCTGCTCTAGAGTTGCGAAGTAAGGACTTGCTCCTCACGTCGCGGCTTCAAATCCCACTATGGGACGTGGAGACCGGTCCTTCGGATGAGACCGAATAAATCGAGGTCTCGTGTGGCAGTAGGTGCTGGCACGAAAAAGATCCCTCCCTGCTCAATGGCTCTCAGTGCCGAGTATAGGACAAAATTTGAAGCTCTCCACCGGGAAGTGGTGACGTCTCCATATAAGTGAAAAATTCGCAAGGGACGTTAAACAACGTGCAAGCAAACAAACAAACAAAAGATTTGAGGTGACAATTTTTTAAAAAGTTTGATTCAAGCGATCCAGAGGCCCGTGATTTATTCTACTATTAATTCCATGAAAAAAGATATAGAATACTATAAAATGAAATATTAAAGTAGTGCGCACATGGTGTCCATTGGGCAACAATATGATTTGTTTATAATACGCACTTCTACAATTTGTCTGTAAATTTTAACCTTAAAGCTCTGCTATTTTATATGCGTTTTCTTTTAATGCCACGGTAACATTCTACAGACATTTTTCTAGTGTAGCAAAGTCTTTGGAGGAAATTTAGAAATAAACCAAAGAGACAAATATTTACCTACATCAGGAGCGATAAAACAGAACATGCAAAATAGACAAATGTCGGCCATTCTTTGGAAGAAAGATAAGAGGAATAAGTTACCATAATCTGGCTTTGGCCATGCCAATTTGAGAGGAATAAAAATAAAATTATTGCCCTGTAAATTTTAAGGCTAATATTAATACCCAAACCATAATGAGGGTATACACGTGGACGAGGATAAAAATAACTACTTTTTATAGCTTTTTGTCTTCGTGTTTCAAACGAAGTGGAAAATCATCTGGCGCAAATTAAATCTTCCCAAGTTAATTTTTCTTAGATAAAAGACAAAAGCATTATGAGTGCGTTATCAGTATGGTACAACACGTTGTCAATTAATTAGCACATTGACTAGAGCAGGGGCTGGTGTGTTATTTACCGGGTAATATTGCTATTATCTGCACTCCCCTACAACTTCTTTGCCAGCTCTAATTACGTCATCTGGAAACGGTTACTAATCCGGACTCTTTTTCTTCCGAGGGATATTTTTTCTGCATTGAATTCTATAGAGGTCAATTTGTGGTGATTGGTTACGATTAGGAAGAAGAATTATTTTTGAAATTCCTGACGACGAACATTGTCTTCATTTAACAACCTAAACAAAATTAATCATACATGTTTAGATCTCAGGCATGCTCTTAAGGGAGGGGAACACTACCCAGCATATGTATCCAAGATAACTTCTACTGACTGCTTGATTTCGTGTTAAGATGTCTGGGATCGACACAAATTGCCAAACAGATTTACCTCACAATATGAAAATAAATATTACTTAGTAAAAAACAACAACAGTAAATGAAAAAGCAAATATTCCATCAATAGTGTTATATATCTAATTTCATGCAATTTTCGGAGTTCTTCTTTTCCAGGAGTTTTAAAAAAGTCAAAAATGGCTGTGAACACCCATGCCTCTTTAAAAAAAATTGTCATGCAATTAAAAAACCAACAACGCCACACGAACATTTGCACTACAAAAAGATGTCCAGAAAGATACATTAGCATTTATAAGCACTCGGTGAAAGTACCGAAAGTAAATAACTGTGTACTGCACAGTTTGTTGGTTGTGTTTTCGACCCTATTTTTGACTAGAACACAACTCCTATCGCGTCTGTGACTTTTTTTAACGTATAAAACGTCATTCAGAATCAAGGATTGGAACAAGAAGATCATTCATGCACAGATTTCTTATGTTTAACCGATTCTTATCAACTGACAAGCTTCGAGATGAATTCTTGTACAATCTAAAGAAGAAAAAAACCCATTCTGACTGCAACGTTGTGATGCATCATCAACAACTGCAGGCTTGTCTCGTTCTACTGGCGTCCGACCTTAATTAACGTCAGCTGACTTTATCATCTAGAAAATCATCCTCACCATCTACTCTCTGTTTCATTACACTTCAAACTTTTTAACAAAAGCTTATAATTAAGAAACATATGTAGATTCCAAAAACATTACTCTTAATTCTACAAAAAAGGTTATAAAGGGGGAATTTCAGATGAGACCCCCCCATTTTTTATATTCACTGTCCGAGCTCAAAATTGTATCATTTACTTACCGAACTACCTAAGTCTCTGGAATAACGTCTGTAAGACATGGTGAAAATTGGTCCAACGGATAAAAGGCAAAAAATATATGTATATATAAAGTCCAAGGCACTACATCTCTCGATTCTTCCAATGCATTTTCCGATCTACATGTGGAACCGGGCTGAGTTTTGATCTCTAGAGACGGATCGAGTTAACCAGCCGGGGATGGCACCGACCCAATGAATGGATCTCAGACACCAGCGCCGTATCCTTCACTACTCCCAATCAAACGCACCAAAGATATGTCTCTTAAACTTATCTATCAAAAATAGAAAATATTTGATAAGGAAAATCTTGGCGAGTCGTCAGTTGTTGATGCATCATAAGTTTTCCAATTTCTTCGCTTGTTGCTAAAGTTTATTTACACCCTAAGCAATCTGCTTTAAACCTACTCTGGAACTGCACAGAAGGTACGAACGAAAAAACACACAATACGATGTCTGCTTTTACTGAACTGATATGCCAGGCGCGTGCCAAGATAATGTTGCATTAAAACTAGAAGCATTATAATCTGACACTCATTTTCTATGAATAGTGATTACTAATTAAAGTCCAACAATATACATTGCAGGCGTAAATGTTTTCATCTCATCCGACACGGTTCACTTACGTTGAGTTTTAAAGACGTAAATTTTTAAAAATAACAATTATAAAATAAAAATTTAAAGCGTATAGGTAATTCCTTTACAATAAAACTGATCCTTTTTACGTTAAGAGTTAAAGACACAGTGTCTCGAAGTATTTTCCAAACACGACGCAATTGTACTCACTCCTACAACTCGAATAAAAATACACAAAACCCGCAACAGATGGATTTAAGAGAGGTAAATTGAATTATCTAATTAGTGCTTAGGTTCAAAAGGGTGTATTTGAATAAAGAGACATAAATACAGCAACCAAATGATTAATAAGTGATTGTCTCGTCATTAGCCTAACCAATATTTTACGGCTTTCCCCAACATAAGCAGTAAACACACGGGGCGGAAAGTTCTTGTTTTCAATCACTCACAACTGCCCTCTCAACTTCATGACGTGTTTAATACATCTATATCTCGTCCATTTGTTGAACGAAGGAAAGCGACTGTTCCATCATCAATTCTCAAGGAACGGCTATCGTAGGTTATAACGTACGTTTCAATAAAAAAAAAGAAAAAAGTCTAATTTCCTTTTGAAAAAAAAAAATTCTGAATTTTAATTCAGTCAACTTATGAAAATTGAATAACTATATATATATAACTGTAATTCAAGAGTATTTATGCAAACCATACCAAGTATTTACAACTCTCCAAAAACTATATACCCCGCATATACCCCTAATCTTCGATTACGGTGGGGGGGGGGGGGGCATAAAATTCCGAGGAGTGATTTGTAAATATATACACTGAAACTTATCTAATCTGAATGTTGTATAACCCGAAATCTTGACTTACACGCAAAAAATGTTGTCCAATTCGGAATATTGTCTTTACTTGCTTTTTATTATCCCGTTTTCGAAGATTGGGGGGCATATGTATGTAGTTTTTACCTTCTCCGTCCATCCGTCTGTCTGCCTCTTTTAACCTACATTGTAAGCCATAACTTTTAAACGGTTACATGTAGGTTAAGGCTTTCATACTTCACATGTGTAATCCTCGTGACAAGACTTTAAGACACAAACAACTTTGACACTCTGACCTTGACCTTAGTGTTTGACCACTTAAAAAAAACAAAACTTTAACCTTGACAATAACGTTTAAGTCGTTAGTACTAGGGCTTTCATATTTCACAGATATACTCTTCAATGTGACAAAAACTTTCTTTGGATACCAACAATTTTGACCTTTTGACCTTGACCTTTGAGTCTGACTTGCATTTAAGAAACTTCAACCCTCGCCATAATTCAAGCTGCAATATGGAGGCATCAGTTCATCGAAATTAAAATATGCACCCCAATGAAGCTAACCATTCTACCATTTATACAGGGGGTATTTCATTAAAATAAAAGGAAGTGTGAAAAATTTCTGAAGACGGAAATGATGCCTTCCTTGACCAGCTAGCAAAATCAGCCATTGCCATAGTCAGTTATTAATTCGTTTTTATGCCCCCGTTATCGAAGATTCGGAAATATATAGCTTTTGCCCTCTCCATCCTTGTATCTAGCTGTCTATCTGTCCTTCTGTTTGTCCGCAAAAACAATTACCTTGTCCATAACTTTTGAATGGGTGGGGCTATGGTTTTCATATTTGACAGGTGAATTCATTGTGACAAGACCCTTCTTCGGGACCACCAAATTTGACCTTGACCTCGGAGTTTGACCCACTTTTACAAAATATCAAACTTTAACATTGATCATAGCTTTTGAACAGTTGATGCTATGGCTTTCTTACTTCACATGGGTATTAATTGTGACAAAACCTTTCAGTGGGTTGACCCTTTAACTTTGACTTTAGAATTTGATCTTTTTTTTACTTTAACAATGGCCACAACTTTCGATCAGTTAGTACTAGGGTTTTCATATTTCACAGGTGTATACCAACAATTTTGATCTTTTGACCTTGAATTTTGACTTGCATTAGAAAACCTTCAATCTTCGCCATAAGCTGCTATACGGGATATCAGTATTTCACAAACAAATCTTTGTTCAAATTGTTTTAGGTGTACATAGAAATGCTTTTGCAAAAACCTAATTTGTTTTTTTTTTACAAGTCCTCTACCTTGATGTAAATTGGATGGATCAAGGAAAAATCTTCAATACTAAAATTGTTGCAAGATATATCTACGCAATTTAACATGTACATTAAACTTAAAAACTCAGTAACAGAGATTTAGTTGTTCCACATGTTCAGAAAAAAAACCCCGTTTTGTCCAAACCATAGACAACGGAAGCTTTGCCGACATGATTGCGTAACTTCAAGAGACTTTTGGAGATATTGGTAACATCAGTTGAGGAATCCGTGTGTGGGAAAGAACTGAGGGAACCAAACCTGAACCATCACCAATTTGAAGTATCTCTTGCTAACATAATAATTTCCCTAGTTCCCACTTTTATTTATCATCTTTAATGTACCGTTATATTTAGTCGCCATGGAAACGGAGTTAAAATAAATGTGGAGTGATAGTTTGTTTCTTTGAGCATATTATTTTCGCTGCAGGCGTCAGTAAATCAACATAGGGAATAGATAAAAAAGATGGTTAGTCGGAAAGTGTAAACGCTAATGCGATTTTAGAACGTTCACACCTGGAGAAAAAGTCACGTGGTATTATTTCAAGTATTACAAAGAACCTGAGCATGACTCTCAACTTAAAACATAATATACTTGAATATAAAAGAATAACTATGCCTTTTCATTATTAAGTCATAAAAATAATTTAATATTGTCTCTAAAGACGGTCTGGTTATTTGTGTTCAGGATTAATGAAGCATAGGTCTTTGTGTATATGCCTGCTTGCGCAAAAAACTGAGAGAAAAAGAGTTGAAATTAAGAAATAGAGACAGATACATTACAAAGTCAATATTATAAACATGATTTAATCTTACTACGCCCATTTCTAGGGAAATGCTTGGTAATTCTTAGTGAAGCATGTCCCCTTTAATTCCCATACATTTATTATTATGACAAATCATGTATCGAATGAAACAGACCAAAGACCAATCGACCATACGTTTGTGATTGCGTTGCTCCAACTCTTAACATGATTGGCCTTAGAACATAATTTTAACAATTTTCTTGTACAATATATGGTACGTCGTGTTACTGTAGATCGTTTTATAAAGTTAGAAAAATAGTTATGATATTTTACAAAATTGGGCCCATAATATAACACAGGACAAGGATATGAAAAAAAAGATGTGATTGTGAAATAGTGATGCCCCCGTATGGCAGCTTATGGTTAGAATTGTATTCTCTCAAATGTATGTCAAATGTCAAGATCAAAAGTGTTTGTATCCAAAGGAAGGTCTTCTTACAAAGAATACACCTGTGAAATATGAAAGCCCTAGTTCTAACAGTCTAGTTATGACCAAGGTTAAAGTTTTTAAAAATGGGTAAAAGTCTTAGGTCAACGTCAAAAATATTTATACCAGCTGAAAGGTCTTGTCACAATAAATACACATATATATAAAGTATGAAAGTCCTAGCTCCAGATCAAAAGTTAAAGGCAAGGTTAAAGTGTGTTTTTTGTAAAAGTAGGTCAAACTCCAAGGTCAAGAGGTTAAATTTGGTGGTACCCAAAGAAGGTCTTTGCTTAATGAATACATCTGTAAAATATGAAAGCTATAGCCCAAACCACTCAATAGTTATGGGCCAGGTTACAGTTGCAACAGACAGACAGGACAAAAACAATACATCTCAGGATCTTTTGATCCTGGCGCATAATTATGCTGGCACATTGATTTAAAACTTAATTTTTATGCCCCTGGATGGAAAGATCCTGGAGGTATATTGTTTTTGTCCTTTCTGTTTCTCTGTCTGTGTGAAGAACTTTTAGCTCAAGTCAGCTATTACATGTAGAGCTGAACACCACTCATAAATAGGCATTCACCATTTTTGATATTTACTATCTACAGGAATGAAAATGTGAGCAAGCTCACATACCCCCCTAAAAAAAACTCGAAGTGCTGAAATTGCTGGGAAAAATAGTGGAATCGGAATTTCCTGGTAATATTCACATCTACACATTGTGTCCTAAATATCTGCAAAGTTTGACGAAATTCTGTGCAGCAGTTTATGAGAAGTTGCGCTGACAATCTGTTCATTTCTATATTCAAGGTATGGCCAAAAAATCTAAGTTGAAAAGTGCCGAAATTCCCAGAAAAATAATGGAATCGGAATTTCCTGGTAATATGCACATATACACACTGTGTACTAAATATCTGCAAAGTTTGAGCACATCTACACATTGTGTCCTAAATATCTGCAAAGTTTGGCCAAATTCTCTGCAGCGGTTCATGGGGAGTTGCGCTGACAAACTGTTCATCTCTATATTCAAGATATGGCCAAAAATAAAAGTGTAAAAGTGCGGAAATTCCCGGAAAAAAATAAAGTAATCGGAATTTCCTGGTAATATGCACATCTATACATTGTGTCCCAAATATCTGCAAAGTTTGACGAAATTCTGTGCAGCGGTTTATGATGAGTTGCGCTGACAAAAAAAAAAAAAAACAGGACTGACGGACTGACTGACTGACACATTGACCGACTGACGGGTCAAAAAACATTATACCTCCCGCAACTTGTTGCTTGGGGTATAAATATCAGCACCAGAGTATACTCATTTGTTACACATGACTGCTTTGATATCACAGGTATTAGCATAGAATGGTGACCCACATTCGTGCTAGTTATCTTGCGTTACCTTTGTTTGCATTTAATTACTAGTACTTACGTGCATTTGTATTTGTTTGCAAATTGCACTGACCTGTGCAACTATTGTAAGTTTCTTTGGTTAAATCTTACTTTTCTGCAATAGAGGAAGTATACTTATTTTTTGTTACTACAGAGTGCTGAATAGCATATGTGTGTCTACACCGTTGATGAACAGTGACAAAGTCAGCAGCTTTAAATAGGGAACCTCAGATATAGCAAGAGTCCAATTGAATGTGGTGGCCACATTCCTTTTATGAATCATGTTCTGCCATCATCTAAGCTTCTCATTGAAGGGAGTTCAAAAACCATGGAGACAGCATAGGCAGTTTATTTACTTCATTTGTAATTTTCACAACAATCTGGAATGTAAATCATTTTGAAAGTTGGAAATTGTACTTTTACCATAACATTTCAAATTATGCACTTTCTCTCTCCTTTTGAAAATAACAATAAGCACATTGTATATACAATTGATGGCAAGCAGTTTGTAGGTGCAATGGCTGATGTTGAAGTGTGATAACAAGTCTAGGTTTACATGTCTGTCTGTATTTGAAGGGAGAACATAATCGTCACTATCACAAACACATTGTCTATTGTTTAGAGTGTTTATTGAAAATCTGAAAATTTTGGAATTCACAATATGAAACAAAGTACAAAGATGCTATATCTAATGACAAATTACATATTATAACCAGGGTGCTATATGTTTTAATATGTGTAACTAAAAATTAATGCTGTCCTATAGATATACATTTTGTTCTTCAACAAACAATAGTTGAGCACCTATGAAATCAATGACAAGAAAATGTATTTTGATATACCTGACAGTTTACAAACATAAAAAAATAGCATTTTACAAATAGCACTTATTAAAATAACAATAACTAATCATTTTTGGTAAAAGAAATTTGATTTTTATGTTTGAAATAATGCTGAACACAGACTGATGATAATTTATACAGAAGCAAGAACTGTCCTCTGAACACTCTGTAAAAATGGAATGTGTTGAAAAGGAGAGGAACAGAAAAGAGGCATGGAATTTTCCTATGATAAAGTAATTAATATACTTTAAAAAGCAGTACCAGGTAATTTTAAAATTTTAGGGTTGTTAACTTTGGCTGTTTTCATGATGTGTAGAGACATGAATACATGTCGACCATGACATATTGGATTTTCAAAGCACGACAGCAAAGCACTTCTGCAACCATGAAATTAAATCCTAGCGAACTACTTTTTTGCTAATAATATAATAATTTAAGGAAAAATTGCACAACTGCACAAATCTACCCCTTTTCGCAAAATTTCCAACACGTGAAAAATAATAAAAGTGGATATACGGTATGTGGATCTCTCTAACATGTTTACATATTGAAGAAAGTTTTCAATTATCAAATGTTCATTTCTTATTTAACTCAACATACATAATTTTTTTTAAAATCAAAACATTTTTAAGCCTTGGCCTCTACGAATGTCATAAGGTAAAGAACAATCAATGTCATATATTAACTAATTATTGTAACAATATGTCTGACACTTAAAGGGTACACATATATACATTGTCTGTTCTAGTAACCTACAATTCTTCTGGGAAGAAATTGATATGCAGAATAAGTAATGACATTCAAAGAACAAGGATAAAGGACACACATAAAACAATTAAGATGGGACCTGAATCATATCATTTTTGGCACAGCACGGAATAAATATTGGAGAAGTTAGAGCTGCTCTTATAATCACAAAAACTTAAAAAATTACTGGTGATGTCATATTAATGATTATTTTGTAATGAATATAACAATTGATGAAGAAATATAAATAAACAATATAAGGTGTAATTTGAGCAATACATTAAGTGTTTCAATGAAAGGCATTTTATCAAAACCATCATCAGTTTTTAAATAACATTTTATACAGCTCTTGTAGCTACTGTACTACATACAATGCACAGTTTGAAGGATAATGTAAAATCACTAATTTGTGTGGGGGTTAACTTTCACTGTTTTCAAGGTATATGTGACATGACCCATAATTAAATTCATATCTTCCACAAAATGCTTATGTTGTACATTACATTATCAAATATTCCTTCTTCATCTATTTCATCAAATTGCCTCGATCAATAAAATATTCTCAATCCATGAAATAATTAAGAAATGTCAATAAATAATATCAATATTAAAGGTACACAGAGCTGCCAACATTCTGAAATGACAAATAGTAAGGCAGGGTCGAGGGACCGCCTCAGCCCCCTGCCGCTGAAGATGTTTTGAAAAATGGACATGCAGTCTGAGGCATGTTTCCATTTTGTTTACTTTAAAACATTGACATGAATGTGATCGGTCTTCTAAAACCGAAATGATGATACAAGCAAGCGATGTAAGCATTATGAGTATATTATAATAGTAGAAACTATAGACTGCCAGCTATGAAAATACTGGTATTATAAACTTTGAATGAGAAAAACCGAAATCGGAAGAATATAGAGAGAAATCGTAAGGCGTATTTTAGACACTGATTTCGTATGCCTTACGCCAAAATCGTAAGGGTTGGCAGCTCTGGATACAGTTTGGACTTGTTATTGTGCTTTTGTTTCTATACAAATAGTAGCTTTTAAATCCAATTTTGGCAATGAGATACATTGTGGAACTCAGCAGAGAATCCAATGCTTATAAATACATGTATTGGAATGTAAGATTTTGCATCAAGCAAACTTTGATACACTGTTCTGTGTCTCTGGAATTGCATGACATTGTGACCTATGTATGTGAGGACCCATTAGAAATCAGGTGACTAGTATCACTGTTAATGTCCTTCTGTGCCTGTTAATAAATCAGAAAAGTCACTATTAGATGATGTAAAGGAATTACATTATAAATAATGCATGCCAATGTTTGAAATTGTGAGCGGTATAATATTAACTTTTCCAATAACATTATGAAAAGGGCTTCTGAACATTTTTTTCGCTTGTACAAGTCACCTCGGAATTTTGTTGGCTTCAAGATTTATGACTGACATTATAAATAATTGTGAGCATAATGTCTTTCATTATTTTTAGCCAAAAATAACTAAACATGACAACTGTATTGATGCTAAATGTTCCTGATAATCTAATATATTTGATATAATCAGGTGTTGTTTTATCAATAGAACTCTGAATGATAGAAATGATTTCCTGCACAGCTCTTTATCATAAAATCAAAAATTTCTGGAGACCTGTATGTATCAATGGATACATTTATATATGTATATCATTACTTTAATCAAGACAACCCGAACATTTTCAAGGCTGATAAAAATTCTGACCACACAACACACATCTTTAATATGTCCTTGACATACTTCTGCATCTGATTCAGTGCAACCTGTTTCAGAAATTTTACAGAAAAACATGTCCTAGTTTTCTGTTTTTAAACCACTTTGGTTATGTAAGTTGGGAGGTTTCTTTCTTTTATTTCATATACCAGTGTCAAAGCAGTGTTTAAATGCAGAAACCTTAAAACTTTTATGATATGTTTCACAGCTGGAACATACTGAACCTGGGGGGTGGGTGAGTATGGGAATCTTTACCCTCTGCTTTCATCAGCATCCAGTTTTGTTTTTACATGTTAGTTTAATTCCTGTATACAGATTCTCTGGCAGTTCAGCACTTAGGTTCAATGTTTAGTACTGTTAAAAAACCAACATACATTTGTAGTCAGCCTTGAACTTTAACCTTATCTGTCTGATAAATGACTTCTTTACCAATGATCTTGTCATTTTCTGCATAGGAAACACACTTTCTGTTATCTCTCCTTGTAATATTCCTATAGGTCTGACAATAATGGTTTATGATACAGACAGACTCTCCCTGTGTCCTTTCTACACCTTATTTTTCATCACACTATCTGAGTAATCTCATATAAAACAAGTCCTTATCTCCTTTTTATCCTAATTACACAATCAGCAATTCAGCATTGGTCATCCTTCATACAGTAATTCTTGCCACAGCATCTAAGAATTATTTCCTTTGTCATTTTAATGCCTACATCCATGTGGTAATGTGGTGTATGACATCATGTTCTTAAAACAACACTTTATCTCTGCCGGATCTGGGAGTGTTTACCTTTGTCTACCCTTTACTTGAACTCTTCATCTAACCATATTACATGTTGCTACTCCTTTCGACTTTAGAGGCCTATTTGACTTGCATTCACCTCCATGAGTTTTAAGTTGATGACAATTTAAAACAATTTTTTTTAGTTTAAGGATAGACTAAACAGACAGCATGTTGACACTCCTTGGCAATGAGGGCCATGCAAATAGGAAGGAGAGCAGATTAAGGTGGTAAGGGAACTACTGGAGGGTGTTGCCAAAGAAGGAGGAAAAATAAAAGCATATTCTGCATCAACTTTAACAGTTGGTAAGGTTTCATACACACACTACATACTTGTTTCACTAAGAATTATTTTGTTATACTTATTCATAAATTAATGGTTTGCACATTAATAATACAGTCACTTTTGGAATAATTCCCCCCAAAATGAGAAATCTTTATCTGATCTCAAGATGACATGAAGCCTCCACCCTTTTTGTCACTGAAAATACAGCTTCTAATAACCTCCACTGTTCAGATTTTCATGACTGAAGTTTAAAATTTGTTAACAAAATGTAAACAAGTAGCAAACCAAAGTAATACATTCTTAGGACTTTCTATGGGTCAGAGAGTAATCTTGGTTAGCACAGACTTGTAATGACTCACCCATTTTCTTTTTTGCCTCTTACAAATGATGTAAATGAGGGATACCACTACTAGGAGGGAGCCACCTGATATGAGGACTATCTCCATCACATGCACCACCTTGAGGGGCGTGAATAACATGTTCTGTAGCATCTTAGCATTCTTCTCATCTATCACGGCACTCTGGAAAAGTCAACACAGATTTAAAGACTGTAATTAATTGATGCTTTTATAGATGATTACTTGTAGAATGTAAACAATAAACACTACAGTACAGCAGGTACATACAGGATTTATGATAAAAGTCAGCTGTTTGTTTTCATTTCTTTCTCAAAATTAATGTAATTCGATCAACTCACAGAAGTTAAACCTAACTCAATGGATGTGTCATTAAAATCCTGTTATGTTAATTTCTAAGATTCTGGGATATACAGTGCTCTTATAACCTTGATCTTTTTGCCATGATTTGTGATCAAATATTTGACTCCAAATCTTGTTGTGATTTCTTTTAAATCATCCTGTTTTCTATTGTGAATGAAGTTTAAATGAATTTCAAAACCTTGTTCTTTGTAAAACTCTAGCTGCTCATTTTGAATCATGCAGTTTCCTGGCTAGAATTCAGATTTTTAAGAATTCAAATAGAACTGAACTAGACTAGAATTAAAAGACCTTGAAGAAAGATTCTCAAGTGAAGATATGATTTCAATCCACCCTGGGGCCTTGTAGATGTAAGACCCAAAATCATGATATGAGAGACTCAAACTTTACCTGTAATTCTGCTAAAGACAGTAGTAAGTTATCTCATTTCAGTTCATTATCTCTAACAACAGGAGTTGAAATCAAGTAAATTATGTTGCAAGGTGAATGTTTTTATAAATCTCTTTGGATTATCTTTTCCCCTTCATATGAGAAAGACCTTTTCTTTAAACAATCCCCTTTACTTGAGGATTTTATTTAAGTTAACTTGTCTTGTTAATGGTGTACACCTGAAAAGCTCTAAATGTTAGAGAGGACAGACACTGATGACAGTAAAATTCTGATTTAAAAATTCACACAGGCTTCTGGCTCTTGTGAGCTAAATGTATTGTTTAACTTGCTACATATCCTAATTACTTTTCATTTTAACTGATTTTGTTTCTAACTTGAGCATATTGTTGATAGATAAATAAGGTACATATGATTTGGTTATTTTAAAATACTAGTAGAAGGCTTGAGAAACAGTGAACCAAAAAAATAAAAATCTTAACATTCATCAATAAAAGTCAGGTGAAATGTAAACTGGAAAAAAAATCAAACACATAAATCTATTCTTATCTTCCTTGAGAGTTTCTGTGATTCATAAATGTACCTTTAGTATTCTCAGCACCATGTAGTTCATGTCTATAAAAACAAATTCAAATCTCCCCTAATATCTGACAACATTCCGCTATCCTGGTTATTTGCTTCAAACTTAAAACATCTCAATTTTAAGATACAGAAATTCGAAAATCTCTAGGACTACAGATAATATCCTAAAGTAATGAAGAATATTATATTTGTGACTATTTTTAAGCATCCATTCTAATTGAAAGAAAAAATATATGGCACAACATATGTTGTTCTGCTCTTAAATATACTTTCATAGTATTTTTTCCTCTAGATGAAAGAAAAAGTTTTAAATTCTCTGGCAGAAAAGCAAATTGAATTATTCTTTAACAAGAAGGAAAAATACACTCCAAAAGAAGTGCATGAAAAAGCTTTCAAATAAAGACAAATGAGAGCAGTGAGGCAAGCAACTGAAATAACTACATGTAGATATGCAGCATGTTTCTTGTGTATCTTACATAATGTATTTATGAATTTATCAACAAAGTTAATGGACTAATAAAGTCACACTACTTTTATTAACATTTGCCTTATCTTTTTTTTTTTGCATGGCATTTTTTAGCGAACTTTAACAATGACCACTTTGAGGCGAAGCCGTGACTAAATGATTTTGATTAAAAAGAAAACAAAATTATATAATTACAGTTTACTCAAAATTATTGTTTATTTAATTCTTATTTAATTCATTAATTTCATTTACCTCGTCTGGCTTTGCATGCTTTACAACCAATTAAGACCACATGCACATAATTGACAGTTAATGGACGTTTGTTTTGAAAACCCTATGGATTTGGCGTTATAAAGAGAATTTTATATAGCAGGATCACCTAATCGAATGGCCACACATTCAAATCTTACATAATGTATCTATAATCAACAAAGTTAAGAAATAAAGTCACATATTTAAAACATTTCATGGCATTTTGCATCTATTTTCTAAATGCACTACAAATGGTAATGATTTTTCCCTATGGAATAGTATGAACCTAATCCCACACATTCAAATCTTCATGTCTTTAGAAATAAATATTTAAAACATTTCTGGCATTTTGCATCTCTAGATGCACATCAGGAGTAGATCTATGGTAGGGCTAATGGTTACTTTGGAATGGGCCTGATCCAGAAACTTCAATATGGTTACTTGTCAAAAAAAAAAAACAAAAAACAAAACAAAAAAAAATCAGTCAAATCACACATCTGAAGCAGGTCTGGAATTGGGCATCTCTTGATGCATCACCAATGCTGACTGACCAAAGTAGGCATTATAATTACATGTATAATTAAAAATAGACATAAAAAGCTAAAAAAAATTATCCTGCTCACTAATCCATAAAAGTAGGTCAAATCCAGCATCTGAAGCACAGACCTAAATGTATCATTCATGGAAATATAGCACAGGTAAGTCTTATAGTTATTTGGGAATGTACTTTCTCTTAAAACTTCAGCCAAAATATTAATTGCCAATTCTATGTTGGGTATAGTTAATGAAAAGCTTATCTTGTCATCATTGAGATAAGCTAAAAATCAAAAACAGAAAAAAATCTGGAAAAAGAGAATAAATGAGAGGAGTGTCATAAATGATGAAATACCTCATTTAGCCACAAGACAGGTAAGAAAACCGGAGTGATCCCACTGGTGGTGCTGAAATAATACGTAAAGGCATTAAAAGACATGGCCTGATGCTCAATCACTTCTCAATCTGTTTAGCCTTGGCTATTTATAAAATTTATGTCATCAGAAACTATTCCTGTGCATGATAATGATACATCTTAAAAACTACAGACATTCATTTTTCATTTCATTCACTGATAAAGGGCACTAGTCATGATGTCAAACTTTAATGGCTGATTTTAAAAATCTTTGACAGAGTGATAATACTTTATGAGAAGCTACTTTTGGGCTTGATTTGCTTTGAAGTAATTTGAGTGAGCTCAGAAAAATAACCATGAGTAAACTCGGAAAAAATAACCTTGGCTGCAATTTTTTTAATAGTATTTTGTATTCAAAATGTAGTAAATGTGAACACTTTTACACTTTTTCTGCCAGTAACCTTTCTCTTGTCACATTGACCTTGAGTCAAGGTTAAGGCACACCCTCAGCCCATAAAAATCATTGTAATGGAAATGAGCTTCCGTCAAAATCAAGACACCCTTCAGTTAATATTAAATCTTTGCACCAAGAAGAGCTTCTAAGGATTTTCCTTTAAGAAGTTATAGCCTGGACACAATTATTACAGTGACGTAGCATCGTTTTTGAAAGTGGGGGGGGGGGGGGGGGGGGGGGAGGGGGAGGCAGCCAAAGAAAAAAAACATTTTAATTACCTGAAAAAGTTGACAAGCAAAAAAAAAAAAGGGAAATTGCCCAAGCTGTGGGGTGGGGGATGGGGGAGAGGTAAACATTTTTCAATTTTCAATGCCAAGTTCTTTCGGTACCAATTTTTTTGCATACAATACTACATTTCCCTTTTATCACTTTACTGTGGTAAAAAGTGGGGGGGGGCAGCCTTTCAACTAACATTTTCAATAGTAAAAGTAGTGTTGGGGAGAAAATAGGGGAGACCCCCCTTTTGCTATATGCATGTATTATACTGTTCTGTCAGTGACATTAAACTTGCCATTAACACCTTGGGTCAAAATCATGACAAAGCCTTAGGTCATAAACATCTTGGCACAAGTATGAGCTTTCAGAGATTTTCATTTACAGTTATAGCTTGGACAAGATTGCTAGGACAGGCAAGCTGATTCCTTTATACCCCCTCATTATTTGTTTGTGGGGGATAGGATAAATTTAACTAGAACTGTCCAAACGGGACAAAATACCCCCTGCTGGGTTTTTCAGAGGTGCTAAATCATGAATATTTTATGGATCTAAGAGAAGAGAGAAATGCTAAAACATTTTTTAGTGAAATGTAATTGCTCATTATATTTTTTATAATTGAAACGAAGGCACAGCCTAATAAAAAAAAATAAACTAAATATATGGACCAGACACGAATTATGAACTTTTTCTGCCATTGACCTTGAACTTGCATAAATGACCTTGGTTCAAAGTCATGACACAAACTCAGGTCATAAGCAATGTTTGTGTGAAGTAGTAGATTCAAGTTTTTCCATAATAAAGATATGTACAAAACATCAATTATACAATTTTTCTTCCAGTGACCTTGAACTTCCCCAAATGACCTTGGTTCAAGGTCATGACACATGTTTGTGTGAAATGAGATCCTACCATGTTTATCCATCAGAAAATATGGACCGAACATGAATTATGAAATTTTTTTTTCCAGTGACCTTGAACTATGACCTTGGGTCATGGTCGTGACACACTCTTAGGTCATGAGCAATCTTTGTGTGAAATGAGAACCTACCAAGTTTATCCATAAGAAAGATATGAAACGGACACGAATTATGAAATTTTTTTCCCAGTGACCTTAAACCTCCCCAAATGACCTTGGGTCATGGTCATGACACACCCTTAGGTCATGAGCAATCTTTGTGTGAATTAAGAACCTACCAAGTTTAATCATAAGAAAGATATGGACCGGACTTGAATTATGAAATTTTTTCCAGTGACCTTGAACTTTCCCAAATGACCTTGGGTCATGGTCATGGCACACCCTCAGGTCATGAGCAATCTTTGTGTGAAATGAGAAGCTACCAAGTATATCCATAAGAAAGATATGGACCGGACACGAATTATGAAATTTTTCTTCCAGTGACCTTGAACTTCCCCAAATGACCTTGGGTCAAGGTCATGACACACCCTTAGGTCATGAGCAATCTTTGTGTGGAGTATAAGATTCTAATGTTCCTCCATAAGAAAGATATGGACCAGACACGTTTGCACAGACAGACTAACAGCTAGACAGACGGACAAGCTGACCTTATACTTTCCCCAAACTTCGTTTTGGGTCATGGTAACATGAAGACATAGAACTAAGGCCATAATAAATAAATTGCTAGATTCTCATCGAATTTTTTTTTAAATCGGGGAAGCGGGCGGCTTTTATTTTATATTTTTTCAATTTTGCAGATTTTTTATTGACCTAGTCAATCGGTGTAATTTTATCTACAATACCAGAATAAAAGTCATAGTAAAGGTTCCATTATCTCTTACTTCACATCATCACCAATCTTTTTCAACCAATGACCCTTGTTTAAAATATATACGCGTGTATTACAACAATTACCATCTTTTCAGCTGTCAAAAATACATAGTGAGAATATGCCGCAGCAGCGGCCCTTCACTTTATAGGAAGAAGAAGAAGAAAATCATGTTGACATTCGCGGGATTTAAAACGAAAGTAGAATGGTAGATGAATACCGATCCCGATAAGAATTAAGACGAAGAAAAACAGAAATAAAAAAAATCGAAGCGGGGGTTTAAAATCGGGGCGGGCGGGGATGAGAATCTAGGAATATTTTTATTATGGCCTAACCTGACATAAAACACTTAACTTTTACTGATAATTTTGGCATTTTCTTCATTTTGATTTCATAAGATTTTTTTTTATCATCTCTTAGCTACCTACTTGAAAATGGATCAAGTTCTTCAAGTATGATTAAAATATGAAATGAAAGACAGTTTATAAAATCTATCGCAATTAAAATAGACCATTTAATACCAGTGATTTTTCCCAAACTAAAAAACAGTGCCTTTGAACTTTTACTTAGTTATGTCTTACATGAATTGTTACAATTTCTAACTTGCGAAGTATCAGCAACATACAAAATTATATTGTCCCATCAAAGACAATTTATCCAGAATCGCCCCCCCCCCTCCCCAACTACTGCAAAATAGCCAACCAGTGTTGAAAGATATCCCAAATTATTGGTAAGATTCAAAAGAATTTGTACATACTCAAAGCCTTCTATTGGCTGCATATACAGATTGATTTGGATTCTTTTAGCAGCTCTGAGCACCCAACCAATATTCTGAAAATAAAGAAGAAAGAAGTGCCATATCAAGATATGTATATAAGTTATACATGTACTTTACGTGTAGTAACCAAAACAGTGTGATTGTGCTTAAAACTGTTCTGCTACATATTTGACATAGTTCACTGAATTTCCTCATAAATACTTTTGTAACATAGGAAAAATTGTTCCCATAAAAATTGTGATGCAACGTTTTTGTCACCATGCAGATAAAGATAACATTTCTATACTTTGATTATTACAGCCTTTCAAAAGAAAGGCAGAAATACATACAGTACCGTTAATTTTTCTTCTTAAAAAAGAATACATGCAGTCATTACCAGCAGTGAAATTGTGCTCACTCTGCTTGTTGAATGGCTTAAGAAAATGCACTTTGGTTTTTTATTCCTTGAATATCAATTGTCATTACAAATGTCAAAGATTTAGCCGGATTTCTTTGCCTTCTTTTGTTCATTTAAACTCTTCTCAGTGAGTGCGTCTTTGACTGTAGAAAACTATGAAGATTGATTTATTGTTTGTTGTTTATTGTCTCTCTCGAGAATTTTTCACCTTTATGGAGACGCCACCACTTGCCGGTGGAGTGCTACAAATTCTGACCTATACTCGACATTCAAGGCCATTGAGCAGTGAGGGGTCTTTTTCATGCCAGCACCTTCTGCAACACGGGACCTTGGTTTATACATTCTCATCTGAAGGACCAGTCTCCACATCCCACAGTGGAATATGAACCCATGACGTAAGAATCAACTCCTTACTCCAAAACTCTAGAACAGACCCTCTTAATCACTGCCCCATGCGGGCGACAAATACTATGAAGATGAAGCATTTTAATTAATGGGGAGGGCATCAACATTTCACTGGTTCCTTGGGACAAGAATAAAAAGACAAAATTTTCCTTCATGGGGATAATGGAGATACAAACTCACAGATAACGGCAACCCCTGAAATCTATAAGCATTGGTCTCCAGAAAGCAAAGAGGATTCCTCAGTACTTTTTTTTAATAAAATGCTGACAGTTTTAAGATAATTTAAGTAACATATAAAATCACTATATTACAAATTTCAAGTAAATTAAATGTACTTTTATCCTTCTATATGGAAGAAAAAAAATGTGTTATTTTAATTGGCTTAAGCTTTAATTGTGCATCCCTCTGATATTGGTATATTGATTGATATCTTACTGGTTCTGCATCAATAATAGTCTGGTGTTCTTCTTTATTTGGTCTCATTCCTATAACAGCCTTCTGGTATTTCTCAGCTCCAAGGTAAAAATGTGGCAAGGATATAGCAACAGGGATGTGGAAAAAGTCAACTAAAGGAGGAAATACAACACATAATCATACGCACACATATGAAAGTGTTCATTTAACCCCCAAAAGCAATGGTCATTCCACAGCCCTCATTCCAACTGGTACAATAAGTAATCCCCACCCTGGCCTAGGTTCAATTCCTGGTCTGGTCCATCACATTTAATCTCCAGCACTAATTATATAGATAAACATAATCTTTGTTTTTTCTCATTCCTGATCAAAATGTCATGATCGACTCTTTAAGAATTTATTTTTCTTCTGCTCTAAAAGATTTAATGGATTTTTCAAAATTATCATTTTGCTAGCTTCTTGATGGCCAACATTAATTTCCTTAAGTTTTTAACCATCAACACAGAAAAATGCAGCCACTTTTAACAATAGCAAGTGATAATCTTAATTTAGTCTTACACTTAACTTGCTCTAATACTTAAAGCCGCTTAGTCCGATTCTAATCGCTAAAAATATATTTGTTTTTCTTCTTGAAAAAAATTGTCCATAAATTGTTTCAACTTTTGTCAAATCATATCCCCAAAGTCTTTTTCTTTTAAAAGATATCAAAATTCAAAAGTTAAAAAAATAATTTTTGTTAAGGTCACACAAAAAATTATCCTTTGTTGATATTGCGTGAAATCACCTTCGAAAAATTAAATTTATCGCTTACATGTATAACCTCAAGCATTTTTTTTCAACAACAAACTGCTTATACCTGTACACGGGCAAAATTTAGCCTTCGTTACTAAACTTCCTTTTAAATATCTGATTTTCCTTTATTCTTTAAATATGCATATTAATATAAAAACTACTATGGGTTACATTCAATTAATTTCTACTTATAGCAAAGGAAGAGAAAAGTTCTTAAGATGTTGGGAAAAAAAACCACAGCAATAAAAAGAATAATGATCCTTGATATAAGTCTCTTTATGTTTTTTTAAAGGTGACTTGCATGCCACATGCCACATTATATTATAATCAGACTTAAACTGTAATAAGGTTTTTGAGCATTTTGTAAGGATTTTTTAAACTAGAAATTTCTATTTTTTTTTATTTATGGCAACACCGTTCATCGAAATCAAAAACCAATACACAGAATTACATATCTTAGTGTAGTCTACTTGCAGTGCCAAGTTATATTGAAATCAGCCCCAAAACTGTAGGAGGAGTCACATTTTGAAAGAATTTCACAAATATTTCTATTTTTAGTAACCACGGCAACACCGTTCATCAAAATCAAAAACCGATATATAGAATTATGTATCTTAGTGTAGTCTTAACTTGTGTACCAAGTAATATTGAAATCTGACCAAAACTGTAGGAGGAGTAGCATTTTGAAAGAATTTCACAAAAATTTCTATTTTTAGTAACCACGGCAACACCGTTAATCGAATCAAAAACCGATACACAGAATTATGTACCTTAGTGTATTCTGCTTGTATGCCAAGTTATATTGAAATCAGACCAAAACTGTAGGAGGAGTAGCATTTTGAAAGAATTTCACAGAAATTTCTATTTTTAGTAACAACGGCAACACCGTTAAACGAAATCAAAAACTGATATACAGAATTATGTATCTTAGTGTAAACTACTTATGTGCCAAGTTATATTGAAATCAGACCAAAACTGAAGGAGGAGTAGCATTTTGAAAGAATTTCACAGAAATTTCTTTTAGTAACAACGGCAACACCGTTCATCGAAATCAAAAATCGATATACAGAATTATGTATCTTAGTGTTGTCTACTTGTATGCCAAATTATATTGAAATCAAACCAAAACTGTAAGAGGAGTAGCATTTTGAAAGAATTTTCTTTGAAATTTTTATTTTTAGAAACAACGGCAACACCATTCATCGAAATCAAAAATTGATACACAGAATTATGTATCTTAGTGTAGTCTACTTGTGTGCCAAGTTATATTGAAATCAGACCAAAAATGTAGAAGGAGTAGCATTTTGAAAGAATTTCACAGAAATTTCTATTTTTAGTAACCACGGCAACACCATTCATCGAAATCAAAAACCGATACACAGAATAATGTATCTTAGTGTAGTCTACTTATTGAAATCAGACCAAAACTGTAGAAGTAGCATTTTGAAAGAATTTCACAGAAATTTCTATTTTTAGCAACAACGGCAACAACGTTAATCAAAATCAAAAACCGATATACAGAATTATGTATCTTAGTATAGTCTACTTGTGTGTTATATTGAAATCAGACCATAACTGTAGGAGGAGTAGCATTTTGAAAGATTGTTTACAGACAGACAGACAGACAGACAGACGGACAGCTAGACAGCTAGACAGACAGACGGACGGACGGACGACGGACGCATTACTATCGCATAAGCTCTTCTGGTCTCTGACCAGTAGAGCTAAAAACTACTATGGGTTACATTCAATTAATTTCTTTAATATTTAAAAGATATATCATGACTTAGGCTTCTACTGATGGAAAAAAAAATACTCAAGTTTGAATTCTCTTCATAATTAGATATAACCGATAAATTTATTTTTTTTAAAGGTGACTTCACAACAGATCTTAACTTTCCGTCAGAAACTTCTGTTTGTCAATAAGGTTTTTGATCTATGTTTTCCATGTAAGGATTGTTGTAATAAACTATTAAATGAATCTTATAATTCATTTTTATTTATTACATATTTAGTAATAAATACAGGATTTTTGCCTATGCAATATGGCTGACGTCACAATAGCCGTATCAGCCCTGCAGGGCTGATATAGGTTAATTATCAGCCCTGCAAGGCTGAAACAGATCAGGATCACACCTCTAGTAAATCAAACCTCACAAGAGGCCCAGGGGCCACATCACTCACCTGAGCAAATCGTCTAGGAAAAAACACAAATCAGATCAGAACTGAAAAGTTTATTGAAGGGGGGGGTAATTTAATACTACTTTAGAATGCCTTCATATTAATACAGCATATGACTTTGCTGTTCTTGATAAAAAGATTTTTTAAAAACATGTTCTTCCTATACTATCACTAATCATTGCTTTGAAGTACTTGAGAAGACGATTTTTATAAAGATTTTTCCTGTATATTCCTATGTAAAACTTCAATCGGCCATTGTGGCCCCATCCTACTCCCAGGGGTCATGATTTGAACAAATTTGAATCTACACTATCCGAGGATGCTATCATATGAGTTTCATCTTTCCTGGCCCATTAGTTCTTGAGAAGAAGATTTTTAAAGATTTTCCCTACATACTCCTATGTAAAACATAGATCGGCCATTGTGGCCCCACCCTAACCCCGGGGGGTCATGATTTGAACAAACTTGAATCTACACTACCTGAGGATGCTTCCACATGAGTTTCATCTTTCTTGGCCCAGCGGTTCTCGAGAAGGACATTTTTTAAAAATGCCATTACTTTTTCACTTATTCATAATTATCTCCCCTTGGAAGAGGGCGTGGCCCTTCATTTGAACAAACTTGAATCCCCTTCACCTAAGGATACTTCATGCCAAATTTGGTTCAAATTGGCCCAGTGGTTCCTGAGAAGAAGTCGAAAATGTGAAAAGTTAACGACGACAAACGCCGACGACAACGACGACGACAGACAATGGACAAATTTTGATCAGAAAAACTCACTTGCGCCTTCAGCTCAGGTGAGCTAAAAACAGTACTTGTGATCATACACATATTTTGGGGGTTACATAATTCTCTTAATTTTAATGTAATGATAAACTAACTGATAAATAATAGATTATTTTAAAATTACGGATTGGGGACATTTGAAATAGAAGCAGAAACAAACCGAAACTGTATGAGACAATAGACTGTGTACATTTTAAGAAGTCCGTGCATGCTTATTTACTTATTTTCTTCTCAACTTAATGTGTTCTGTATTTTATTACTTAGTATGTAATAAATATAATAAAACATACCCTTTTCTACATCACATCCTGTATCAGCCCTCAACCAATATCAGCCCTCGGGCCTTCGGCCCTCTGGCTGATATTGGTGTCTCGGGCTGATACAGGATGTGATCTGGAAAAGAGTATGTATTATTCTCTATATATTATCTATGTAATGACGTACTTTTATTGTTAAAGATAATATTTGCCTGTTTTAAATGAAGCAGCTTTAAACAATACTGATAATGACTTACTTGTTTGACAGTTACTGACATTAATCAGGCCTTTGTCCAGACAGTTAGGGGTACAGAATCCTTTGTTGTCGGGGTTGACGGTGGCATTAGCTACATACGAGTCAGGGGCCGTATATCTCCACAGTGTGAATCCATGGGAATCTGTCACCTCCTCGGCATAAATGCCTTCAATGGACCTGTATAGGAATACATGTACATCTGTAGAGTATAGGCCAAAATAAAATTATTATTATTCAAGCTATATTAAAATCAGACCAAAACTGTAGGAGGAGTAGCATTTTGAAAAATTGTTTACAGACAGAAAGCTAGACAAACAGACACTTTACTGTAGCCTAAGCTCTTCTGGTCTTACGACAAGTAGAGATAAAAATTAGAACTGATTGATTGTACATGTATATTGTTTAACACCCCATTTGAGAATTTTTCACTCATATAAAGACGTCACTGTATGCCGGAGAAAAAAAATTAGAAAATGTCATAAAATTGCATACAAAATAATCAAAAAGACTAGAAATATATCCATTGGACATGAATGCCCCGCCGAGGATATATTAGTAAAGCAACATGAAAATTTGTATGTGTATAAAATTTGATCAGTTTGGTTCAGGAAGGGCTTATAGTTATCATGGAATAAAAATGTAGGTCAGATCCAGCATCCGAAGCAAGTCTGGTAGTGTCCATCCCTAGATGCATCATCCATGCAAGTTTGGTTCAGGTAGGGCTTATAGTTACTTGGGAATGAAAATATAGGCAAAGATCACACATTGAAGCAAGTCAAAAAGTGTCCATCCAAAGATGCATCATCCATGCAAGTTTGGTTCAGGTAGGGCTTAAAGTTACTTGGGAATGAAAATATAGGTCAGATCCAGCATCCGAAGCAAGTCTGGTAGTGTCCATCCCTAGATGCATCATCCAAGCAAGTTTGGTTCAGGTAGGGCTTATAGTTACTTGAATGAAAATATAGGTCAGATCCAGCATCCGAAGCAAGTTCTGGTAGTGTCCATATAGATGCATCATCCATGCAATTTTGGTCCAAGTTGGGCTTATAGTTCCTTAGGAATGGACCTGCTCCAAAAACTTTAATCTGGTCACTCATATGGAAAATGTAGGTCAGATCCAGCAGCCGAAGCAAGTCTGGTAGTGTTCATCCTTAGATGCATCATCCGTGCAAGTTTGTATCCACATGTGAAGTTTGATAACACCATCTTGAATGGTATGTTTAAAACTGAGCTAAACACAAATTTAAGAAAAGTGAGGTCAAGGTCAAAGGAAAGGTCAAGAAATGTTGATGCAGTTGCATAGCTCTCATCAATATCTATCAGCATGTGAAGTTTGATGAAAATATCTTGGATAGTTTCTTTGAAACGTAAAGTGTGACAGAAGCCTGAAGGACGGAAGAACAGAAGGATGGAAGGACGGAAGACAGACATGACAAACACTATATGCCCCGGCCATATTCATGGCGGGGCATAATAACTCCCACTGCTGTCAAGATGCTCACAGATGCATGGTAAAAAGCATGAAAATATTGAATGCATTAATATCTTCATTACATTTCGTTTTTCTCTTGAAGGTATGACAGCAGGAGAAAAAACTCCCATTTAAAATATTTTTTCTATAATGTTAACAAAGCAAGCAGTGCCTACCTGCAAATATCTGAAGCAAATGCATATGACACCCGTGATTTCTTTGCAAATGGTGGATTTATAGTTGCATCTGCAAATGATTTGCTTTTATCAACATGTTGGCTTTTAACAAATTGAGTCAGAGAAAATATTGTGTAGAAGTAAAATTGTATTCCATGCAATATTTCATAGCTTACCTGTGCCATTTATCATGTTAGCCCACTTTGATGACCAACAAGTCAGGTACCTGTCAAAAAAAATGAAATAAAATCAAAAGAAGAGGACAGACATATACCTCATTTACTTGACTCTACACTAAGGATGCATTCTTTACTGGTAAGTATCTATATTATTATACCTCATTATAATTATTCTATACAACACATTATCTGACTGGTTCTAGATTATCACATGACAGGGCCATACAACTTCATATTTCCCTGACATTTGAATACTTTTCATCATATTCCACCTCTTCGGAAAAATAGTGCATTTTCCGGCAAATGTTATTGTTCGTTGAACAAAAACTCCTGAGAGTAGTTGACGTCACAATAATCTGGTTTAAGTGACACACATAAAACACATCTATAAGTAAAAAGCCTACCTAGATCCGTTATACTGGTCTATGTGTCCTAATTTAGTTATGTCATTCTCTCCTGTGAAAATTGTATAGACTCCATCATTGGTGGCATTTTTCTGCAAAAGGTAAACAGGGTACATAAATTTTTTCTACAATGCCAATGGTTGCAAATGTTAATCCCTCAAGAACAAAGGAAACAAGAGGCCCATGGGCCATATCACTCACCTGAGTAATATGGCTAGGAAAAAGGCATAAATCAGTTTATTATTGATAAGTTGAAACCCACTAGTGGTCCCAAACAATCCTTAAAAGGGAGAGGGTATGATATGAACAAACTTGAATCTACACTAACTAAGGATGCTTGCATAGGACACTACCTGTGGCTTTATTCCCTTTACATTTGAACTTAAATCTTGTGCATCGGCCCTACACCCTGGGGTCATGACTTGAAAAAAATTTAATCGACACTACCTGAGAATGCTTAAATATTAATAGGTCTGATCATGGCTTTGCTATTTTTGAAAAGAAGATTTTTAAAGATTTTTTTCTGCATGTTTCATTGTAAAACTTATTTGTGTGTGGCCCCGCCCTAAGGGGTCATGATTTGAACAAATTTGAATCTACACTACCTGAGGATGCTTCCCTATAAGTTTCATCTTTCCTGGCACAGTGGTTCTTGAGAAGAAGACTTTAAAAGAATTTTCCTATATATTTCTATGTAAAACTTTGGTCGGCCATTGTGGCCCCACCCTACCCCCGGGGGTCATGATTTGAAAAAATTTGAATCTACACTATCTGAGAATGCTTCCTTATAAGTTTCATCTTTCCTGGCACAGTGGTTCTTGAAAAGAAGGTTTTTAAATCATCTCATCAAATTTTTACAATTTCTAAATTATCTCCCCTTGAATAAGGGCGTGGCCCTTCATTGGAACAAACTTAAATCCCCTTCACCTAAAAATACTTCGTGCCAAGTTTGGTTTAAATTGGCCCAGTGTTACTTGAGAAGTAGATGAAAATGTGAAAAGTAAATGGTAACGACAATGATGACTACAACACCGACAGACAACAGACAAATTTTGATCAGAAAAGCTCACTTGAGCCTTCGGCTCAGGTGAGCTAAAAAAGACATCTTTTTGTTTATATTTACATCCATAAAGAATATTATATAAAAATATTAATCAATTATGGACTTCAGTGTAGGTCGGTATGTGGTTATACGGACTCATGGCAAGTGATATTGACCTCAGACACAGAAAGTGATAACGACTGAGCCTGCAAAGTCACTATCATTTTCTGTGTCTGAGGTCATTATCACTAGCCACAAGTCCTAAGGCTTATAACCACATATTGACCTTTTACTGAAGTCCGTATTAGTTGTATTATATGATCACTCAAAGTGAATACCTAACTGAACAGACTTGGCTGTCATTATATCACAGTGGTATAAACATGCTTCTTATATTATGACATCATGTTCTACGTCACTTTGGTGCAGCCAAATGGTGTGTCATGTGATACTATATTCCACAAATGTGCTTTTGCATCGATATCACAAAAGAAGGAATATCACATGACATCCTTTTAGCCAATGAAAATTATAAAAATAATCTTATATAATATATTCCTTATTAGTAAGCTGTGAATGGAAATATTGTTTTATTGATCTCTATGTCATAATATGTTATTTGATGGAAGAGGCCACATCTTATAAACTCTTTCATACCCATGGTCCTTGAAAAACAGTTCTAACTATTTATCAATGACATAAAGAAAATATTCAGTGGATTTAGATATATATAATACACAAACTTACATTTATAAAATAGCCAGCTATGTCTGTGTAGAACCAGTCCGGAGCTAAGCCTTTAGCTATATGTAGAGCACGGTCCTGGTAACCCCACAATAATTCCTTGACTGTGCGATTCATGAAGACATCTTCCTCCGTGAGAGCTGTCACATAACTGATTATCTTACTTATTACAGGCTCCTCCCACTTAAGGGCAGTTATCAGGCTCTGTGGAAATAAATCACTACTCAGGATACTGTAGATTAGCAAACGTTTGACATTATTTTTGTGAGATAGTTATTTTGCCCCCCTAATAGAAGATTCAGGGGGAAAAAGTATTTTGCAATTGCAAAGTATTTTGCCCCATTTTAAATTCGCCCAGTCATAGTTTTGTTTAAGAAATTATGCTGTGTAATTTGAATTCGCACCGTTTTAAATTTGCCCAATCGGGAAGAGGGCGAAAGGGGCGAAAATAATATGGGGGCAAAAATTTTCCTGAATACAGTATCTAGGTGTGTCCGTTTCTCTTTTAATCTGTTTGTTTTTGAAATCTTATTCCTTGCTCATAACTTTTATATATATGACCTCTTGACATTGATTGACCTTTGAGTTTGTCCTTCTTTTGCCAAACATTATCATATTTTGACCCTGGTCATAAATTTTGTACAATTACATAATTAGTTTATCTATAGATAATAGATAACTTGTGTATACTATACCCAGAATACTGGATTAGGGGATATAAATCTGTCACTCTCTGGTCCCACAGACATTTCAGGAGCGAAGTGGAAGGTCCTGTTCTGCTTGTAAGTGACAGTACCATTACTGTTGTGGATGACATCATATTTAATTCTCTTCTCTCTGTAAGCAATGTACAGGACAATCAATGGCAAATAAGTAAAGCAATTTTTTAATGTACTTAATATCCTTTTCTACAATAAAATTCTTTGTATATATACCATTATAAATGTCAGATCTTTTTAGAAACTGACTCCTTTTTGGTTTAAACTTGAAAATAAAATATTGCTTTATAATTATATACCTATGTTTGTTTAGTCAATCAGATTTCATAACAAAAAGAATGGCTTCACCCACTCAAGAGTCTTTTAAAACTCAAATTCTGTCTTGATTATAAGACTCTTTCAGTCTTAACTGACTGTCAGTGAAAGCAAAAGGACCCTTTTCTACAAAACTTGACTAACTCACATGGAATGTATGGACCCTTCTCTTTATGACTTCTCTACAAAACTTGACTGACTTACATGTACGTGTATGGACCCTTCTCTACATGACTTGACTGACTTACATGTAAGTGTATAAACCCTTCCCTATATGACTTGATGGACTTACATGTAAGTGTATGGGCCCTTTTCTAAATGACTTGATGGACTTACATGTAAGTGTATGTACCCCTTTCTACCTGACTTGACGAACTTATATGTAAGTCTATGAAGCCTTCTCTACACGACTTGTCTGACTTACATATAAGTTTATGGACTCTTCTCTACCTGACTTGATGGACTTACACGTAAGTGTATGGATAGAGTTGGGTATTGCGAGTGAAAACCATATTGCGATATATTGCAATATTTTACATTGAATATTGCAATATATTGCGATATGTTGTAGATAATTGTCATTAATAAATTTCTGCAGGAAGTTTAAAATGCTGTCAAGTTCAAAGACTATTTGAATTTATCTATTTGTTTTTCTTTTTTTTTTTGGGGGGGGGGTATTGAAATAGCATTAAATGTAACTTAATGATTAAAACAATACATACTACGTATATGGAAATTTTATGTGGTCACAGAATAAAATTAAAGCCAGAAACAAATTGTGACCTATTTTTGGGTGTTTAAATTTTGTACAATTACACCTAATTTCACATTATGACATACGATCAGGAACTGCATTGGCCTATTTCTATGGTTTTAATATACATGCTCCTGGTATACATGTAGCATGAAGGTGTTTAGAATAGCGCTTGTTAAAAAAAATGATAAAAAGCAACGCTGTATCAAGTGAAAACATGGATGGCCATTTATTTGTAATATGTATCTTGAACTTAACATTCATCGTCAATCGTGTAGATTCCATGAGATTTTACAGTTCATGGTATCTCTCTGTAGAAATGTTTTATATATTTTCTTTCTTAATAATTTTATAAAGGTCTTTTCTTTTAATTAATTATTAATTTTATTTTAAATAAAATTCTTTAATATATACCAGTTATAAAGCTTCCTCTCTCTCTCTTTTCTCTCTTTGCCTTGAAAGCTGACGAAGTGTTTTTATTGATTGAAAAGGCCTGTTGAAGTTAAAGTATATTTCAGCAGTTTCTACAATAAAGGAGGTTTATATATATGTATGTCACCTGAGCCAAGGCTCATATTTCATAACAAAAAGTCTGTTGATGTCGTAGTCGTTGGTATTGTCGTCGTTGTTGTAAACTTTTCACATTATCGACTTCTTCTCAAGAACCACTGGGCCAATTTCAACCAAACTTGCTACAAAGTATCCTTGGGTAAAGGGGAAAGCAAAAGGACCCTTTTCTACAAAACTTGATGAACTTACAGAAAAATTAATGGCATTTGTAAAAAATCTTCTTCTCAAGAACCACTGGGCCAGGAAAGATGACTGATTATCATCCTCGTGTAGTGTAGATTCCAGTTTTTTACATGACCCCCGGGGCTTGGGGCCAAAGTGACAATTTTTACATAGGAATATATAGGAAAAATCTTTAAAAATCCTTCTCAAGTACCACTGGGCCAGGAAATATGACTTGTGGGACTTACATGAAGTGTAGATTCAACTTGTTCAAATCATGACCCCCGGGACTAGGGTGGGGCCAAAATGGCCAACCCAAGTTTAACATAGGGATATATAGGGATACCTTTTAAAATCTTCTTTTCAAGTACTTCTAAGCCATGATTAGTGATATCTATATGGAATCATCCTCAGGTAGTGTAGATTCTAGTTTGTTCAAACCATGAACCCCTGGGTGGGGGGGGGGGGGTAAAATTCAAACCCCCCCACCTCAGTAAACTTTCAGTTCTGATCTGATATGTGCTTTTTCCTAGCCGATGTGCTCAGGTGAGCGCTGTGGCCTCTGGGCCTCTTGTTATAAATATCGTGAAATACCCGTATCTGATTTTCATATCGCGATATATTATCGTGGTGGATAATACCGCAATATACCGGTATACCGGTAATATTGCACAGCCCTATGTATGGACCTTCTCTATGTCACTTGATGGACTTACATGTAAGTCTTTGGAGCCTTCTCTATATGACTTGATGGACTTATATGTAAGTGTATTGACCTTCTCTATATGACTTGACGGACTTACACGTAAGTGTATAGACCCTTCTGTATATGACTTGACAGACTTACATGTAAGTGTATGGACCCTTCTGTATATGATTTAACGGACTTACATGTAAGTGTATGGACCCTTCTCTATATGACTTGACGGACTTACATGTACGTGTATGGACCCTTTTCTACCTGACTTGACAGACTTACATGTAAGTGTATAGACCCTTCTCTATCTGACTTGACAGACTTACATGTAAGTGTGTGGACCATTCTCTATATGTCTTGACAGACTTACATGTAAGTGTAAGGACCCTTCTGTATATGTCTTAACGGACTTACATGTAAGTGTATTGACCTTCTTTGTATGACTTGACAGACTTACACGTAAGTGTATAGACCCTTCTCTATATGACTTGACAGACTTACATGTAAGTGTATGGACCCTTCTCTATCTGACTTGACAGACTTACATGTAAGTGTATGGACCCTTCTCTATATGACTGAACAGACTTACATGTAAGTGTATGGACACTTCTATATATGACTGGACAGACTTACATGTAAGTGTATGGACCCTTCTCTATATGACTTGACAGACTTACATGTAAGTGTATGGACCCTTCTCTATCTGACTTGACAGACTTACATGTAAGTGTATGGACCCTTCTCTATATGACTTGACAGACTTACATGTAAGTGTATGGACCCTTCTCTATATGACTTGACAGACTTACATGTAAGTGTATGGACCCTTCTCTATATGACTTGACAGACTTACATGTAAGTGTATGGACCCTTCTCTATATGACTTGACAGACTTACATGTAAGTGTATGGACCCCTTTCTACAACATCTGGCTTGGCTCCTCTCTTGACTTCCTCAGGGTTTGTTAAGTCAAACATGTAGAACTGCATGTAGATAGGAATAGGAAGGTCTCTCCATGTGTTGTACAGCAAGTTTCCTTCTTTGAGGATCACTGTCTAAATAGAGACATTAGAGTAATATACTACTAAAAACTAGAATGACCCTGATGAAAAAAAATCACATTTGTCAATAAAAAAATCAGCTTCTGGAATATAATAACTTTGATCATTTATTTCAGGCACAAAGGATGCACATGATACAACTATTTCTAAAGTATTGAAAAAAAACATGTACAGAATATGCTATCCTTGATTTGTCCCATCCATTAATTCTATTTTCTTCAATTCAATTCAATTGATATCATATAACAAATACACTGGGGGCCGCCAAGAAACCAAAAACTTTCAAAAACTGATTATTTAAACTAATAGTCCACCAAAACATGGCTGAAAAATTGCCGACTCGGCATTAAATAATATTCAATCAATCACTCATATAACAAATATCTATGCTTGTTAAAACAAACTAATTTTTCAAAACATCTTCTCAAGGGTAACATACAAATAAAATTATATTCAAATTCATAAATTGACATGTATGAAGTGGATTGGTACTGTAAATGTTATACACAATCTAAAAAATATGGAAAAAAGAAAGGGAGGCTTATACTTTTTCAATTTCTTTCCTGACAATGTAATCAACGATAGGAATGAGAGTCACGCCCACGATTACAAACAGGACACCAAACCCACAGCAGCAGTACTGAAGCTTCTTCTTCACACACCACGCCATCTCTCAGCTACACTGACAAAATAAAACATTAACAAATTGGTATATAAAAAATTAATTTTATTCCGAAAACAACCCTTCATGAACACTTGATCTTCAAACTCAAAATCAATTTAAAGTGTTTACGTTATTTTATGTTCATTAAATTATATACATGGTTTTCTGTCTAATCAAATTAATTATTACAGGAAAAAGTCATAGATTTCATAGAATTTGGTGGTTGGGGTGGGGGAGGGGAGGTTGGTATATGGGACACATAAAATTTATGAGAACTTATGGTGCACCTTGATTTTTGCACAGGGATGTACACAAACATACACACATGAAAGATAACCATACCAGTATACTGTTTAAAGTTATACTTGCACTGTAAGTCAAAATGGGTCAAAAACTGGTGGATGTAAAATATCATGCAGTCATGCACATTTGTTTCCTAATCACATATTTTATTTCCGGTGTACCAAGGCTCACTTATTGGAGTATGTTCCCAATGATCCCGTAGCTAATAATCCAAAATATCTGATGTTTTCCAGGCTTTTTAACAATTTTGATACTTACGTGCCTGGCACATAAAATTTCAACATCGTAAAAAAGCCAAGAAAATGTCAGATATTTCGGACTACCCAGTTTAAGCTTTGCACTTTAAATTTAAGTTTTGATTTAAATGTATCACATTTGGACATTATTGATCTGATTTTGGTAAATAATTAATTCTAAAATATATACATTCAGATTATTCCATGAACATAATATAATAAATTGTTTCCGGAAATTAATAATAAAAGTAAAACATATTTTAAAAATTGGACAAATGAACAACTAATTAATACCTGAACATGTCGATTCTGGTAAATCAAACCCTTATATACAATGAAAAGTAAAATCAATCTTAAAAATTCAATTTAAAAAATCTTACCAATTTTTACTTATATATCACACTTAAAAGTCTACACTATTTCCAATAGAATTAATGTTAATCTTCTAAATGATACAGTACCGTGAGGCAATTAATCCATGACAATTACATCTAAAGAAATATAGATTTTTAAAAAACCAGGAACATTATTAAACAGGAAGATACAGAAATTGAAATGTTTTTTTTTAATCATGTATCAAATTTCAACCATAAATTTTAAAAGAGATTCATAAATAAGCTGCAATTTCAGCATTTTCCCTCTAGAGGAATATGATTTGTCTTGACTGAATAAATCTTCATATTTCCCAAACATTCATTCAATAAATTATTATACTGAAACATCCAACCCATTCAAAATAATCAGAAAGTTTCAATTTTAGCACTGATGTCGTAATCATTCTCTAAAAAAGTCACTGCTCTACTGAAGCTCATTAAACACTTTATTTTGCATGACTTCTTTTGCTACACTACTTGAGAGAATCTACTATTGTAAATGCAGTTTGCTTACTCTCAGGATTTTCATTTAACAAATGATATAATACTGCAGGAAAATGCATGAGGAATCAGAACATGTTGAATAGAAGAATTAAAGCACATGAAAAAAAACCCAGGGAAATATTAAGTTTTATTGCTTTGGTCTGTGCTGTCAAGTTTTTTTTTTTGTTTGCTTAAATAAATACCAAACTAGAGGTACTGTTAGCAACAGGCTCACAAAATCAATTATACCTCCACCTCCCATATGATTATTATAAATAATGGTAAAGTTTATGTTTTGCTCTGGGAGACCTGAAATAAGTGTCAGATCAAAAAATAAATTAGTAGGTCACAATGGCACTATGTAAAAAAGATTCTGTGAAAATGTCATTAAACATTCAATTTTATGGAAAAAGATATAGTTGAAGATAAGAGATGGTACCCCTATTAAAGTGTAATGGACGGACATACAGACAGACAGATGGACACCCCAATCACTATATATCCCCCCTGCGTTACAAGCTTGGGGGCATAGAAGAGTCTATTTATAACCCCCCCTCCCCCATAAAAAAAAAATAAAAAAACTAAGATCCCTCAAATAGGAAGTATGGAAATGCAATATTTATGGTATTGGCATTAGTTTATATCCATGGTGTATAATGCATATCAAAAAGCATTCAACTTTTTAAAAGTGCTATCATCTTAAAGTAGGAAGAGGGAAGGAATTGGTTTAAAGTGATGGGATCAAAATACAATGAGATAATGATTGATCATTGAGATTAATGACTGATCACTGTTCATTTCAATTGTACTGACAGTTTTTTTTTTTCTTTTGCATGTTCATGTTAATCAATTGACAATTAAGATTCTTCATGTTCTACAACTTAATTCAGGTTCTACAACTTTTCCTACAGAAGAAATTCAAAGGAGCCTGGACACAGTTTCAACTGATTTTTTAAAACAAATTTTAATGTTTAAAATACCTACCTAAGGCATCATCTATTGATTAGCAAAAATTTGAACATCATTTGTTGATCATCGTTGGAAACCCACGGTTTCCAACGATGTTTGTTGATTAACAAACAAGATACAGAACTTAAAGTTCTTCATAATGTAAACAAGGCTTGTGCCTTGTTTTGGTTTACATATAGAATATATCACATTTATAACAAAATAAAGTTTAGCGAATCAATAGTAACTGTGAAATCGTATTTAGAATTAATTTTTATTTGAAATTATCTACTTTGAACGAACATAATATATATTAGTATATTAACCTGTGTAAACCAAAACATTTAAGACATTAGCCTTGTTTACATAACAAAGATTTGGAGCTCTAAATCTCTTTTGTATCTGGACAACTGGCATTCAAATTTTGATGATCATTAGAAAGACCCTAGTGATATTTGTAAACATGGAAAAATAAATTTTGAAATTTAAGGCCAAAATAAAAAATACCTTTGTTTCCCCTAACGCGACCGACCCAATTAAATCGCGCCGACTGAAAAGATTTTTTTAATGAGATGATTCAATTATTTTTTTTATTGTTAACCAAGTTTTATTAAACACAATTTCATCAAAATCAGTTTTTATCAGAACGGCCGACAGTGTTCTACTGTGATTTTCAAGCATTTGTTAGAAACAAAATGGCGTCCAGATGTGATTACAGGGCATTAGCTCTTAATAAAACAATGGCGACGTCTCAATCTTATGCTTTTAGCTAACTGGAATTCTTCACTCTTGAAACAATTCGTTAATAAAATTCACCATGACTAATTAAGAGTGTTTCGGAGGTGTCTTGGCATCTCCATGTGAGTGAATAAATTTTTGAAAGGGACGTTAAACAACAAACTGTCTTTGAATTTAAGGTACGTACGCGTAAATAATACATCGTAAGGCCCGCCTCATAAGTAGATGGGGGCCCACCTAGTGAACACATCATTCAATTTCACTGCATTTTACTTTTTTTGATCTAATAACCAATTCATCTATGTTCCTATGTTTACTATATGCCTTTATGGAACCATAAGAGTTGTTGTAAATATGTCTGCATATTCATTCTGATAAATATAATTCAGATGTTCTTTCTTCATGCCTTTATTTAGTGGTTAGACTTCGTGACTATGACATTGTATATAGCATTTTTATCATTTGTAGATTCGGTTTGGTTCATTTAAATATTGTTAACATACTCTTTCCAAATAGTTTTGAAATCATGGTTCAGCTTCCTGAGACGTCCAGTGTATTTGCCTTAAATTAGGCCCTTGAAGATTGGTTGTTTCTTTGCTTTAAATCCCTTCGAGATTTGTTAGGACGACATTTAAACATTTCCCCATTGCTACAAATTTAGACCTACTCAGCACTTTTTTGCCATTAAGCAGTGGGGGATCTTTTTTGAGGCAGCATCTTCTGTGACACTGGACATAAGTTTATGTGGTCCACTTTGAAGGATTTTCAACGTTACTCATTGGGATTTGAACCTGCGATTTAAAATTAGCCACTTACTTCTTAACTCCAAAGCAAAATGCTTCAGAACCACTGCAAATCTCATGGCCCTCAAAAAAGTACATTGATCGTCTATAAGCTCTGAAGGCTGATGGAAGGATTGAAAAAATATACTCGTATGTCTGGTCTTTGCGTATTTGAAAATCTTGTCTATTTGATTCAATTTATATAGATGTAATGGCGTGAGATATTTCACAAGTTTAACCAAATAACAGCTGTGAATTAATTAATTATGAATTTTGCTTTTAAACGGCATATGTACGATACTTAGCATTTTTTTCACACATCGCTTTCTTGTGTACTTTTCTTATTTACAATGGTAAATTTCCATTAAATCTTAGAATGTATTTTCAAAGCTGCTGTCAGAAAATAAAATTGTTTACCTACCTACCGACCCAACTTGAGAATTTAGGGTCGGGTTAGGGGAAACAAAGATATTTTTAATTCCGGCCTAATTTAAGCTGAAACTGTGTCCATGCCCCTTTAAGATTGGTTATGAAATTTCATTTTAACGGGTCCACAAGATGGGAAAGTTCAGTGAATTCAGTGTTAGACCAGAAACTTTGTTGTGAAATTCCCCTATTTCAAGGACAGGGAATACATTAGAATCAAAGTGTCAAATAGACTCCATGGATGTAAAGATTAATTGGGTCAATGAACAGTTCCTGGATTATGTATATCATATACATGTACTCATATATACCTCTGACCTGAATTTATATGCTGGAAATATTTTTCATTGTCGTCATGTACCATATATTTTATATGGTTTTTAAAGTGAATAAATGAACTTGAACTTGTGTGAATGAGACATATGAAGCAATAAAACAAACAACCACTTCCAAATTGTTTTAACTTTAAGATATGTCAACTGACCAAAAAAATCATCAACTCGAAATTTTCTATTTTACATCTACAATCAAAGTATGTACTGTAATACTTTTTTCCATTTAATAATCAAGAATAATTTACACTTTGTGGGCAGTCACAATTAATTTGCAGATATATGTCAAATGCTATACTTTTACATGCAATTTTACATAAACTTAGGAGAAAAATAATATATATATATATATATATATATATATATATATATATATATATATATATATATATATATATATATATATATATATCAACGGTTTCTCTCTCATGCAGGCACTAGCTGCCTCAAATTTGGTCAGAAATTTTAAAATTAGCTTTTTTATACAAGGAAAAAAAATCCATTTTCTTTTTTTTTTAATACATGCATGTACATGCAAAAAGAAAATTGAAATTACCGGCATGTTCTTGAAAAAGCACATTAATTTGTTATGATGATACATTTTCGATAAGGTTAAACAAATATTTTAATTACATTTTTTTTTAATTATCTAGTATCGTTAAATAGTAAGATTCACATACAGGCATAAAGGCTGTCCAAAAAATCTGCTATTTTTTCTAAGTTTTAATTAAACAGAAATTGAGATTTGATCCCTGAAATTAATTGTGGAAAATGGTATATTGCATCCGAAACACTAAGACTTATGTAATATGTCATTTCTTACCTTAAAGATAAACTTTTGTGTTTTGTGGTTTCTTAATTCTCACATGCATACTCAACACAATAACATATTCCCTTCGTAAATAAAGTGATATTCATCAGTAGTTTTGCAAAATTCACTCAAACTTGCACAAAATCAAAGTTCTTCATAGAAATTTCATTTCATCCTTTAGAAAATCAGTACAGGGTAGCCAGGTGTTTGTAGATACAGCAGGTTATTGTCACCTCTATACCTGTTGTGTATTGTGTGTTATCAGCAGTCTACCCGTCTATATTGTTAGTTCTTCTGTTTGTATCTTGACGAAGAATGATAACCTATAAAGTGCACAGTGTCACTGTACACTGTACATGCTTATCGTCCATGTTACTATATTTATGGTTGGGCAGGAACCTGGGCAGCGAGTTTTGTTGTGGATCAATGGGTATTTATGATTATAACTAAATCATATACATTTTCATAGACGATATATGGCATTTTCTTCATTTCATTAATTCTTAAAAATTCTCCTTTATTAAGTTTCAATGAATACACTAACATAGTTACTGATTGATTCCCATAAAGTATGATTAAATGTATGTCATATCTATCTACTATGATAAAATTGATTATTCTTTGTTACAAAATGTGCAAAGGGCACTAACTCTTACCCAATGTTAAAAAAAAAAAATTTTTGCACCTTCTTTACTAAGGTTTAATTGCATATTCAGGTCTCCCAGATATACAATATTTTATACATACTTTTCATTAGAATATTAAATCCCTATCAATTAACTTAGACATCTGTGTTTTCCACAAATACTTTTTAATTTTTTTTTTACCACTCCCAATAGACTAATTGCATTGCAAATTGAAGTCACTCCACCAGAATTTCAATTGATAATGAAATATGACAGATGTTTATTTTGAGCCCTGAAATATACATGTTGGTAGACCAGTTGTGAACATGCATTATCTCTCATTTAAGCAATGAAGTGGTAAAATTTTCCTTTGAATGCATGATTTTGAACTTTTTTTAGAATGTTCAATGATATCATCAGGTCCAGTACAATCTCCTGATTTAGCTATATAGCTTCAAATAGCTATATAGCTTTATTAAGCTATTGAAAATAGCTTTATTTAGCTATTTTTATACAGTTTTTCACAAAAATGTTTTTAGCTGAAAATAAACAAAAAGTCGCATGTATTTGACTCTTCATATTTGTATTATGGGCTATCAAAAGAACAACCAAAATCAAAGATAGTTCTAACTTTGCAGCTTTTGAATACTTTTAAGCAAAAGAGAATTTCATTGTTAGATAATGTCCACTACCTTGGGTGCCTTGAGGCATGATTGCTTCTCATTGTGCTGAACTGTTACCAACCAATTATCTTGTTGAACATAATTGGTCTCCATTATAATATCATTGCAGAAGTAACTGTATCAATTGCTTTATATAGCCCCAAAACTTGATTAGAACTTTGATTACAAAGTCTCTCAAGGAGACCTAATTTGATGAGTGAATTTTACATGCATTATTTTAAGAAGAGTTCAAAGTTGTATATCATCACTGCACCAAGGTGCGCTTTTTTGTACATACTGAGAAAATTACACCTTTGAGAAAAAAGTACAGTAAAATAGCTAAATTAAGCTATACTGAATAGCTTGATAAAGCTATAAAGCTATTTAAAGCTATATAGCTAAATAAAGAGATTGTACTGGACCTGATCATTATGATAGACATAATATAAGATTTCTTTAGATAGAAAAAAAGCTGTCATATTTATGGTTTATGCAATTACCCTGGGCTGGTGGAACAGGTACTCTGTAGATACAATAGAAGTGCCATCAAATATTGACAGTCTACCAAGCAAACATGCGTCTGACCAATACACTTTACGTTTTGGTAACTCCTAGCAAGCTAACACAAGGGGAATATGTGCTGGACCTGTTCATACTGTCTCCTGGCTTCTGTGAAACCCACTGAGCTACCCAGATTAATATCCATGAACCAAACCATTACAACAGAACAGGTCCGACACAATCTCCTGATTAAGCTATATAGCTTGATTTAGATACATACTTTTTAACTGGGTAAGGTATTCAGAATACCTTGATTAAGCTATTTTATCAGACTTTTTCTCAAATGTGTTATTTTTTCAACATGGGCAAAAAGTTGCTTGGTGCAGTGGAAATATTAAACTTTGAACTCATCTGAATATTATGCATGTAAAAATCACTCACCAAATTGTGTCTCCTTGAGAGACTTTGTACTCAAAATTTTAAAAGTTTTGGGGCTATTGATGAGTGACCAAACAGTTATTTCCTGAATGAATTCATAAAGGAAGTCAGTTATGGCCAACAGGATAATTGATTGGTAAGAGTTCAACACAATGAGAAGCAATCATACTTACCCTTGCCTCACTGCAGGCAAAGTAGTGGACAGTTACTCAAACAATAGAAATTCATATCTTGCTTAAAAGTATTCAGCAGCAGCAATGTCTGAACTTTCTATGATTTATGTTGTATTTTTGATAGTCCATAGTACATATATGAATAGTCAAATACTTGCAACTTTTTGTTTATTTCTTGCAAAAAACGTTTTTGTGAAAATCTGCAAATAAATATCTTTATCAAGTATTTTGAATAGCTTAATAAAGCTATATAGCTTTTTAAAGCTACATAACTTAATCAAGAGATTGTGCTGGGCCTGCAGAACTTTAAGGTTTTTTTTTTTTTTTTTTTTGCTGAACATAAACCTTTTCTTTTCATGCATATTTCAATTCAAAATAGACCACATATCGAGATCCTGCACCTACATTCTAAAATTTTCATTGGCTTCCTTATAACTTATTAATTGTAAATCATGCACGTGATAAACGAGATAATACTCACCTGAAGCTGTGCTCACTCACTCACTCACTGTTTCTAACATTCTACATTTTGAAATCAAAAGTGAAAGTGAACGGTGTAGCAAGCAGTTGATCTGTATACGAATTACATCGCCAGACAGTGCGAGGAAATGATTATGAATATATGACTTGCATGCAAATATAAGATTTAAAAACAGTTAAATATATTTTTAACATATTTCTAGAATTTATATAATTTTAATATGATAAAATAAATGTTTTAATGTGAGAAAAATCCATTCACCTCTATGTTACATAACCATACCCGTAGCAAATTCTATAGATACCGCTCTATCGGAACACTAATGATTTTTAAAGATTTGGGGGAATCCGAAAGGAAAAAAAACATGTCGGAACTTTTGGCTTCCCTGGAAACATGAAACAGGTATTCTTTTTTGTACGTTTTTTTCCTGAATTATAGCCTTTACTTTTTATCAACACATAAAAATAAGAAATATGTTTGACTTAGTACGTTATACTTAAGACGGTTTAATATTTTCTATTTATCTTTTATGTTTAGCATCCCATTGGAACATGACTTTGAGACTTGAACCACATTTTTAAAAGAATATTTAGCTTAGGCCTAAATAATAGAAGACTACATCAAAGCAGATTAATACGCCATATTTTTGTTTGTTGAAAATGTCAAAAGGGACAAAGGTAAAAAAAAATCCTGTTATTTAATATTTATCAGTTTATGCTGATTGGAGTGTCAGATACATTGTATAGCCAGAGGAATAAAATGAATTTTGTGACATAAATGTAAACCTCTTGTTTAGGTCCCTGGTTATATGCAGGGGAAAGGAAGCAGAAATCCCAGAGGAATCATTGGGTAAAGTATAATTCAAGAAAGTAAAATGGTAAAATTATAATAAAATACATGCACAAAAATACCCCAAAATTAATTCACATAATTATATGTTGCAGCAAAAATAATGTCCTAACTCATGTTATTCTCCTCCTAATTTGGCAATAATTAGATTATTAAAAAAAACATTATGATGTATTTGTTGTGTCCTACTCCAGTATAATCTCAGCGAGATGGATAGAGACTGAAAATTTGGACTGACATCATACATGCCAACTTTTGAAAATTCCCATGGGGGATTTTGCGCGTGACGACAATTTTCAAAGCGTTAAATTCGCGACATTTTGTCGTGAAAATAAATGATTATGAAATACTTTTTTTTTAATTATGATATTGATAGCACTTATGAATACAAAACAATTAATACAAATTAAAGTTTTATTTTTCCAAATTTAAATATCTTTGCTTAATAGTTGTCACTCTGTTCTATTAATTTACATTTTGTTTCTGGTATGTACCCTCAAAATCAAGTGTCACTTTATTCCCTACAAGTAAGTATATAGACAGTGCATCATTAATTTTATCTCACACACGAAACAATTTGGAGAAATAGGCCTAATTAAATCAAGAATTTTTTAACACAAGCCCCTCCCCCACCCATTCCAAAGAAAAATTAAAATTGTAAAAGACTACATCATGAACATGATCAACTTTTGCAGTCTTGGCAATGTCATATGGGTCTCTGGTATTTCCTTGACATATATGTAACAAAGAAATACAGTGTACAATATGAGTATGATCTGTGGGAGAAAGGGGGGGGGGGGATTCAGTGTGTTTAACATGAGAATATTATTTAATATAAATTATTTTCAATATTTTTTTTAGATTGACAAACTGTTCAATATTTTTATTATTAACAGTTAAAATCAGCAGCTGTATGTGCTTTGAAATTTTCTACTTTCGTTTTCAAAAAACGATCTTTTTGGATTCCTGTTTTATTGTTTGATTATCAGTTTATTGACTTTAATTTTTGTTTTTAATATAATGACTAATAATTAAGCCCTTAATCTATGTGTTTCACTTCGCATACCCCTTCAAACTGAAAAGATTAATCCCCTAACTGCTCCACCGCTCCAGGCTATAAGCTACCTGTACCTGGACGGCAGCGTGTGCGTTGAAGCGAGAAGTGATTTCCTGTGCCTATTAATTAACTCTGCATGCTAAATAAACAATGAGACTTATCTGTGTGCATTGAATAAACAACTCTGATATTCTTATCCCGATTGACAAAATTCGGCGGTAGGGAAACTGAAAATCTGAATTTTTTCAAATCGGGAAATTGGGGCAATTTTTCTCTCCCGATCGGGAAGGCGGGATGAAAGGTTAAAATCGGGAGAATCCCGCCTAAATCGGGAAAGTTGGCATGTATGTGACATATGGGCATCAACGATAGTTGATGTCCATTGCATACTATACTAACTGGACTGTGATTCCTTATACTTCCATTTCATTCATGTGAAATAAAATTGTAGATTTAGATTTTAAAAATATAGACATAGATTTAAATTACACGAGGACTCCCATGCCAATTTCAATAGTCCTCAGCCACTGAAGTCAAACACAAAGGCAGCCGCACGAGATTTACAGGCATATTTTGCCTCCTTAGCATCAGACACAGAGACAGATGCGCACAAGATTTGCATGCATAATGATATTAGGCCTCCATATAGCGCCTGACCTATCGACCTGCCTAATTTATATTCCGTTAGAATTATCAAGAAGTCAACTCTGTAACTTTCAAAGAGTTATCACAGAGAAAAAAAAAAATAAAAATGGAAATATTTTGATTTTAAATTAATTACATTTACAATGTATTTTGAGTTATGAACAACTATATATTACCTCACAGAATTCCACTGTGCACAGTATTTCTTTATTCAGAGATATTTTGTCATTATTACAGAAATCTTAAAAGACTGATAGTTATACTCACAGTCACTATAATTTTTTTTTCAAGAGACAGGGAGATCCGGTACAAATGCTCCCTACAGAACACGATTCTTGACGTGCTGCGAGGGAGACCGGGCTGGCAGGAAGTCCCAGGGTAAGGCTTTTCTGGCTGTAATGTTAACGAAGGTGAAGGAGCATGCTGATGAAGCATGAATCTGTAGTGAGGAGAGTGGCAATTGGCATGACAATTAAGAACCTTATTGATATTGTCATTCCTAACAGTTTTAAAATGTCAAAATGCTTATAGACCACTGCACCAACAATTTTACAGTAGATGAAGAAATATGAGTAATATGAGCTAATAATGCACACAGACAAGATACAGTATCAGATATATTTTTTGCGGTAAATTTTAAGAACAGTCTATCATTTTGCTCACTTGCCATTGATGTGTGATGTCATGTGATATGTTGAGTGACTTACTGCTCTGTGTTGGTTTTTGTGAATTGTCTGGGATTTGTCTATAGAAATAGAATGTATGTTTGTTGTTTGCTTTCATATTTCAGTCAAAATAATGTACAGCAAAATGTACAGACTAATGCAAAGCAACAGGGGTGAGTCAAACACTTGCATTTATTGCACCATTTTGTTTCACGTCTACAAAGTTGACAGGAGTTAAACATTCTAGCAATTATAATGGTTGAAAATGAATTTTATGAAATAATGGTTATTATGCTTAATTCCAAATATGCAATTCTGCTCATATTTACATAATCTTTGATACATAGATAAATTGAAATCTTGGTATAGTCCATGTCATATTAATAATTTTATGCTACTGTGTTTATTAAATCACTTTCTATTGAGTGTAATGTTTGTTCATCATTCTTGATCTTGGAAACTTAATAATTTGGTTATCAGAGGAGACTATGAACAATACATTAGGTCCGGAAACAAATATACCACTCATTTGTATTTATTTCATTAATACTTTTCAAATAATGAATGCTGGGACATATGACCTTTAACCTATGTGTACATTTCCAGTATGAAATTTGAAATCTTAAGTGCATTGGTCCTACTTTTTGATATTGCGATGCTGCTGCGCTTAGCATTCTGAGGTCATGGTAGGTTAGGAAATTTTTCTAAATATAACATGTATCTTGTGTGTTAACCTTGTGTCATTATATATTGTGTAGCAGCACAATTATATCAGGTTTACTGTGGTAGACATGTATGTTTTATAAATGACCAGAACATCTTTAATCATTTTTTGAAAATAATTCTTCTATATTATAAAAATATTAGTTAGGCTGTAAATCTTAGAAACCCAGTGGTCTGGTTGCACTATTATTAAATATACATATATACATACAAATACCTAAATTATAATTTAACTGATTGTTAACAGAACGACACCCCAGTCATCAAAATCAGGGTAAGCTATTATAAATTGATATTTAACAAGGTGAAGGTTATAGGTGGCTGGTTATATATTAAATGCCTAAATTTTGCTGCATGCATAAACTTGTTCAAATATACATGTAATCTTTTTATTGTGGGAAATACCCTTACTTCTACAGTTGAAAGAGTGAGTCACAGATTGATTTGGTTGCCTGTGGTGTTTGATTTTTCCCCAATACATGTAGTTTTATTTTCAAACCCAAGGGTAACTAAAATACTATGCAGTTATGATGAAAAATTTAGAATTCAAAAAAAAATTTCTAGTTTAGTTTTTCATTTATGAGGGAAGTAAATACCAGAGTGACAAAAATAGTTTGGATTAAGAATCTAATGATTAATTCAATAACTCTGAAATTTCTGCCTCGATTTCAGTCAACAAACCTCTGGCCAGCCATCAAGCAATACTGGCAAGGCAGGGTAAGACAATCAATAATTAGTATGTAAAAATCTGATTTTGTTTTGGCAAATATACAGAATTCACACATTAATAATATAATACCAGTCTTTACAAACATACATTAGTATCTCCAGTCTTTGACCAACCCAACCCATGCATAGAGAAAAAAGTCATTGCCCAATTTTAAAAAATGTCTAACCCAAGGATAGATGAATATTTTTCAATGTTTGGGTGAATTACAGATCAGGTACAACCTCAACTCAAGGGACGATCTCTGGGAACAAGGGAAGGTAAGGTCATCGCCATGGTAATAGTTGCTATGTTTAGCACTTTTTTGGAATTGAGGTGTCTCTTCTACATGAAGACCTGATTTACTCTGACTTTTTTGTTTCTTTTTTACAATTAAAGTATAAATCATTACAACTTTTCTCACTAAAATTACAGGTTATTTAAAATTTTTAAAATCCCTTAAAATATTGAAAGATATACCAAAGGGTGAGATTTGGAAATGTAAGATACTATTCTTAAATACATCCTATTATAAAGATATAATACGTTAGTTTGAGTAAGTAAGTTGAGTTTTCTGCTTAGTGTAAGAATTCCCCAACAAGGCCAAGCTACACAAAACACAGTGCCCACAAGAATGGGGTGAGTTTTAAGTAGGACAAAACATACTACCTCATCTACAACCCTGTCTATATTCAACCCTTTACTAAATTAACTGACTTTTCTTACCTTACAAGCATGTAAATTAAATATTAAACAGGCATGGACTCCCTTAGCTAGGATGATGGTATATAAATATTTTACTTCATTAAAATATATCTGTCCATCTTTTCTCTGATTCAGCAATATTAAATACTAACCAGGATGTAGGATATCCATGTACATATAGTATACATATATTATCTACTGCATGTCCAACTTTTTCAATTTACATACACTAACAGTTCAAAGGAGAGAAATTCATAATTACATGAACTTCCGTTTCTTCATATTTCCTGTGCATCTTGGAATCTTTTTAGCTTTTCTTGTAAGAATTTCTTAGCGCTGTACAGCTTTTTCCTCAGTGGCTATACATTCAGTTTGGTTTTTGCATGCCTTTCATTTATTTGTTTTCTTGAAATTTGAATTTTCCAGATACATGCGCGTTGAATTTGCATCATGTGGTACGAGGGGCGTTCAATAAATAATGTCATCAGGGCTCGGAAAGAACCAAAAAAGCGTTTTTCTATGATTTTGTCTTAATGATTTAACAAAAATATTCTCTTTTAATTAAAATACATGTCTGTAAAATTTTGTTCAATTTCTGATTGTTTTTAGAACACAGTTTTTAGTATGACCCTTCGTATACTGGAAAAATGCAGATCCTATGATTTGCTGTACTTGTTTTTTTCTTTCAGAAAGGTGTTTTCCTAAGTTTGGGAAATGAAACAAGTCAAAGATTGAAAACTCTGGCGAATATTGTTGATGTGACAAAACATTAACGTTCTGTTTACTCCAAAACTCGTTTACTCTTCATGGCCTGTTGGTTTGGACGCTGTCAGAAAAAAAATTTAATGTAGTGAATTCCTCATTCTGTTTCCTTCCTCTCTTAAACCTTTCAATGTTTTGGCAAATATTTTGCTTATTAGACTCCTCAAGAAATTGAACTGCCTCCCTATCTATGAATTTGAACAACAAAACCGCTAATATTTAGGAAAATAGCGTATAAATCTGTTTTTGTGTTCTTGAAAATTTTTGCTCTTCTTAGGCCTTTGCAGTTTTGTCAAGTACATATTATTCTAAATTTGTTTTGAGGGTTTAACTAAAAATGGATTCAAGTTTAATGATCTGTTTGACTTGCAGAAAAACGTGGATTAGAACAATTTTTGATTTTTTAAACATAATTGTTTAGATTTTCTACACGCTCTCGTTCTCACTCATTTTTGAAAATATAGGGTGACCTTTGAGTATAAAACTTTTTTTACAATCAAATGTTTCTTTAAAACAGTGTGAACTACCCCCCAAATGATGTCTATTAAATTTGCTATGTAACTTAAAGTCAATAAGACATAATCAGTGATAATTTGTTGAATTATCGCTGATATACATTTGTTGTTGTATGTACTTGTTACCAAGGACGGTACCCATTTTTGATGCCCATTATATAATTTTTGCTAATTGAAATCCACCTGTTCATGCGTGTATTAAACAGACATAAGTTGCTGTAAATTTCACATAATTTAGTTAATAGATTTTTTTTAGAAATTAACAAGTTTTACAGCAGCTTCAATGATGCGCATAATTGTACTCTAGTTTACTGATTCTTGACCATTCATTTTTAATGCAGTGTCTCGAGTAGCCCTTGTTTTCCAGCTTCCCACAATGAAATTATGATGAAAAGTGGTCAAAGAAACTGTTATCAATTCATTAAAGATTCAAAAATTAGAAAAAGTCAAGTTTAATGTCATATGATTTCTATGTAGTATGTCATCGAGCTGATGACATTATTTGTTGAACGCCCCTCGTACTGTTGTTCGCATTGCACTGTGTTTTTATCGTCACTCTTTTGATCAACGTTTTTCATTTTCTTCAGTTTCAGCTTTTACTGTTTTATGTTCATTTAGTTCTTTACCCCTCAATACACATTAAACGAGAGTTAATCTAGTAGTAACCTTTGACCTTTCAGTTTTCAAAGCATTCCTCCTATCACACGGAACAGGTAAGTTCTCACCCTCTCCTCTGACTGTCCTTATGTTCCTTACTCCTTCCCTGCTATCCATTAACATCTCTGGTCCGTGTATATAGAAAGTGTGGAGAAGAGGTGGATGGGGTTAAAAACTTATAGTTTTGATAATGAATATGAAATACATTTTCTCCGGTAGACTGAAAGGTGAAAGTCACGGATAAAAACTGATCGGGTTGGACATTGAATGAACGTGATGAAAATCGTCTTTCTAATCTTAGGGTTTTTGATCCACTCCTAGAGCGGAGTGGATTAGAAACCAGATCGATATTCAAAACTGTGCCATGTTCGACTATCGATAATGCCATTAAGCATAGTTTTCAGGCCCAAATTACTGTACCCTACACTTCATTTACTTACATAAAATCTAGTGTACATTATATTTAATTTTTATGATGTAATTGAATCACACGGACCATCTTTACACTAATATCACTTTTCACAGGTATTTATATCCACAAGTTTCCCTCCTTGACCTTGACTTTCCTGCAATTTATTCGGAGTATCTCAAAAATTACTTTATTATTGTTACAATTTTCAGGAACACATTTGTAAGCTTAACAGCTGCTTAAAGCTTACAGATCTATAGGTGTTTTTTTTTATTATTAAGATTATTTTAATCAATTAAATGTATGATATAGTAATGTGAAATAAGCTTCAGTTTACCATTATATGTTCCTGACTATATATATATATATGCATGTACTCTGTATATATAACCAATTTTCATATATGCACGCATATTTATGTACAAAATATTATTATGCCTTTTGCACAGTTTTTTAGATATGTAACATTTATTTTGGATATAACTCTTTTTAATAAACGTTTAAATATGACGCTTGAAACGTGAGTGTGCTCGATTGAATTTCGTACTGTCGTCTGACCTAGTTTAGTACATGTGTACTTGTAGTGATGGGGACTGGGATTTTTACTGGTGCGATCGGGAGTGGCTCGCCCAGAATTACGACACCATGTTCTTGTACGAACATCAGAAAATACTACACTTTCGAAACCACTATGAGGTAACATACTTCTCTGTTAATTAATATATTGCATTATTAACGTATGTTTCCCATGACGGTATTCCGGTATGTAATTTAGAAAGCTTCATTCTCAGTAGTCTCGATAGTTATTTCTGGAATCATGGAAAGAGCTTAATTGTTATAGTTGACAAGAAAGAATTTAATGGTAAAGAATCTCAAACGACTGAAGAAACAGACGGAGCGAGAACAAGGCAAAGCTGAAGGACTGAGGTTGGCCAAACCAATTTTATATGTATCAAACTCTTACAAAAGAATCATTTAATACTACAATTCTATGACAAGTAAAGTCTAATGAAATTTTCTTATTTGGTAGCTTTGAGTTCTTTCCAACAACCTATGAACTTCCGGTGAGTGAGTAAGCATTAATAAAAAAAGATCTTATTTTGGCAGCCCCCAATAAACCGTCACTATAATACTTTTTTTTCAATTACGTAGTCTGAATACCACATATTTGTTGAGGAGTTCAAGAAAAACCCTGGAATTATTTGGATTATGAAGCCTGCTGCTAGAGCCCAGGGGCGTGGTATCTTCCTGTTCCGGCGGTTGAAGGACATCACAGACTGGAAAAAGGTACCGCAACTCTATAGCATCAGCCATTTAATGCTTCATAAAATTATGAATCAAATTTTATTTACAACATTCATGGTTGCTTTTGCAGGGAGAGTACCAGCCCTTGAGTGACCCAAACCGTGAGGTACCAGAAACGTACGTGGTCCAGCGGTACATAGAAAACCCGTATCTAATTGGTGGAAGGAAATTCGATGTTCGAGTCTACGTTTTAGTAGTTTCAGTAAGTTACATTTTACACAGCTGTTCAATTTATTTTAATAAAATCGTGTACATCTACACTTATAGATCTATTTGTCAAATGAGCCCAAAACAAAAGTAACTTTATTGAATTTGCATAGAATTTTAATATTATAGGTAACGTTTTCTTTGTTTTGCAGTATAATCCACTGAAAGTTTGGTTGTACAGGAGTGGATTTGCTAGGTTCTCCAACACCAGATTTTCTCTGGATTCCATTGAAGATACATGTATCCTACTTCATGTGTTTTTATTCAAAGCAATTTATCACCACGTATACAAGTTAAAAGAAAGAAAAATGTAGAATTGTATCATTGTTTGTGAGGTTTTCCTTTGATCTCAGCCATTCATTTTTTCCTGATACATAACAGTTTTCCGTGATGTATCTGTGATAGATCACACCACTGACCAGCAGCAAGAAATGAAAAAAAAATCGTATTTTATTGCAATTTCATGTGCTTACATGTACATGACATTAAATGAAAACGTGCTCCAATAAAATTAAAAAAAAAATGACATTTAATGCAAGAAAACCCAATTGTTTTTTTACTGTTCAAAGAAAGCGACTCGGAGTTAAAAATGAAAAATTATTAAATACCGTGCCTGGCTTCAAAATGCAGGTATTTGGACTCTCGGCATTTCCCCTGGAAGTCGCAATTTCACTTTCAGATACAACAGCAATGTCGCACACCGGACTCAAATTTTCATCCTGAATATTTTCACACTCACTCGTTTTAAGCGTGGTTGTTTCACATTTAATTTTTTTTTTACATTTGGGGGATTCAAAACTTCGGAAACACGCTCCTGTAGTGCTGAATTTGATCTTTTGTATTTTCTTACTGCCGTCTCTGACCTGTGACCGGTCCGAGACATGATTTCCTGCTCGTCGATCCATGCGTGATATAACTGAGTAGCATATGTCCTCTTGCCCGAGTGGTTGGTAAAGTTTCCCTTCAGTCCTGCTTTTCCTGTAATTTCCTTCATCTTCCCAGCACTTGTTCGCCATATCGCACGCATACAGGAACTGCGACAGCTAAGGGACGGTGGTAAAAAAGTCCATCGTTATTGAGAGCTTCGAGATAGGTACGATAGAAATCGGCAAGGCACCGTTCACCTGAAAAAATAAGAAAACTTTAAGATGTGTCAAAGGCCCTCAAACCGAATATCTTACAGTTATAGAAGAAAACTGTGTACTGTAGAGCTTGAGAAGAGTGACCCGAATACTCCATTAGTCCAGATTTTTTCTTCGACTTCCGGCAATATTGGATCAGCTTGTTTCACTTTGGTGCCTAAGCCTTCTGATAACAATTCCTTCTTACGGGCGTCCAAAACAGAAAACGGCAAAACGGTGATCATGTTCATCAAGAAAATTCATATTATGGACGTTTTCCTCTCGCAAATGACGCAGTAATCCACAAACAATGAAGTAGAGAGTACGCGGGGGATATTCACTGCCATCCTGTTTACGTACCTCCAACACAAAGCGTTGTAACCAGTAATTCAGCATTTTAGCGTTCATTTCTTTCATGTAAGGTACATTATCTCGAGATGCGCGCCATTTATTAAACATTTCAACACACCATTTCGTATTTCTCCGCATATGAGGATTCGTCTGAGGGTCAATCAGCTGCCGCAAATCATCATCCGACACAGCTTCAGCGAACCTTCGATTCTGTGATTCGTTCGGCCCAATACATTCAAAAGTTTCCATTTTCATGTCACCATCATTTTGATCTATTGAGTTCTCCCGCGAGAAAATACCCAAGTCAAAATTTATAGTCTGAAAGTCCATAGGTGTAGAATCTTTTTCCTTGAGGTTCACATCGTTTAATTGTGAAATGTTCAGGTTTCCTAACTGGCCTACAGAATTTTCAATTTTGATTTCCGTTTCTACTATATCTAAAAATTGGGATAACAAAAAATCGCAGCCGTCATCCATGGCTGTCGATGTAGAAATATTCGAGAAAAAGAGCGTCCTATACTTGCGAATCACATGCTCTTTTTCATTGGTCATGAAATGGTATGATGAAATATTCATAGAGCAGTGCGATGGAATATAGGCCTGCCAAGATGAACATGCCCTATGAACGTGATATTGATAGATCATGGTTATAACTCAGTGCGTGAGAACAATGATACAAAACATATAGAGTACCTTTTAACTCGTGCATCTTCAGATATCAGACTCGGGGGGGGGGGGGGCAAGCCCCCTCGTCTGATATCTGAAGTTACACTCATTAAAAGGTACTCTATATATTACATATAGCCCAAGCGTTGTTTTTAATTCTTTAACCTGAGTTAGATGTTCATTTGACAAATGTTGCCGTCCAGAAAAATGCCCCCGATTACGACCCTGACAAGGGATGTAAATGGTCCACCCAACAATTACGGAAGTACCTCGCCGCCAAGCACGGCGTGGAGGCCGTGAGTATAACGTCTTCTCCTACAATAATGTTCTGTAGTAGAAAATATACACTTTTAATTTATACTTTGTGTCATTTTCTTTTCTAACAGGTCAAAAAAGCATTTAAAGGGATTGACAACATCATCATCAAATCATTACAAAGTGTTCAAAAAATCATCATTAACGATAAACATTGTTTCGAGATGTATGGTTATGATGTTTTGTTTGATTCTGATCTTAAACCGTAAGTATATGCGTGATTTCATTTGTAGTCAAGCTACCTCTATGTAATATTACCAGACATTATTTTTACTATTGAAGGATGTGGTTTGTATATTCTCTATTACAGGTGGTTAATAGAAATAAATGCCTCACCCTCGCTCACAGCCAGTGGAAAAGAAGATTATGACCTTAAATTTGGACTCTTAAATGACCTTCTAAATGTTCTTGATCTTGAGAACCGACTGACAGGTAAAGAAAAGCGGATAGGGGGCTGGGACTTGTTGTGGGAGGATGGACCCATTTTGGCCGACGACGGAAACATGGAGTGTACTCCAAACGGGACAACAGCGTCCATTCCCAACTCATTTCTAGGTAGGTTATACCGAAACACGGACCAATTTTCAATAAAATAAAATAAAATAAAGATAAAAACACGGACCCATTATCCAACAACAACAAAAAATCACTGACCCATAACCTATCCAACCAAAAAAAAAAAAAAAAACGTGGACCAATTATCCAACAAAAAAAACCCCCAACCCCCGGACCTATTACCTATCAAACCCCCCCCCCCCCCAAAAAAAAAAAAAAAAAAAACACGGACCAATTATCCAACAACAAAACAACAACAAAAGACATGGAAAATCAACCCCCCCCCCCTCCAAAAAAAAAAACACGGACCAAAAAAAAAACACAACAAAAAAAAAAAAAAAAAAAAAAAAATTACCTATCCAACCAAAAAAAAAAAAAAAAAAAAAAAAAAAACACGGACCAATTATCCAACAACAACAACAACAAAAAACACGGACCCATTACCTATCCAACCAAAAAAAAAACACGGACCAATTATCCAACAAGAAAAAAAAACCAAAAAAAAAAACCACGGACCCAATACCTATCCAACCAAAAAAGAAAAAAAAAAGAAGGACCAATTATCCAACAAAATGCGAAAATGCATGGATAGAAAGAAGTTACCTAATAACAATTACATTTACATATTTAAATTTTATGCTTTTTTGTGGGGGAAGGGGGATTTTAGAACATATTCCTTTTTCAATATTTACTGCTTTTTTATTTAAGGTTGCCATAATGATAGAAAGAGACAGCTGAGGGAATTGTACACGGCTGCCCAGTCCATTAAGAAGTCGTGACACGATAAATAACAGCTACTGCTAAATATAAAATATACCCAGGGACTGTCCTGTGATTTTATATACAAGACTAAATGTGTGAAACATTTCAGCTTTCACTTGTCCAGTAAGGATTGCCTACGTTTAAAATTCATGAAGGCTTGCTCAGTTTGATGGAACACCCCTCCCAAAAGATTGAAATCTTAAAAATAAAAATAAAAACCTGCAATATTTTACCATAACTGAAATTAAAAGCAATAAGTGCATATATTGTGCCTTCTTGAAACTGCGTTAACATTAAGACTTGTATTCACATGTATTGTCATTAAAATTTGATTTAAACTTGTGCAACGATTGTTGTTTTTTGTTTTTAATTGACAGTCATTCGAGAATTTTTCACTCAAATTGAGAATCAACAATTTAATGTGACAGCTAAGGGACGGCGGTAAAAAGGTCCATCATTATTGAGAGCTTCGAGATAGGTACGATAGAAATCGGCAAGACACCGTTCACCTGAAAAAATAAGAAAACTTTAAGATGTGTCAAAGGCCCTCAAACCGAATATCTTACAGTTATAGAAGAAAACTGTGTACTGTAGAGTTTGAGAAGAGTGACCCGAATACTCCATTAGTCCAGATTTTTTCTTCAACTTCCGGCAATATTGGGTCAGCTTGTTTCACTTTGGTGCCTAAGCCTTCTGATAACAATTCCTTCTTACGGGCGTCCAAAACTTTACAGAAAACGGCAAAACGGTGATCATGTTCATCAAGAAAATTCATATTATGGACGTTTTCCTCTCGCAAATGACGCAGTAATCCACAAACATTGAAGTAGAGAGTACGCTGGGGATATTCACTGCCATCCTGTTTACGTACCTCCAACACAAAGCGTTGTAACCAGTAATTCAGCATTTTAGCGTTCATTTCTTTCATGTAAGGTACATTATCTCGAGATGCGCGCCATTTATTAAACATTTCAACACACCATTTCGTATTTCTCCGCGTATTAGGATTTTTCTGAGAGTCAATCAGCTGCCGCAAATCATCATCCGACACAGCTTCAGCGAACCTTCGATTCTGTGATTCGTTCGGCCCAATACATTCAAAAGTTTCCATTTTCATGTCACCATCATTTTGATCTATTGAGTTCTCCCGCGAGAAAATACCCAAGTCAAAATTTACGGTCTGAAAGTCCATAGGTGTAGAATCTTTTTCCTTGAGGTTCGTTTAATTGTGAAATGTTTAGGTTTCCTAACTGGCCTACAGAATTTTCAATTTTGATTTCCGTTTCTACCATATCTAAAAATTGGGATAACAAAAAATCGCAGCCGTCATCCATGGCTGTCGATGTAGAAGAGCGCCCTATACTTGCGAATCACGTGCTCTTTTTTCATTGGTCATGAAATGGTATGATGAAATTTTCATAGAGCAGTGCGATGGAATATAGGCCTGCCAAGATGAACATGCCCTATGAACGTGATATTGATAGATCATGGTTATAACTCAGTGCGTGAGAACAATGATACAAAACATATAGAGTACCTTTTAACTCGTGCATCTTCAGATATCAGACTCGGGGGGCAAGCCCCCTCGTCTGATATCTGAAGATACACTCATTAAAAGGTACTCTATATATTACATATAGCCCAAGCGTTGTTTTTAATTCTTTAACCTGAGTTAGATGTTCATTTGACAAATGTTGCCGTCCAGAAAAATGCCCCCGATTACGACCCTGACAAGGGATGTAAATGGTCCACCCAACAATTACGGAAGTACCTCGCCGCCAAGCACGGCGTGGAGGCCGTGAGTATAACGTCTTCTCCTACAATAATGTTCTGTAGTAGAAAATATACACTTTTAATTTATACTTTGTGTCATTTTCTTTTCTAACAGGTCAAAAAAGCATTTAAAGGGATTGACAACATCATCATCAAATCATTACAAAGTGTTCAAAAAATCATCATTAACGATAAACATTGTTTCGAGATGTATGGTTATGATGTTTTGTTTGATTCTGATCTTAAACCGTAAGTATATGCGTGATTTTCATTTGTAGTCAAGCTACCTCTATGTAATATTACCAGACATTATTTTTACTATTGAAGGATGTGGTTTGTATATCCTCTATTACAGGTGGTTAATAGAAATAAATGCCTCACCCTCGCTCACAGCCAGTGGAAAAGAAGATTATGACCTTAAATTTGGACTCTTAAATGACCTTCTAAATGTTCTTGACCTTGAGAACCGACTGACAGGTAAAGAAAAGCGGATAGGGGGCTGGGACTTGTTGTGGGAGGATGGACCCATTTTGGCCGACGACGGAAACATGGAGTGTACTCCAAACGGGACAACAGCGTCCATTCCCAACTCATTTCTAGGTAGGTTATACCGAAACACGGACCAATTTTAAAAAAAAATAAAATAAAATAAAGATAAAAACACGGACCCATTATCCAACAACAACAAAAAATCACTGACCCATAACCTATCCAAACAAAAAAAAAAACGTGGACCAATTATCCAACAAAAAAAACCCCCCAAAACCACGGACCTATTACCTATCCAACCAAAAACAAAACACGGACCAATTATACAACAACAAAAAACACGGACCCATTACCTATCAAACAAAAAAAAAAAAACACGGACCAATTATCCAACAACCCCCCCCCCAAAAAAAAAAAACCAAGGACCTACCAGGGTATTACCTATCCAACCAAAAAAAAAACACGGACCAATTATCCAACAACAACAACAACAACAACAACAAAAAACACGGACCCATTACCTATCCAACCAAAAAAAAAAAAAAACACGGACCAATTATCCAACAAGAAAAAAAAAAAAACACGGACCCATTACCTATCCAACCAAAAAAAAAAAAAACAAAAAAAAAACAAAAAAAAAAAAACAAGGACCAATTATCCAACAAAATGCGAAAATGCATGGATAGAAAGAAGTTACCTAATAACAATTACATTTACATATTTAAATTTTATGCTTTTTTGTGGGGGAAGGGGGACTTTAGAACATATTCCTTTTTCAATATTTACTGCTTTTTTATTTAAGGTTGCCATAACGATAGAAAGAGACAGCTGAGGGAATTGTACACGGCTGCCCAGTCCATTAAGAAGTCGTGACACGATAAATAACAGCTACTGCTAAATATAAAATATACCCAGGGACTGTCCTGTGATTTTATATACAAGACTATATGTGTGAAACATTTCAGCTTCCACTTGTCCAGTAAGGATTGCCTACGTTTAAAATTCATGAAGGCTTGCTCAGTATGATGGAACCCCCCCTCCCAAAGATTGAAATCTTAAAAATAAAAAAAAAACCTGCAATATTTTACCATAACTAAAATTAAAAGCAATAAGTGCATATATTGTGCCTTCTTGAAACTGCGTTAACATTCAGACTTGTATTCACATGTATTGTCATTAAAATTTGAATTAGACTTGTGCAACGATTGTTGTTTGTTCGTTTGTTTTTAATTGACGGTCATTCGAGAATTTTTCACTCAAATTGAGAATCAACAATTTAATGTGTATATTAGGATTAGGAATGAAAACTTATAAAAAGTTAACGCATTTATTTCATATCTTAAAAGTTGTCAAAATACAAACATGGAGAAGCAAGATAATTTGTACTATAATAATAGTTCAAAACCGGGTAATGTAATTATGATCTTGCAGTAAAAAACTGTACAACATTAAAATTTGTTTAACATTGAGAAAAAAGCTACACAAATAAGTGCATTATTTAATCTCGGATTTAAAAATACAAAGACGTATTGCACAACAAATATTGCATCTATGATGGATTATGTAACAATGAATAAATATAGCTTTTACAAATACAATGTATATATACAAAACAGAAAATAAAATATCCAGTACTGAAAGCAAGAATATTGCTGTTTGATGGTTGTAGTAATTTAAGCATTCAAAAACACCTTTTAGATGTGTTTCTGTCACTGTTCATGATACCTCAATTTTTAATGATCCCTTGGGTGAAGGAAAAGTTTGCATTTCCTCCTCATATGCAGAATGTAATTTTGTAACCTCAGATGTTTATCTCTTGTTTAAAGTCTTGTTGATTCTTTCACACTATCATCGTCTGTTTCATCTTCAACAAGAACACGAAGCTCATCTCCAGATTTCTGATCTTCTTCTCCCGACTGCGGAACTAGAGAAGAGATTCCGGGGATGGACAAGGCACGCTCTCTAAAAGCAGCAGGCATCGGCTCCAACATTCCCGCCGTGGAGAAATCCTCTCTGAGCAAGTCATACTCCTCATGAATACTCCCCACAGAGTCCGAGTCCTCGGTCGCCGCTACCTCGGACTCGTCAGACTCTTTCAGAGCAAGTTTTGCTTTCTGTTCGAGAATGTCTTTCCTGCTGACCTCCTTCCGGTCGAGGGTCCCTTCAGGAGTTCCATGGTCCTGACCGGGAGTCTTCTGAAGACTGATAATGCTGGGGGGTCTAGACAGAGACCTGTCGGATTTCGACTTGATGACAATCTTATCACTAGTACTTGTCTGTGATTTTACATTGTCATTTCCGTTCTCTTCGTCCTGAATTCCAAACATGAACTGACGGTGCTTTTCTTGCCACCGCTTCTGTTTCATTTTTTCTGCTCTACGTTTCTTTTCCGTTTCCTGCAATGCAAAGTGGATAATTCGGAATATTGTATGCATGGTTATTTTCGTCCCCCTCTATTTTCGACCTTTCACACTTGCAAACAATTTTGCCCTGTCTTAAATTCGCCCTGTGATCTTTAAAAGAAATCAACAGTAATTTGCATAGCGTAAATTAATGTATATTATATATTACCTCCTCTTTCTGCTTCAAAGCTATTGATGTGACCCTATTTAAGAGTTCGTCTATTTTGGACTCCGTTGAGTCGGTGTCTATGGAAGTAAGGCATAGGGCTCGGTTCATCGGAAAGAAATCATAATTCTCCAACGCAACCTATAAAATGTTGCAATTTATCAATATGAGAATTTTAGAAAATTGTGAAATAGATGTGTTTGTTGATGTAAAGGTTGTATTGGCATTTGGCTTTACTCACAAGTTTGTGGACGTAAAGTTCTAACGCTGTGAAGTCACTTGTCTTTACATCCTCCAGATGTATCAAGAAAAATACGTAAGCCCACATGTTGTGTTCATTGCGAACATGGTGGTCAAATCCCTGATTTAAAACAGAAATAATGGTGGTCAAATCCCTGATTTAAAACAGAAATAAAGCTTCTTGCATAGTTCAAATGAATCTCATATAATTTTATATTACTAGTCACCCCTACTAATGTGTTCGGAACCTTTTATTTTTCGGTGTTCTTCAAATTATAAAGCCCGATGTGTTCTGAGTAGCTCTGGCAGTGGCTCTGGCGAGAGTTAGCGAGACTACAGCGAGATAGGGTAAATTATTCACGGAAATGTGGCTAGGAAGTGACTAGCACGTGGAGATATGGTAAACAGAAAAGTTATGTTGCATTTCAGTTTTCACCACCCTATAATATCTGTAGAAATGTACTCAATCGATCTCTCTTACATTCATTTAAACTCAAATAAGTATTCTTTATAATACACTTTTCTGCAGTAATGAATTAAAATTTCTCTCTGGACAAAATTTTGCATGGGAACCGGGACTATATTTTTGGCGTCAGATTAGCAAATGCGGCACCAACATGACTTTGAATGACCAATCAGCTGAATGAGAATTGCATTATGGGTTACTACGAATACTATGGGAATTTTACACTTGAAAGAAAAGGACACCATGGAAGTAAATGAAAAGCATTTCTTAAAATTCTATTCATTTCATGCTCACAATTACAAAAAAGTCATTTGAATAAATGGTGGAAGGCTAGGTTTCTCAAAGTCATACTGCAAAAAAAAAAACGATTTTGTGCTGTCTTAATTCCTTTGTTGTACTATCAGTGAATACAATTGTCAGGTGGATTCCCCGGCCACGTGATCAAGAGTATAGTTATGTAGACAAAGTTCTGTCCATTTAAATGCTTACTTGAAGCGCTGGTGTTCTTAAGTAGACACAAAATACATTTTATTAAACATTTTTTTCTAGCTAACAAAAAATTTTCCATAGTTTCTAATCTTTGTATTTTGTTCATTAGAATATTTTTTTTTTGATTTTGCACTCCATTGACACAATCACAGATTGACCTGAACCACGTGTTCGAAGTAAAAATAAATTTAGCGTAAACGTTGCTATTCATTGGTTAGTTGCTCGTGGTAAGATACTCTGTGCGCATTTATAACAATAGCCATATAAGGCAAACAAAGGTCTGTCAGTGTGGATGAAATTACACATATTTTTTATTAGCGCATCGGTCGCTAGTGAGCTCTAATTTTCGTCATTATGTATGATACATTTTTATTTTAACCCCCCCCCCCTTTTTAGCCACCCTATTTCTGTTGAAAATCATGTAAGTCTTTCAAAAAGGTCTAGAATCACATTTTTAAAGGACATGTTTTCAAAAGAAAAAGACTATAGCAATTTCCTGTTTACTGGTAATTCTATTTATAAAACCGGTTCTACCCTATAATCCTTGAATAGGTCAACCTAAACCACGTGTCTTGAATTTAAATCACTATAACATTAGTAGGGGTGTAGTAATAAATGAGAATTTGACCGTACCTTCCCCGTGTGTTCAAAATCATAACTATTTCTGCTGCAAATAAAGCATGTGTCCTTCATGTCAGATTCAGCTCGCCACTGAAAGGGAGGTTTTAAATAGTGATTACTTATATACCTAATCAATTAATTATTGAATATTCACGGATATAAGTGTAGTAATGTGTACCTTTAGATCACGTAACTCCGAGAATGTGTCGACGATGATACCAAAAATTATGTTAAGACCAATGGTGGTGATGAATATGAAGAAAGACACGTGGTACAGAACAAGAGGCCAAAACGAGTCAAAAGTATCATTCCTTCCATTTTGCTTGACAGACTGAAAAAATAAAATGAGAAACTTTAGAAAAATCGGCGTAACGATGGTTATTTAATTCTAATAGTTTAAGATTTTGTGACATCATTAATTTGAATATTATAGAATACTTACATCGAACATGTCCCCAATAAGTCCATAACGAATGACTGTGATGGTGCATTGCCATAAAGTAGAACAGTACAGAAACTCGCCAGGAGAGAAGAAAGCACGAAGTAACGAAAAACCAACAAGTGCATAAATATATATCACAATAAGTCCAAGAATAGCCACCCACAGTAATGAAATTCCTGAAAAAGAAATTGACAGCAAACATTCGTTGAAATAAAGCCTTAACCTAGAAGCTGAGGAGACTTCATAATAGGGCTTTACCATTGAGAGTTCATGGATGAGATTCCATTTAATAGGGGACTTTATCATTTAGAGTTCCGAATGGGACTTTGTAAGAGGACTTTATAAGCGAGAGTGATGGATGAGCCTTTATAAAAAGACTTTACCATTAAGATTGATGGATGAGACTTTATAAGAAGACTTTACCATTAAGATTGATGGATGAGATTTTATAAGAAGACTTTACCATTAAGATTGATGGATGCGATTATATAAGAAGACTTTACCATTAAGATTGATGGATGAGATTTTATAAGAGGACTTAAGAGGGCGACCGATAAGGTTTTATAAGAGGACTTTACCATTGAGAGTGACGGCTTTTATGACTCCACTGAGAAGCTGGTTGTTGTTGACAATGTTCAAGAGATGGAATGCGAAAAAATATCCGTGAAAAAATGTCCCAGCCGCTGACATTGCTAGGAATAACTGAAAGAAGAATTTAAAATGATTCATAGAAAAGGGAAGCCGATATCATATTATTGATTTCTAAATTGAAATGATAAATTACCATATAATAAAATGTGGTGAAGCTAAAGAATTTAACATCTAGTTTAGAAATTTCATCCGCCTTTTTCTGTTGAAGGTCTCCATTGTTTTTCTTTCCTCCACCACAAAGCATTCTGCGAAACAAGAAAAGACTGGGTTACAGAGGCAGAATTACATATAATGTCTACGAAGGAATGGAATTAGCATTATATACTGGATTTTTTCTTCAGTGAAATCCTCAAATACCTGAAGGGAGCTTTTATCTCCTCTTTGGTAGGAAGTCGAGGGTGGTTGGACAAGAAGTAACTGATGAGGACAAACAAGGACAGAAGATTGTGTGTACCTCCCAGTGCATACATGGTCAGTATGTAATGGTCAAGAGGGATGAGTACAATCTTAGGAGTTGGACTAAAATATACAAATGATGTCATTTTATTGCATTCAGAAAAAAAACAATCTAAACATCATATTTAAATTTCATTTAAATTTATTATATAACAACAAAACATAAAACACTATACAACGTACTCTTGGAGCAGCGCCCAGCTTAATGTCTGGTTTGTACCGTTGACGACCTTTCCGTAGTCCTCAAGAGAGGCTTTTGCATTCCAAGTCACCAACATGAGCAGATTGATAGCAAGGCTCAGTATGGTCGCTCCATGATTCCAAAGCAACCTATAATAATAAAAGAATCTAGGGTATTGCTATTTATCACTTGCAATCTCTTTTTGTTCAACAAAAATATATGTTTTGCAATAATGACTATTAATGTACATTAGAATGAAAACCCAATGAGAAGAATGTATTGATAGTTGAATAAGAAAAAAAAATCAGGCGATTATGCTTTACCATCCTTTTGTAAACATCATGGCTATTGGATTGCAGAGAATTTTTCTCTGGTAGGAAATATCCTGCATAATGTCACGTGTCCATTTCATTAGATCTCGGATTTTATTGCTCGGCGATGTACGATCCACATTCCACTTCAAATTCTCTTTCACTTCTTCTCGAAGAAAATTCTGGAAAGAAGGAATCAGCAAATTCATTCTTCCCATAGATCTGTGTTGATAATAAATATCAATTCAATAATCATTTTTTTGTAGTCCTACCTTATTTTTCACACGGAAATTTACTTTCTGCAAAACGTCATCCTTGATGATTTCAATTGAAAGCGAATTTTTTTTGTAGAATTCATATGCTTTTGCTTGATCTGGGGTTATCTGCAGAGCTGCAACAAGAAGAAAAAACTAGAAAAATGTTATTTCAAATCAATGGATGAAAGTTTAATGTTTCGAAATAAAGCCAGGACGTACTTGCACCCATTAGAGGATCGATGTCTTGCATTCTAGCTAGAATCAGGAAGAACGTGAAGCCAACTTCCATTAAGGTATCCCTCAACTGGTTCTTCTGCGAACCCTGCCATAAAAATACACATTGTAACATGTTTGAATTTAATTAAAAGTAAAAAACGTGCATCAACCGTCGCAAAACAAACCCAAAATGTACAATCCTCCTCCATTCTGGTCGTGGTTGAATGAGAAGGGATTATTGACCAATGAGAATAAGCATAGTCGGAAAATAAACTTTAACGCTACCTTTTAATCCTCAATCGCAGGTCTTCAATTTTCTTTGATTTTCTGATTTCTTTAATTGTTGATTTTAATTAGCATAGAGGCGTAAGTATTTAAGATTACGACAATTCATGTGATCAAGCAGTCACTGATAGTCGACAGCTACGTGCCGGTATGCGGACTCCGAACAGTGACTTGAGATAATAACGTGCACCACATATAGGTAAAGCTTTTAAAACTCGTAAGATTTACCACAAATCCTTGAATTATACTGCCTCCCACAACAGCCAATGAACGAGCAGATTTCAGAACACTCCCGTCCTCGGTTGGAGACAGATCCTCAAGAGAAGGTTTCTCTGATTGGTGGGCCTCATAACACAACGTCATACAGCGAAATATTGCCCCCTTATCCAGCGTATCTTTCACCTCCTATAACAATATTAATATTTTTTTAATAATAGATCACAGCAAAGCAAGGGACCTAAGGTGACAAGTTATATATAGTTTGTGGAATTCGAATGTGATTACCTTAGCAACCTGTGACTTTCCTGGTCCATTCTCTTCGATTAAGGAGATGATCACTGAGGCAATCGCGTGTCGTAGCTCGAGAATCTAGATCAGGCAGAATTTTAAAGAAATTATTAGTTTAGTATAAGAAGAAAAAATCAACACGTAGAATGGCAGAGAATCTGACTCACCTTTTCTGGTGAACAATCTGCAATGTCCCCAGCTCTCAGTATAAAATTGATGTAATCCACTAGTTTTCTGTCATAAACCACAACCCTGTTTTCCTGATTTCCCTAAAACGTAAAATTTATCTTGATGATTTCTTTAACTCATAAATGCTTGAAAAGAATCGTATTGATGTTAATTAATAGTTGTATACTACAGTATCTGTCGCAGGATATATTTTTCTTACCGAACAAAATTCATTCAGAGTGTTAAAAAGTTGAATGATGAGATTAATTGTCTTCTTGTTGATGGTTGTGTACACAACATTGAGGAACTGGGCTGTTTCTCCAACAATGTTGAACGATTTAACGTTGTCTGGCTGCTCTCGTAAGTAATTCTAAGAAATAGACACTCCAGTAATAATCAATCGCAACTATACCCTCACTTTATTTCAATGAAAAGACAGACATTTTGACAGAAACATTGGATAAGTTTTTAGGTTAGATGACTTACTTGTAAGCCAAAATGCTGCCCATCACATATTCTGGCCAGTAACTTGAAGATGAGCTCTATATAGCCATCATCTTTGTATTCTAACATATCGACCACGCCCTCATTCATTGTGGCTATCATTTCTTCTGCCGCCTTCTCCTCCTATAATTTAACGATATATAAAGACAAAGAACAGTAACCCTGCTCCGAAGTCCACTGAAGCAGTGCAAACTAGAAACAGACCAAACAAGGGATTCTTAAAACAATGGAAGTGGGATCAGGGGTCTTAAGTGAGTTAGCATCCACTTTTGTTTGGTTCAACCGCCATGTGCTCTTGATAATGGTCGGGAAATAACAAGAAATAGAATACTCAAATTTTCAAATTTAAATTTTTACTGAAGAAAGAGCATTTGCTTGTTACATTTATTGATAAAAAGATTATATGTATGAAAAATGTTTATATTTACATCTTCCTCTACTAAAACGGGCATAGGCTCTGGCTCTAGGACAAATAACGTGACGGGGTTCTGCAGAGTGTCGGGCGTGTCAGGGTGTTTAAGTAGAGCTTCGTTACTGGTGTAGTCACGTTTGATTCCGTTTGAAATCACCATATTCTTCCTTTTCTGATCCTTTATTCTTTTCTTCTTCTCTTTCTTGGATTCGACGACAGGTGCTTTGGCTCTACTTAGAGCAGCCTGCAAAAATAACAAGCAAGAAAAAATTCTTAGAGCGGCCTTCCTAAAATTACAAGCAAGGAAAAATACTTACAGCGACCTGCATTAAATAACAACATAGAAAAAAATTCATAAAATCATCTTGAGTTAATTTCTTTTTTCTACATACCCATCCTTGCATCTTTTCTTTCTTCATTTTAATTTCATATGCTTGAATCATCTACGAGAAAATTGAATTAAAGGACTTAAGGCATGTCATGAAAAAGATTTTATTACAAATTTTTAAAAAAGTAAAAATAAAGGTATTGGAGAATTCTATGTCTTCAATAAACACCTATATTAAACAAACAAAATAAGAAAGAAATTTCAACAGAACGCACCTGTAAGGCCCTTCTCCCTGCTGAAATACTGGTTTGGAAAGAACTTAGATTATCTAAGGCTTCCTTGACCCGTCCCTGATGCTGAGCAAGCAATGAACGTCTAAGAAATAGAATAGTTATGTAATATTAGAAATAAACGAGAATATATATTGAAAATGTTTTTTATAAAGAAAAACACTACTAACACTGCAAAAGAAAATGTTAATAAATTTTATACACTTCAATTCCATGTTATTCACACGAAATGTAGACAAGAAAGTGTAGTTAAGTTTTATCCATTCAAAAAGATTATTCTCTAGATTTGATAGAAAGAATTGGAAATGTCATTGCCACACTTGGTCCCAACTACTCGTGATTAGAACGATTCTTTTTTGTACATCATTGGAATAGTTTATTACCTGTTACAGATAAGTATATGGGCTATTGTATTACATTTGTTGTCTTTTTTATAGACTGTCTACCTAATCATTAGTATATCTAATTTATTTCAATTTATTACTTTCTCTTATGTAATGTATAAACATAACAAAGCAAGGATTTTCTAGTGATAAACTTAAAATAAGCTTTATGACAGTTATATGTAAAATAATGACGATATTATACACATAAATGGGTAATATCCTCGGCTAAATGAATAATGTATAAATGTTTCTGTATGACGTCACCATCGCTGCGCTAATGACAACAAAACGTAAACGTAAGTTATTTAAGCATGCAGATTTTGAGTTACCCTTTTTGTTGGAATTTTCTCCTCAGAATCATTCTAAAAATGATACAACAGCGGTGAAGAATTACTCTATAATGAATTTTTTTTTTAATAATCCACATCTAAATCATTTGGAAAGTTGTTGTTTAAACATAATAAATGTATTGATGCTGTAAAATATATTTGGAAATAAGTTAAAAACAAATTATTGATCTTTTCCCTACTTTTCTTTGATAGAGTTGGTTGAAATCTGCATTCTCTCGCGGACAGCCATGAAGAATACCTCTTCCCTCGTTGACAAGTAATAGTCCAGCATGGATTTCTATCAAGATGAAATGAGAGAAAGATGTAAGTTTATATTCACGAATGACCCTTATTTTCATTACATGACTTTATAAATTGTTAATTATTTTCTTACTTGGACGTCTCTGTTGGCATTGAACAGCATGATAGAAAGGAAAGCTAAGACCTCTCGACAAATACTGTCACTTCTCCGGGCAATATGAGGCAGAACCTTGTTGACAAAGTCGTGGGCATTGATAGCATTTTGGACCTCCTTGATATGCCCAAGTTGACTGTAAAGGAACGTACCTGACTGATTATTCATAACTATCCTTTTAAACCTTCTACAACGCACTTTTATAATTTTTATAACCTACCGGGTATTACCTCTTGTTTTTTCTTTCAGTTTTTTTTTATAAAGTCAACCCTACACTTTTGATTCATTTGAATCATTTTTTATAATCTTATAAGTGCATTACCTCTTGATTTTGCTTTCAGCAGTTTTGGTATCCCAGTCCTCTGGTAATTTCCTCTCCTCATTGTGAACTAGAGCCCTTAGAAGCTGAAGACACTTAATATCCAGGTCCTCTTGGGACGTGTTACTTGTTATAGCATTCCCCTTCCTCACTGTCTTCGCGGAAATTCTGATCAGGTAAAAAAATTAATTGAATAGATCGGATGCATTTCTCATTGTAATGAATGTATACTGGGATAAGAATCCAAACTTACTCTAGTTGTTGTAGTAACTTCTTTGCAGGATTGTATCGTTTGTTGTATTTTTTCTCGTGATGATCTATGAAGCATTTCAACAGACTCTGAAATTCTTCTCCCAGTGGTAATTCCTCATTAGAACCAATTTCGGTGTACTCTTTTAAAGAAAATAAAAAGGTAAATTTTCATTGGCTTATGTGAGCTGTTCTTTTAATAGTGAGTAAACATTTAAAAAGAATTTAAAAACTTGTCCTTCAATCATTAAGCATGCTTTGAATTCTTCCTTTATTTATTTGTTTATTCCTTAGGTGTCTTTATATCCATCAACATTTTATTATTTATAAAATGGTAATTACTTTAAAATTTAATGCTTTTATTAGCAATTCCTGTTTACTTCATTACGAAAGATAATTGAAAATTAATTTCGTTTGTTAAGATTTTAATGAAAATTTAATTGCTGTAGACGTTGAATTTTCATTTTACTTTGAAATACAGTCTGAATATAGATACAGGTTAATACATTTTTAAAAATATTTTTTAATTTTTTTTTTAAACTTCTGTATATTTATAATGATAAAATTAATGATACACTTCATGATTGAAGTTATATTTCATTTAATGATACGAAGGCTGTTCAATAAATAATGTCCTGAACTCTTTGAATACAACACAGATATCATATGACATTAGGCGTGACTTTCTCTCGTGATGGAATCCTTAATAAATTGATATCAGTTTATGTGACCACCCACTTTTCATATCATATTTTCATTGTGAGAAGCAGGAAAACAAGGGCTATTCGAGACACTGCATTAAAATGAATGGTAAAGAATCAGTACACTATAGTGAAATTACACGCTCCATTAAAGCTGCTGTAAAACTTGTTAAGAATTCCAAAGAAATATTCACTGAAAGAGGGTGTTGCAGTTCTTTTGTTATTTTCCCTAAATCTGTAGCAGATTAAAAGAATTTTTATGTTGCAGAAACTCATATTAATTTTTTTTCAAATGCAACAGTATATAAAGCAAAACGGGAAACAATATTTGGAAGGTATGTATTGACTTTCAATTTGCCATTAAATGATGTGAAAATTAGTCTTACGGAAAATATATCAGATTTTCCGCTTTTTAAATAGGGAATCTCCATTGTTCTGAAAAAGTGCCTCCTTGAAACAAAATAATTTTGATGATACTCAAAGAGGCAGGAATTTTCTTCAAAACTGCCATTTTCGATTTTTGTTTCAAAGAGGCACATTTTTGAAAAACGCAAAAAATTGAATAAAAATTATTCCCCAAAGGAAATTCAAAGTGTGTATTTTAAATAACACTGTACAATCTCTGTGTCCGAAGTGGTCTAGTGGATATGCTGGTGGAATTCCAACCAGTACTTTTACCAGAGAATGGGTTCGAATCCTGGTATGGGTCATTTTTGCATATTTTTTTCCACATGTAATGGGCAATGAAATTATATATTTTTTGAAAGAGAGAGAGGGGAGAGAGAGAATGTCAAGAAATTAATTAGTAATAACTATATGTTAGAAATGCAGGATAAAATTGTTTTTCTTGATATGCTGTGACTTAAAACTAATGCTTTGGTTAGTTTTGTCTTGGAAAATAATATTACTGTATTGTTTAAATAATTTCTTTCTTTACATACTGTAATTATTGCAATTTTGGTCTCTTAGTTAGTAGCCAAGATTTGATTTGAAACAAATAAAATGTCTTGGATGTAGCACGAACAGTGTGATTATGGGGTGCAGTTTTATTTCATAAAAAATATTTTAGCACGATATATACAGTATATGTTTCAAAATGCTGCTGTAGCCATTATGCTTTTTTTGTTCCAGGCAGTCTCTTTCGTGCAAAATGACGAAAGTGTGCGTTTTGCTGTATCAAGCAGGAAATACCCGCCGTAAACATAGTCCTCTACGTAGCTCTATCTATATTTAGACATAACATACATAGGGTATTTAAATGTCATTCTCGATATATAGGGAATAATCGCGAGTTTCTGCAACACCCTCTTTATGAAATTTACAGCTTCCAATGTCTGTTTTACAGACTTCAAACAGATTTTATAGATTTCAATGAACAATAATGATATACTGGGCATCAAAATTGGGTACCGTTCTTGGCGACAAGAACTTACAACCACCAATGTTCTGTTTGCCAAAATTCAACAAATTATCAATTATGATGTTTGATTGTCTTTAATACACATAGAAAATTCGATAGACGTCAATTTGGGGGTAGTTCAAACTATTTCAAAGAAACACTTGACACTAAAAGGCTCAGTACTCAATGGTCACCCCATGTTTTGAAAAATGAGTGAAAATCAAAAAATTTTAGTTATCCATGTTTGTCTGAAATTCAAACAGATACTGAAAAGCGTCACTTGCTTCTTCTCGAGCACCGACATTATTTATCGAACAGCCCTCGTATATTGGATAGAACACGAGGCATATTATACAATTATTGCTGTTTTTTTAGGTCAATACAATGATTTAGCTATCTGAGGAGTACAATATTCACCGAGCCCGAAGGGCGAGGTGAATATTGTACTTCGAAGATGGCTAAATCATTGTATTGACCGAAAAAACAGCAATAATTGTTTTATTATATGATTCACTGATAAAATGATACAGCTAATTATTTGTTTGAATTTAATTAAGTCCTAGCCAAATACAAGAGAGAAGCAGAATTAAAATGTGAATAAACCTTACCAGTCGTATCAATTTGAAATGGGTTTTTTCATCAATTTTAGTTGCCATGAAAAAAATATGAAAGGTCAGTCTTTTTTTATAGGAAAGATTTTGAAAGGAAGGAGTATTATCAGGGAAAATCGACTGCCAAAAAGTAAAAAAAATGTTTTCAGTAAAAGAGTTGGAGGGGGGTCCCTGCATCCCCTCTTATCACCCTCTCACCCTTAAATATATATTCGCTTATGTTTTGTTCACATAAAAAAAAATCATTATGATAGTCGTTTAAATAGTTTTCCAAAATAATTTGTATCAATTTGGAATTTCCCAATCTATTTTTAGATCAATGTAGAGGAAATAAATCCTTGTATTGACCCGGAACGTTACGTGCAGGTCAATACAACGTAGTATTTTTCTATCATAGTTGGATCTCAGCCAATCAGAGAGATTGAAATTATTCAATCATATAATAATTATTTTTAAAAACTTAAAACCCTATAATGTTTTTTTTGGCGCACAAAGCGCTAAAAAAATCAGAATAATGAACCATAATAATAAATAGAAATAAAATATTGTTCTATTTTATTATAAAAAAATTAAATAACAGTGTTATAGAATTGCATTCTAAATCACAGTTGAAAGAAAAACTAGCTTAACTTAAAAATCATTAAATTTAAACGATAATTCAATGTACCTCTTTTGGTTTTGTATTTCAGTTGGGCCTGTACAGTGTTATGACCTCTAAATAGAACACTGCTGTTGGTAGCAAACGTGTGGAACTTCGCATTCAGTTCAAGTTCTGAGGCATAGTATTCCATGTTCCCCTGTTAAAGAAAATTTTATAACTATATAATTATGTAATTATGAATTATCATAAATTGTATAAACAATGTGTTTTATAGTAATAAATAATTTTAGAATTAATAATTGTGAGTACCTTTCGAACGGCTGTCTTTGTGTCACCTAACTTCATTTCTGTACTGAACTTTTCCAACACTGAGATCAAAGCCTGTTTAATGGATAATTTTATACACATATTATAATTAAAAAGTATTTGTTAATAAACCTTACTGTAAAAATAATAAACTAATTTCATGTTTTTGTTGTCTACTTAGGTTCTTACCGCTTTTGGTGAGGATGAAGAAGAGATGAGAATGGTGAGTAAGGACACTACAGATTTCATGTGAGCTGGATTAGTTAAGTAGTAACCAATCACATCCGTAAAGGCCTGAAATGTACAAGATAGTGATGTACCCTTTTCATACAGTTAAGGAATTATTACATTTAAAAACATTTTTTCTTAAATACATACAGATAAGAGGAAACTGAGAAAAAATTATTTTAAGATCACTGTTACTCTTCCATGCAGAAAATAGAAGCAGGGGATCATTCTTAACAGGAATATTCTATCCTTAGAAAAAAAGATACGAAAGGTTATATTGTATGTAAAATTGGAACCACTTATCTACATTCAGTAACTGGATAGATAAGAAACTATTTCAAAATCTTTAATTCCACGTCAGAAAAAAATATCGTGTCAGCAATACTTTTAGTTGTGAAGAATCACGGTAAAAAGATTCTTTCCTTTTGCAATTTTTAAGTGAGACCAAGGCGAAATAGATACCGGAATAAATGAAAGAGTATGTCTTCATTATGAAGGTTATAGCTAGGAGTTGCAGATTCATTTCACTAGTTGAATCTTTAACAAATAAAATTTATTTTCATAACGAAATCCAGAAGGAAAGAAAAGTCTTATTAATTTTCCACTTGATGTATACCGTTAATCCAGTAGCCAAGTTGTCTGTGACAAGGACCTCATTGGGATATAAATCCTTGTCTGGAGCGTAAAACAGCGAGAAGAAAACCTGGAAATTAATTATGTACTTTACTACATTTCATGTACTTTTCTTTTCAAGGTTATGCAACGGTTTCCATTAATAGAGGAACTGGGAGATTCCTGAAATGAATGACATACTTGTTCATAAGTTCTTAAGGATGTTTCAGTTATATTGGTAATAAATGCAGATCTTTAATATTCATACATGTAAACAATTAATTTCTCAAACACGGAAAAGATAAAAAAGTATATGATTTAGAAGCCACAAATTATTTAATTCTCTTAATTACCTCGAAGAAAGGTAGTGCTGCGTCTAAAATGAAAAACACTCCACCGTGAACAACAGATCGGGGGTCATGGGGATCGTCGATAAAACTAAAATAACAAGGCAATACAAAAACATGAAATAGAAGCAAATAATTGCAAAAGAATATTTATTTTTAAGAAACCAAACTCCTTCCTTCCGTACCTTTTTGAGGGTGGGCCTTTTAGTACTGTGGATATTTTCTCTCCCTGAAGTTTTATTGCTTGCGTGACTTGATTGATCACATCACTAGCAGTTTCGATGAACTCCCAAAGATCCCTGTACAATAAAGATATGATGAAAGAACTCATTATAAAAGATAGAGGGTTTTTGTAAATCTTTTCGAGCTTATCACATGTTGTTTTGTTTATCAAAACATGTTTTCATTCTTAAGAATAACTGTTTCCAAAGACTTTGGAGATCAATAATTATTTTAAAAAACATAAGTTTGTCAGGACAACAATTAAACACAGAAAAACGCCAAAGAGAGATTTATATGAAATGTATATGACCATATTGAAATCTTTATAATTCTTACTTTGAGGAATACTTTGTTAGAGAAATACTTTTCTTCAATCATATCATAGCATAGATGATTATTTAAAAATTCTCTTTCTATTTGATATGACAATGTTATGGTTGGATATCAAAACATCAAAACACACTATTGAAATTCATCAAAGGTTAAGAAGTCGTCTTATTTCCTGATATTTTTGATTAGCGCTTATAACGTAAAGACCAACCTATTGTGTTGCAGATCTGCGGCCCCACTTTCGGTCATACTTCCCACTGGTTTCATGTAGACCCACATTAGATATTTCACAAACGGCTTCTTCAGATTGCATGCAATGTTTGGATGGTTGATGACCCAAAGAATATCCTGAACCGGTAATATAGTCTGACAGAGGGACTCAATAAATTTGTTTTCTCCCTATACATAAAGAAAAAAAAACAGAATATGAATTTATATTTTAAAAATTCTCATAAATTGACAGGGCTTAGAGTTAAATTTGATTTCCCCAAGAACTTGATTTTAAGTTAATTATGTTGGAAGTTGATTTACCTCAGCGCAAGTAGCCAACAGGTCCACCAAATCAATGTAATAGATCAAATCTCCCCTCTCACCTTGGTTGGTTAAAATTATCTCCCTGCAATGAAACAAAAAAAAAATTGAAAAATTACAAGGCTTATTTTTTCTCAAATAACTACCAGTATATTATATACTCGACAAATTGCAGAAGAAAAAAATCATTTTAGGATTAATAAGAAGAAACTTGTTTATGGAATGGCAACTACCTTTGATCTCTTGGTTGATCTAGGACATACGCGGCCTTTCTGTAATTTTGCATTATGTACTTCATGACTAATGCCTGATTTCTCTTTATGGTCATGTCTAGGCCTTCAACCTTCACAAGAACACTGAGAAGCTCCAGGAACTCTGGAGCCTCGTTCTGGTGGTGTGAACACAGCAGGACGATTTTCTGAATTTGCTTTGATGACACTTTTAAGCAGGTAGTTTGATTTGCAATGAAAAGCTACAAAAGTATGACATACAGATTAGAAAAAAAATCATAAAATGAAGTTTTCAAAATAAAGTTGAACAACAGACAATGTACAATCCGTAATGTACAATGAAACTTGCCTCTTTCAGAGCTATCGCGAGATTGGATGGTACTATTTGCACATCAAGAAGGTTATCAATGTGTTCAAATAAGGTCTCTTGAACAGCAGAATTCTCACGTGCCAACAGCTCCATCAGATACAGAGTCTTCTTGAAAATCGTGGCCATTCCCATGTATTGCTGCTCCTTTAAGGTAAATATAATAGCCATATAACAATTACAAATAACTTGATCATGTCTTAATTTATCATAATAAAAATCTAAAATACTATACATACGACTAGTCTGGCGTCAATTTCTTGAGAGAGGATATCAACAACTATGTGAAGGATTCCTAAAAGAGAAAATACGCTAGATCGTCTATTTAAAACTACTTTACTAGGAATTTTTTCATCACTTAATTCTTTTAAGCCTGTAGAATTGTTAAAGAAAATCTATTTCTTTTCTTATGAAATTATTTAAATTATTTTCATTTAAAGGACTGAGAAATAACTATTTGGATATAATATTACTATTAATACTCGGAAATATAAATATTTTTATGAATAAATAAATTAAGGGATTCGGAAACCTACCATGACTGATCATTATGTTCTGGTTCATGAAGTGAGGTTCTTTTGGATACTTTGGTAAGTGACAGAACCTGCAATAAAGAAAATGAAATCGAAACAAATGTTTAACATGTTAGATAAAAGTAATTTTTTAAAATAATTACTTGCCTTTAAAAATGGAATAAAACAAAAAAATATTACGAAAACCAAGTGTCAACACATTTTAATGTGAACGTCATGACAAAAATATAAAGAATCTTACTCTGCGAGTTCATCCAGAATTTCGCTCATTAGCTGGACCTGTTGGTCATTGAGTTTCTGCTTGGCGAGTCTTCGCAATACCGGGAGACTCCTTTGTACCTCCCTGTGTACTCTTGCAGAGTCATGCGTCAGAAGAATCTAGAATTGAAATAATGGTAAATGTAATTGCTAGTGATTGGTCATTGCATAATTCAACTAATATATAACTATTATTAAAGTGATTCTATTTTTTTTCTTCGACACATTTTGATGAACAACTTAATATTTTCGATTTTCTCTGTTACCTGTGCTCTATCTGCAAGCTTAAACATGTCTCCTTGAGATGAATAAAGCTTGTTCAAGATGTCTAGGGATTTGGTCACCACTCTATCATATTTGTATTCGGACAAGTCCTTTCAACATAGGAACAAAACATTAAAAACATAAAATGATAGTTTATATTTATTGTCAGTATAAACAAACTAGGCACTAGAACATTGAACATACAAGTAAAACACGTGTTGTATTATCCATATCAAATATGGAGGACATAGAAACCATCTCTCGGATTTCTTTCAGGACTTTCTTCTGGCTTTTTAGGGCCTTTCTGTGGAAACAAATTTTATGATTGTCTTTATTGCAGAGTAAAAGTCATTTAAAAAAAAAATTTCTTTACTCTCAAACATTCATAGCCCATCATGTTAAAGAGTTAGCACTCCAAACATACTTGGTCTGTACTTGTGGGTTGTACGTCTCATACATGAGTTGCTCCATCACCAACAGGGATCGGTGTCGTGACGCATTCTGCTCACAAGTTTTGAACTTGGAGACAAAGGCCTACAACATTCATTAGTTATTTACTGGTAGAGTGCCAGGGTTAAATAAAAAAAACATAACAAACTACTAGTATATGCAATAGATGTAACTATTCTTTCCTTTTTTAAAATAGAAGATGGAATTACAGTTTCTGTTACCTTCAATCGCAAGTTTCTTTGGAATGTAAGAAGGAAATCCAGAACCTCCATTGCCCTAGAAAGAATCAAACCAAAACACCCATTTGAATAGATATTTAACAGACAAAGGTTAATAAGAAAAATTAAATTGCGGACATACTGGTATTTGGCATTAACTACAGCCTCGGCCTCTTTGCTTTGCTCAAACCTTCCACTGGTTCTATATTGGTTTACGGCTTTCTGGGAGTCCTTTGAGTATCCTAAAGAGGAACCAGAAGTCTCTGTCGAGACTGTAGCTCTACTGATTTGTACTTATGATAAAGGAAGAGAAAAGTAGCAGTTGGAACATAAACTTCTACAAAAGCAATAAATAGAATAATGATCCTTGATTAAGTCTCATTTTGTGGCAAGATTGCAAAAAGACTACAACTGTAGGAGTAGCTTTTAATAAAATTTTACAGAAATTTTAATTTTAGTTACCATGGCAACATCGTTCATCAAAATCAAAAACACAAATTGGCATGCCCCATTATACTAAAATCAGACCAAAACTGAATTTAGAGTAGCATTTTGAAAGTTTTCACAGAAATTTCTATTTTTAGTAACCAAGGCAATTTCGTCCATCGATATCAAAAACCGATACACAGAATTGTGTACTTAGTGTAGTCTACTTGTGTGCTAAGTTATATTGAAATCAGAACAAAGCTATGGAAGGAGTAGCATTATTAAAGTATTTTACAGAAATTTTTATAATATTAGTCACCACGGCAACACTGTTCATAGAAATCAAAAACCGATATAAAGAATTTCATATCTTAAATTGTCTACTTGTGTGACAAGTAATATTGAAATCAGACCAAAACTGTAGGAGGGGTAGCATTTTTAAAGTACTTCACAGAATTTTCTATTTTTAGTAACCATGGCAACACTGTTCATTGGAACCAAAAAGCGATATACAGAATTTTGTATTTTAGTGTAGTCTACTTGTGTGTTAAGTTATATTGAAATCAGACCAAAACTGTAGGAGGAGTAGCATTTTTAAAGTATTTCACAGAAATTTTTATTTTTAGTAACCATGGCAACACTGTTCATCGAAATCAAAAACCGATACATAAAATCATGCATCTTAGTGTAGTCTATTTGTATGCTACGTTATATTGAAATCAGACCAAAACTGTAGGAGGAGTAACATTTTTAAAGTATTTCACAGAAATTTCTATTTTTAGTAACCATGGAAAAACTGTTCATCGAAATCAAAAACCGACATAAAGCATTATGTATCTTAGTTAATCTACTTGAGTGCCAAGTTATATTGAAATCAGACCAAAACTGTAAGAGGGGTAGCATTTTTAAAGTATTTCACAGAAATTTCTATTTTAGTAACCAAGGCAACACCGTTTATAAATCAAAAACCGATACACAGAACTATGTATCTTAGTGTTGTCTGCTTGTGTGCCAAGTTATATTGAAATCAAACCAAAACTGTAGGAGGACAATCATTTTGAAAAATTGTTTACAGACAGAAAGACGGACGGACGCCGGACGCATTACTATTGCATAAGCTTTTCTGGTCTCTGACCAGTAGAGCTAAATATGAAAACACAATACAAAAGAAAACACAATACATGATATTGTAAAAAAAGAAAATTTGCCAATGTAAAATTATATTTGAGATTGATTTTGTGTGAAAGACTAATTATTAATAAAGATTGCATAGCGATGGTCCGATATTCTTTCGGGGGTCCTGTTTGAAAATATACCTTTGCCCCTGTCTTTATCTTTAGGGAATGGAACATCGTGTGTTCCGTCTAACAGACTCAGTAGTGGCGTTAATAACTGCTTGACATCCTCCATATCCATGTAGTAACCAAACTTCACCAGGTGCTGAAGCAAGTGAAGCACCTAGATCAAGACAAAAAAGATATAGCTAATTATCTTTAAAATACGAATACAGAGAATTCCATGACTTGTAACTGACGCTAGCGTTTAAATACCTGCTCTATTAACAGGTTATGACCTATCGCAGAGGCAGTCATCTGACAGTTCACAGCCAGGAATTCTGCCATCCAGTCTCGAAGCACAGGAAATATGGTCACCAGGTCCTTCACAACCTACAGACAATTGATATCACGTATTGTATTCAAAACTTGTAACTTATCGGAACACAAAATATAAGGAAATTTTTTTCATTTTCCCACTGTTGGTAATCTAGGATAAACGATGAACCAACTTCATGAGAAAGAAGCATCTATAAAGAATTTAAGAGTAAAGGATTTTAAGTTAGAGTTGGTCTTATTTTGAAAATCAATATCATATTAAACCTATTTCTCTGTAAACTTAAACGCATGCAAATATTTACAACGTATATCCCTGAAAGAAAGGTGTAAAAAGAGATGGCATCATGCAACATAGAAAAAAAAGTTATATTGTGAATTATTACCTCCCCCGGACCTCTCTCCTGACTTCCGGCCGTCTGCATTTAATAATTTCAATACAGTCTTCAAACATTTATTCAATAAATTGTTGTCTTTTGAACAACAAACAACACAAAAAGAAATTATTGCTGGTATTTTTTTTTTACTTACAAATGAACTCTGTTCCCTCTCAGAGTCCTTTGAGCCGACATATTCGTAGATAAAACAAATATTGGGGTGGTCCAACACGGAATAATTGTTTCCCACATCAACAAAAAGTCCTACATATTAAAATACAAAATAAATGTTTCAGAAAGTACATGTATATATTTTTCTTTGACAACTGTATAGTAAAAAAAAGTTTAGTGAGTGCGTGAAATAAGTTATTTTAATATCTGTTTACATAGATCTATACTAAAGATAGACTATATTAATATTTCTTCAAATCATTTGTTTGAAATTAGATAAGTAAGAAGGAAAATTTTAGTTTCAGTTTACAAGTGTCTTTATCAAAGCACAATTTTAATTTCTTAGCATTCAAAACATCTGTTAACATCTTTTAAAGTGTTCATTTGTTTGATAATGGTTTGTGATAAACACTTTTCTGTAAATTCCATTCTCATAAATTGCTGATGTTAAATAAGATTTATTGCTGTGTGGTGCATACCAATAATGAGCTCGCAGTATTTGGCTCGAATATGATCCGGAAGTAGATCTGCAGTAAGACAGAGGTAGGCATCTTCCCACGTCAAATAGCCGAACTCTCGTGTGATCACGTGAACGGCATAGTCATTACGACCCTTCAAAGCAAGGAAAGGAACATGAAATAATATACACTTTATATGACGCTTAAAAATCTATATAACTCAAATTAATTGCGAAATAGAGAAAATTTGTATATTTCCAGGTATCTTAGATTATCAAGATAAAAACTTACAAAACACAAAGCCTTGAAAAGGTCTAATTGGTGAATGAGAAAATTATATTTCTCTTCATCATACTCGGAACTTTCAAACTGAAAGAGAAGAAACAAACGAAATAAACTGGATCCCGTCAATTACTTTATCCACGATTTTTCGTAAATTAGGTTACCTGGAAAAAATGCCAGTTTTTTGTTTGGCAGTAAGAAACTCAAACATTATCTTTTCGTCTGTTTTATTAATGTGTAAAGAAACAGTTGGATAAACCATAAATATTTATAGACTCTGAAATAATCACGTACACTGAGTTAGGTGTACCCAGATGTTTTGCAGAGAAAGTCTTCTACATTATTTTTTTTTCTAATTTCATAATATCAATCATCTGGTGCAAAAAGGTTTTTAGAAGTTTACAAGAAACAGTTTAAAGAGATGAAAAGTACTCACATCTACAAACACGTGTAAGGGGACCCAGGTCCTGCCCTGATCCGTGGAGACGTACACAATGTTAGGGCGTTTGTTTATGTTCTGTCCTCTGTCCGTCAAGTACACACTGTCCTGGAACCAATCAGAGAACATGCATGTCGTATAAAATGTCGGATTGTTTAATAAACATGCCAATACAAATCAGTTATACACTATTTAACGAATGCATTTGTATTATTTTCTGGGTGTGTATAAATGTATACAATGCATCAAATAAAATAAGCCTTACTCTAGATTCACGTAACCATTGATCCACGATATAGGTCTGGTTGTTTGGAATTGCAACGCCATCACAAACGCAAAGGACATGCAACAAATCAAGAAACCTATAGTTCTAAAAGAAGAAACAGGGTGTTAAATTAACTGGAATAAAACATTCCCATTTTTGATACTTCATGATAGTGATTGATTGATGTTAAAGTACTTGATTTGTCCTTAAAAGCTGAAGAAACGTGTCAATGTTGTTTTTGGTGATACGGTCTACTATCTTTCTTTTGTCTCTGATCAACTCAACAATCATCTGGGCGACATTCAGGCCTATTCCTCCCTACAAATAGTAATACCAAATATGTTATATTGAATATAAGTGTATAATATATATATTTTTTGCATAATGTTGGTTTCTCACTTTGTATATTATTAGGAACCCTCTGAGCATATGAATACGATAAATAGATGATTTTCTTAGAGTATAACATAAAGGATATTTTTGGCAAAACATTGGATATGATTACTTTTTGTGTGAATTGTGTTTGGAAGAAGTCAATGTATTTGGCCATGTATAGAGCGTTCTTTCTGCTCTTTCCAATCATGTAGGCGTGAAGAACATCATAAGCCTCTTTACAGATTCTGATGACGTGGGATTCCTCGTCCCCCTCCCCCAGAGGACACTGAAGCAGATTCACCAACAAGTCTATCACCTACAGTAAAAATGATTGACTATTAATACCAATATGTGAAACGTGATACCGATACGTTAGAAAAGAAGGAAGAAAAGACCAAAAAAAGGAACTATGTCATAATGGATTCGTACCCTTAAATTCCTCATGAGCTTCTGTCGGTTTTTATCTGGTTGACCTCCAGGAAGCATGAACATCTTTATTTCTTTTAGAGCCTGTTTGTAATGGACAAATCTCAATTTTTATTTCAACCGAATTTAAAATTAATTTTGATATGCTCATTTTTCATGATAAATTTGAATATTTCTCTTCATATAGTAATTAATTCATATGACTTGCAGTAATGATTCCGTGTGTCTTCTTAGCATTCAGTTGCGGTTCCATTTGAAGCTGTAAATTAATGATAAAAATAATTTTAAAAATACACCTTTATACACTTATTGTTTAAATTTACTACTTCAATACTTTTCTCTTGTCTATGTTTCAGATTTCAAAATAATAAGACATACGTCTTGTATGAGGTTGAACAAGAAAGGGACCATTCCTGCTACGTAGTTAAAATTGTGGACATCTTCTGGTAACACACACTGGAGTGTGTATGCATCATCGTACATACTCTCGCTGCTTGCGGAAACCTGCAATTAACGAAGGTATGTACTCCATTTTTAATAATTCTAATAATCTATCACAATAGTTGGGCTATGAAAAGTAAATATAAATACATATCATTCTACCTTTCGGACACCAGCGCTGTCCCATCGTAAGCCCTGCATGGATTTCTGTTTGTCCTCGCCATCTGTGACCTTTCTCTCATAATCTTCATCTACATTACACATATTATAAAATGTAACTAAAATCAATGACGTTTTTTCTTTAAATAATATAAGAAACTGATACTTATCTTATTTTGCACGTCTGAGTGAATTAAGTCGTCAGTAAAAGCATGTTAGACATAAAATTTACTCTGTATTTGAAATGGATAAAATAAGATCTTGTTAGCCCTTAATTATCTGCATGCTTACCTTTGAGTGCATGAAGCCAGCATCCCGTGAGCATATGTTCTATTCTTGCATAACTCTCGTAAGATATTTCATCTCTCTCCTTAAAGAGTTATTTATAACATAATTAGATCTTTGATATAGATAAGTAATTTCGGTATTAAATTGAGTAATGCTCATTAACTTAATGCTCAAATGACCATTGCTTGAAGAAATATTCACATTTTGAAATTCCGAGATAAGTAATTTCTATTGCTGAAGATATACATTAGGGTATATTGCCAATTAACCTATATTAACAGGTGTGAAATTGCATTTTCCAGAAAAAAAGATGTGTATTCATAACCAGGTTAAAATAGAATGAAACTAGATCCGTGCCTTGAGTACGGAGTGAAGTCTGAAGACAGTTCTGGGGTCAGAGGGGTCGGTCACCAGGGAGACGTCCATCTTGGAGTCTATACAGAGGTATTGTCTTGTCAGGAAGTGACGTAATCTCACTTGTTGTTCCCATCTTAATATGTCTCCTGTGGAAAGACACAACACAAATAGTAGATGTGCAATAATTCTATTTATAAAATAAAAAAAAACCCCTAATCTTTGAAATTTTAGCTCGTTTTTGCCAAACAAAAATACTTCTTTCGTATCATACAAGAGGGGCCAACTTGTAAGCACTAATCATAATTTCATCTTTTAAAAAGTAAATAAGAGTTTAATGCATTTTTATAATTAATGATAATTCTTTAAATGCAGGGGCATTTTCTCTCACTTATCTAAGTATTCTAAAAATGGTATGTGATTAGCAACGTCTGCAAATGAAATGTTCCGCAGACGTTGCCCCAATTTTTTTTTATTTTTTAATCCTGATAATCTTTTTAATATGCAACATCAATCACGTATTATTTGGATTTTCCATGATATTTGAGAGATACTCAGTAAACGATTAATTTGCAATTGATAAAAGATATAATCAAAATCTAATAGATCAAACTCGTTCATCTAATTATACAACCCGACCCAGCAAGATAATCTTGACTGGAATTCAGATAAGCATTTATATGAATCCTGGAATGTTATAAATTAAAAATATAATATTTTGAGCCTTTAGATCAAGGTTTTTGGTTTAATTTCACTGATAGAACTTTTTTTGCTATTAAAGAGAGCAGACTGCAAAGGCAAGTTGAATAACAAAAATCAACACATATAATGCAAAGTCTTTAATTTTTCTGAGATAAATAAAAAGGAACTTTTTGTTAAACAGATCTTGCTCTAAAATGATATAAAACAACAAAAATACAAAGGGAGCAATCTTTCAGTATATACTTTGTTTAGCAAGTGGACTTGTATAAATTCTGCTTTAATGACAGTAGTAACATTCGCAGATTGCCAGTCAATAAAGTAATCTCAAACATAAAGCAAGCAATATAAATAGCACAGATTATGTTATCAATTCAAAATTTAGACAAACACTAGAAAAAACCTTGCAAAAAAGGCCATTGTTCATAATGATTAATGCAGAATCAATGATAATTAAAGAGACAGTTCTGTTTTTCATTGTATTTAATCCATTATTGGTTTTATTACTAATTATTAATAAGCGATAAAGAAGAATAAATAGTACTGTGAGCAAAGCCTATTTATGGTAAAGGAAAGGGCAAATAAAAAAGTAAAAAAGCTGTATAATGAAATACTTAAGCATCGGTGAAAGTTTCATTTAATTTCAATCAGCAGTAATAAAGAAGTTGAGGTTAAGAATTGGGATGGATATCCCTGTTTATAATAGAAATAATGAAACCAAAAATATATGTATAGGAGGTGCATAATTGTACTGTATAATAAAGATTCTGTGAAAGTCTCGTTAAAGTTTATTAAGTGGTATAGGAGGAGTACTCTTAAAATTAATGAAAGAAAGGAGGATTTCATGTTTTGCTTGAGAAATCCGAAATTTCTGTCTTATTTAAAATGTAAAATATGTGGTGCACAATGGCAATATGCAAAAATGTTCTGTGAAAGTATGAAATTTAATTCAATGGTGTAGGAGGAGCTATGGTTGAAAAATGCATGCATTGGTACCACTTAGTCTAATAAATGTACGGACGGCAACCCCCATTTCCATAAGGTTATAATGAGTTTAAATTTTCTCTTTGATTTTTCATATAAAATATTCTTTGTTAAATAATGCCAATACATAACTTGACGCAAGGTCTGTGAGAAAATAAAGCTTGGTTTAATTTTTAATGAAATTATTTTTCCTTACATTAAAACAACTGTAATGTAATGCATCTCTTTATATATTATATAGTATTGTAATGCATCTCTTTATATTAATATTTTCCAATTTTACCCATGGTAATATAAATCCGGTGCATATAATTAAATAATTTAAATTACATTTTATAATGGGAGATCTGGAAAGGCATACTCTAAAACCTGGCCTGGCCCCTTTGGCCTGGCCTGAATTTTAAGTTGGCCTGGTTATCTTGGCCTCTAATTTGGCTTCAAACCAAATTTTTATGGCCTCAAAAGTTGGCCTGGCCTCAGATTTGGCCTCTGTAAAAATTTTTGGCCTCACTCAAAAATCAATTTCTTTTTCAGAATTTGATTGATTTCATTGATTTTTTATTGGTTTCATTTTTTCAAACATTAAGCAGGTAAATAATATATTTCTGTTGATATGTAAATGCTAACATTAAAAATAATCGTGTACTACCACCAATTTGATTTATTTTATTGATTATCAAGGTGATTCAGTGTACACTTATTTCATTTTATGATTTGATGACAGGTATTTTATACTGACACTACCTACACTCTTGCTTAATTATTTAGAAAAAAGTATAAGAGTTTATTTGTGTGTTTTCCAAATTGTGCACATTGAAAAAAAATCTCTAGTAATAATTCATGTCAAATGTCATTAATAGCTTTGAAAAATTCCCACTTGTTTAGTGATAAATCATCACCTTTCACACACTGTAGAGAGTTTTGTTACTGTTATACCTGCATCATCTTAAATGTGACATATAAATACAGGCACTAAAGAATTTTAAAATAAATATACTACCATATACCAATGCAAATACCAAAATGTTTATATTATACTGATTTGATTACTCTGTTAAAAACTCACATGTACTTAAATCTAAGAACAGTTGGTATTTAAAAAATAATATAAAAACATTATCAGATAATTTATAACTTTCTGTTCCTGTGCGCGTAACACTGTAATTGGATATCTAATGACAAAAAATTCTGCAGCAAGGTTTCTTGACAGGAGATAAGGTTGAAGTAAATCAGCAATGAAATGTATATGTGCATAGGCTGTTAAGCCATCCAGAATTTGTAAAGAATTTCCTGCTACAACTTTCACTATCTACAATTATCAAAACAAAAGTTGAGTTTGATGATAGTTTATTAACATTTGTGCTGTAAAACAATTGAATCCTATCAACCAGACCATTAGAACCCTATTATATAAAATGTGGCCAATTACTTGTATATCATAGTATTGAAACATTTAATTTCTATCAGTTTGTAAAAGTAGTCCACGTTATCAAAAAGATTTTTTTTATTCTGAATAAAGAGTTTATAAGACATGTAACAAGTGATACTTTAAATAGCAAATTTAAAATTCTGTTTAAGTCTTTGGTAATTACTACCCATCTGCATTTCTTTGCTGTCTTGATAATTTAAATCGATGTTTCAAAATGTTTTACGTTATAAAATCATCAATCCTACTATGAAAAGTCTTCAGAATTGCAACTGATCAATAGAAAATCAATAAAATAAATCAGATTGGTGGTAGTGTATTATTATTTTAATGTTCACAGCTACATATCAACAGAAATATATTATTTACCTGCTTAATCTTTGAAAAATTGAAACCAATAAAAAAATCAATGAAATCAATCAAATTCTGAAAAAGAAATTAATTCTTGAGTGAGGCCAAAATTGAGGCCAAAAATTTTTACAGAGGCCAAATCTGAGGCCAGGCCAACTTTTGAGGCCAGGCCAAAAGTTGGTTTGAAGCCTTTATAATTAGAGGCCAAGATAGAGGCCATCCTTTATATTAATAGGCCAGGCCAGGCCAAAGGGGCCAGGCCAGGTTTTAGAGTATGCCATCTGGAAAGCATCTGAAAATGAAATATGTTCTTGTTATTTTTGTCTATTTTTTCATATTTATGACATAAGAACACACAACCTTTTCATTTATAACAGGTTATTGTCCGTTTTCATAAAACAATGAATAAAAAATATTTACAAATCAGAGAAAATATTTTCATTATGTATTGCTCTTAGTGCACCCAAGAGACCTCTCGTGTAAAACCAAAACTGTTTGACTGAGAGCTGTTATCAAAGATGAAAGGTCATTAAACAAACAAGCGTAATTATTGTAATGAAAAACAGACACGGAAGAACAAAAGAAAAGTACAGATACCTGTTTCACAAAATTAAAAAAAAATGAATTGACATTTTCTATGCTTAATGACGAAAGTTTAGGATTTAATATTATTAAGGATAAACTTGGAAATTTGTTTACGACTTGTACAAACATTGTACGACTTAAAGTACTTGTACTTTATGATCATCTTAAACTAACAAAAACTTTTGAATATTATATATAAAATATCTAATGGAGGAAATGGAAGCTATTTCTGTAAGTTTTTATGATAAAAGCCAATTTGTGAACATTGATTTTTTTTTCAGTCTTAAAGTTCTGATATTAGAATCCATTTCTTTCTCGACCTTGATCTTTAATGGAATGGAATGTCAAATATAAAAATAAGAACACATCACCTGTGGTTGTAATTAAGATGCCGAAAATCAACATTTACAGCTTATTTTACTTACAACCTATATCAATCTCTCAGGTGTTTGAATTTCATCTTTGACTGAATTCCTTGATTGATTTTTATACCGTCAGTTTTTTCTGAATGATTATGAAAACTCCCATGGAGAATTATTTTTTATTAGCTCTGAGAAACATTAGGAAAGCTATTTGCCTATTAGATAAATACAGCAGTTTGTGAAGTTAATAATAAAAGACGGACGATGAACCTTCGAAACACTTAACCCGTAAATGTATTGTTTAAAATAAAACAATGTAATAAAAATGCTCACTCAGCAGGTATAGATGATTTTGAAATACAATTTAATGCAGTGTTGCTGGAGATGGAATAAATCTTAAAGATATATTCACACATTGTTAAATAATTCACAATTAATTGTATTCCCAGTGTTTAACAGCTGTGGAATTCGCAGAACGATATCTATATGTATTTTTATAACTCGAATAAACGTTCAAGTGAACAATTCATTGAAGAAAACCAGACATTTATTTAGTTTGTTTGATCATACACAAGTATTTTATGAAATAATTGTTGAACAAACATTGGCAAAATTCACTCTATAAAGCGTGATATTTATAAATATACTAAGTATTAATTAAAGGAAGGTGAATCGTACTTATCATCTGTTATAAAGAAATAAGATAATGATAAACCCGAAGAGAAAAAAGAAATTCATTCATACAAAAGGGATTATCTTATATGCTTTAATAGCAATACCATTTGCAGTGCTAAGAGTTGACTTACCGTCTAGGATGCTGTGCTCAGCCTCGATTTGCCAGTAAGTTATTCCGGAAGTCGACGGAGACAGGGAACGTGGTTTGTGTTGGTCAATCACCCGAATCCGGAAGTGAACTGTGAAAACAAAACATAAGAATGACGAATACCTGCACTTATAACTAAAATTATAATTGAATCAAATGTTTATTTTTAGAATGAAAATTAGTATATACCATCTTCTGTGACGCAATCTTCAAACAGCCCTTCTGCTACCAGGTAAGCCTCTAGTTCTTTATGAAATAGCCGTATTACAGATCCACCCTGAAAGAGAAATGTTCATATTTTTTTTTCAATAATTCATTTCATAAATCAAGAAAACTCAAATGAAATAATTATAAAAACTTTATCTGTGATTTCATTCGTAGCAAAATTTAGTCACCAATACGTCAGAGAAGTAATATTCGCTTACCCTGACAAATTTCTCTTGCTCCTGAAGTTCCCTGTAACTTCCTATGAGAGTAAAACTTGAACGCTCAACGCCAAGATTCAGTTCGGATCTAACAGAAAATAAAATAAAACAATGAATTTTCACTAAAACACACTTCTATATGTTAACAGATCGTTTAAAATGACTCTTAAATCTAATTTTCAACGTCATACAGCAAAGATGTAAAAGCATTCCTTCAATGTGGAAACATAATTACGGTATTTTGTCGAATTTATTTATAAAGTATCGTCAGAATACTTAAGTAATGAATCTAGTAAAATGAAAACTGTATCTTGAGCTTAAAATTACAAAAAGTTTACATCAGAATTTTATCTAACTTATGAAGAAACAAATCAAAATGAATTTACCCATAAGAAAAATGGTCAATCTGGAAAGGCTCACTCGCATGAAAGTAATGCCCATGTGACTTCACACTTTCAAAGACAATTTGGTCAAAGAGTTGAACCTTAAAAAGCCAGATAATTCTTTTTATAGGCAGAGAAACAAGGGAAGATTTTCCATTTACTAAGAATTTTTCTGTCTCTGCTGAGATTGCATTAAGCTCCACTGGTTTGTACAAAGTCAACCTGGACTAGAAACACATTTGTTCCTATTACGATTACAGAATCAAAGATGCTGAAACTTCCTTTAATTATACCAAGTACCCTTAATTTTGTTGGATTCAAATAAAAATATGATTAACAGCAGTTTGGAAGATTTTCTCGTGTTCTCTTAGTCGATATTGCACTGACAAGAAGAATTATGACATAAAGTTCAATAAAATTGTGTAGCAGGTTTTATTAAATCAGACCAAAAAGAAGAAGTGAAGCTTTTAAGAGGAATCCACACATTGATATATAATCATGTGTATTTTACCCATAATGGAAACTTTTTTCATCGTAAAGATCACATTGTACCAAGGTAAGGTATATCCGTATTCCTTTTAAGTTTTAGTGGCAATTAAGACGGCATTGCAAAATAATTTTTTAGTTTTCCCCTATAAGAGCTAGCAAAGACGGACAGACACGTAACTTTTAAAACAAAGTATGTTTTCATTTATATTACACAGGAGAGGAAAAAGTTATAATTAACTCGTTTGAACCAAACTCCTTTAAATAATTATCTGAAGCCTTTTTGTGTAATTGCACTCACTATTTCTCCTTCTGATTTGACCTTGTAACGCGGAAGGATTCTGAATTGGGCGTTCTTTGCGTTGTACTCATGGAGCGACACCTGTAAAATGGAGAAAATGTAATCCCACTTACATATATTGTTTTTAGGAAACCTCCGAAGGAAGATTCATTAACACAGTAAGATATGAAATTAACCTGAGATATGCCCATCATCTAGCTTCTTGCTATGACGAACAATAATAGATTTATATTTCAATGATAGAGAATATATATATGAATTGAAATTTATTGTTAAGGATCCTTTGCTTTGTGTTTATGTCTTTTTTGATCATTTACCTTCAAAAAATATTATCAAACAGAACATTTTCCTAGACTTACTTATCCACTTTTCATGAAAGGCTGTCTTAGGCCTTTTTGAATATTTGAATTTTTTTTGGATTAATATTATACAAATAGTTTACACATGTAAATGTACTAAATAATGGGAAGCAAACATATAGAAGAAAGAGGGGAAAAGAGAATAGAAAAAACAGCCTAGGCAAATTGTAATTGTCAAAACATTTTCACATAATTTTTATTGTAACACATATAATCTATATTGAGATTAGAGTTTTATAACATATTCCTAGTATATTCTTGTGGCAAATATTTGTATAGTCATTTTAAATTTTTTATCATAGATTCATGAAGTCAAAGGCATTACTGTTTGGAAAACGACTGAAGTATTTCTATTCAGCTTAAATCACAAATCCATTGCCGTTAACAACAATTTATGAAACTCTTTGAAAAAATTACATGAAACCTGCACTTGGGTGTTTATTTGTAAGACATAAATAAATTTATTTTCGAGTTAAAACTTCCTCGATGACGTAAATTTTTGGATAGGAGAGGAATGGTTTAGCTCAAGAAAGACGACATGTGTAAAATCGATGGCAGCCATACCCCGCTGCCGAACTGACTGACCTTCATGTTGTTTTTGTCCTTCTGACTGGTTTGTGTCGTACTCATGTGAACAAACTTCCCCGTAAACACATGTTTCAGCTGGTAAAAAATGACAGAGATAATTCATTTTCATTTAGAGGAAACGCTGCAAAAACAGCAGCATGTTGAGCAATGACAAATATGATTTATAAGAGCCATTGTTCAACCAAAAACGCTAAGTCTTGGAAAAGAACGACTTAATTTTGGTATGATGATGTTTGGTTATTGCAAACATTGCTTGAATAACTTTCTCCTTAGAAAGTCTTTTGCACTTGCAAATTTGATATTTTTCTTCTATGGTGCACAATTGCTTTTGACTGTAACAAGTCTATTTGTTCCTTCTAACCTGTACAACTTCTCCGTATCTCACACGCTTGCCGTGTTGTCTCTTTTGCTCCGCCTCGTTGTCCTTGTTCTCTGCTTCTGCTGCTAACTGTGTCATAAAATATTAAAATTACCTTGTCATTTCTTTATTAAGATGAAATTGTCATATCAGAAATAGAACATCGAGGGTATGTTAAACTTTATGGGCCATGCTTTGCAGACATTAGCTTAAAGAAATTCTAGATATGAAGTATTGTATTTCTCTCGCAATCGAATAACAATGTTGCAATGTTTTCAAGAAGTTTTTAGGGTACGAGGTACTTCGTAAAGAATTTATTTTTTGTTTCAGGTCAGAATTGACTGAGACTGATACCTTGGTTTGTTTGAGCAGACCTCGTTTTGTTTCAGGTCAGAATTGACTGAGACTGTTACCTTGGTTTGTTTGAGCAGACCTCGTTTTGTTTCAGGTCAGAATTGACTGAGACTGATACCTTGGTTTGTTTGAGCAGACCTCGAGAACAAGGCTCGGGATGTTCTGACTGAATTGAATTTATCCATTTCCTGTACTTCTTGTTGAGCTTGTACCTATTCTGGATGCACACTTGGAATACCACCACTGAAACAAAGGTTAGTCATCGATAACATCGATTAACATGAAAAAAAAAAACAATATTCCATCCTGTCTAGCATGATAGTCAGATATACTGAGTTATGAAACGAGTGCAAGTGTGCTTAATACAGTCAAGTTTAGTCTGAAATTAACAATGCATAGAATACTCCCATTTATTTCTAGTACATTATGTCAAGAATCTCAGGAAGTATCCAATTTAAAATCAATATCATTTAAATTCTAAACAAATGTCAATTTCTGTTTATCATAATTGTGCGATTTTTGTTGACATATTCCAATGTTACGCCCTCGTAATGACTAGTGTCAAATTCAAAATAACGAGTGTCACTCTTGCAGAGTACATTGTTTCGGATTACAGGGGTGAGATAGATGTTTGCAGAATAAAGTGCAAATTGTTGATATTCGGCTGACACTAATGATAAAATCGGGACCATCACTACAAACAAAATTGAGATGAAAATCAGCTAGAAAAAAAAGTTATCTGAATAAAACGAGCTTTAAGTGCACAATTCTCACTGTCAACATAACACGTTTTTGCTATCAGTACTCACTCAACTTTTACCAATCATTAAATTTTCGAAATAGAATCGACACTTGTTTGAAAAGATCTGAAATAAACATTTGTGAAGCTATTTCTACTCTTTAAATTACATCATGCCTACAAATATCTGTGATATCTTCTAAAATCAATATTCCTATTACATAAGAAAGGAATTTACAAAAGTTGGAGGGAAGATAAAGATAGCTGCTTTGGAAGGGGGTTGGGCATTATGATATTCGAATATTACGATAAGAAATTGTTATAGAGGGAGAGAGAGATAAGATTTTATGCTGCTATGAAAAGCTTTAAAATCCCTTTTGATTACTGCAAATCCCTGCGTATATGTAAATTCAAATACTCGACATTTTTTCTTCATTATCTTTAGGCTTCAGATGAAGCAATACAGTCATGCCTTTTTTCTCTCTTGTCTAAAGTTAACAATTGCAAAAACATTACAACTCTTATCCATGCAAGAATATCACTTTGTCCTCTTACCTTGGGGGTTTGGGATATTTCTTGGCCTATTTCGCTCTTGGTTTGTGTAAATGTATAACCCGTTATTGGAGGAACTGTAAATATCAAAGAACAATCAGATTGACTTGTTTACCATATTCAGAAAAAATAAATAATTGTTTTACTTGACTTTATTCATAAGCCTAGTAATATCAAATGGAGATATAGGATAAAGCGCAACCTTTAATGTTGCAATTAAAGAAACCTTCAAGCTATACAAAGACATAAAATGCATGTTTATTGCAGCAATATGCATGATATCGGATTGATAGATAAAGACAAAGCTTAAGGCTTCTCGAGGCTTTTGTGATGAAAGAAGCTATTGAAACTCTTTTGAGGCTCTTAATGCTATTAGCAGTAAACAATTATCTGATACTTGTAGGGGATTACCGAACAAATTGACTCAGGCATTAACTGTCTGTTTGTTTTATCCTGTCACATCAGCATTTGATTATGGAATCAGCGTGACGTTTATAAGTGTTACCGAGGTTTCAGGATACCAATACCTGAGTCCTCGACATTGTGTGACCATTATCAGAAAGACTTACCAATTTCAAAGTGAAACCAAAAGGAAATGAAAGAGGCTTTTACTCTATAGATTAAAAAAAAACTGGTTTCCTTTCTACATGCACTTTGATGATATCTACTTCTGAAATCTGCTGTGGAATTCTTGTTATCAGATTTATTAATCTCACTCTGAACACTTAAAATTACTCTTTATAAATATCTGTTCCACGGTATGCAGTTAACATACTATTCACAAAGCCTCCAAGACATGCTGCTGGGTCTATGTGCTAATGGTTTTTGAAGACAATTAGTGACGTGTGAATGTGTGTCGATGATTAATAAAATATGGATCATCGAAAGGTATCCTTGTCATCTATGAAGTTTGTTTTTATGATATCAGTGTATTGATATCAGCATCACATTTATTTGTATACCTATAGCACCTTCTTCAACAACGCTACAGCTACCAGTCTTGCACAAATCCTTGATATTGCATTGTTTATATTTATTTTGCGTAACCTTTGCAAACCAAACAGATCGGTTCTTACACGTGTTTGCAAATGTTTTTCTTATTTTTTACAAAAACTTTATATTCTCTGGTAATAAATATTTAACACAATTTTATTTTTTTAAGAAGTTTTTTTTCAATGAGAATATATTTCTATCAGAAAAATTGCTTGGTTTATTTATTAGTTTACGTCATTATTTGATTTGTAAAGTACATGGTTCATCAATAAAAATATTCCAAATGAAAAAGATATGAATTCCTTTTTCCATGCTTGTGAATTAGAAGGCATTTAGTCTGACCTACTGCTTTCTGTGTTATAATCATTAGCCCATTTTCAGGCCAAGTGTATGCACTTTTTACACGAGATGCAGCGCTTTATTTTTTTAATCAAAGAAAACAAAGAATTTTAACCAGGAACAATGCAGTCATGATCAGCCAGCTCGGGAAATGTTCATTATATGAGTTAAGCATATTCATTTTAAAAAAATGAACAACTCACAAAATATTGGCATTTTTCTAAGTGTCGACAAACGATTATATAATTCTATTAAAAGATATGTTCCAATATATGACAATTTAACATTACGTACAAAAAGCGCTAAAAAGCTGCTGATTTTAAAGGAAAAAATTTTAGCCCAATAGTGAAATTTTTAGCAAGGGTTTAATTAATATATAAAGAAAAACGAAATTATTAAATCACAATATAAGAGCACTGTATTAACGAAATTATTATATTTGAATGAAATCGAAATTATTATATAACAATAAATTCGAAATTAATATATGCGAAATTATTGGAAAAACGAAACTAAAATACATGTATCGTTCGAGATGTTTGGAAAACATATCCAAAAAGTGAATTTAACCTAAAATTACTTGAACTAGCCTGTTTTCTGATTTTTAAAGGAAAAATTAAAAGTTTTTGCTGTAAAATAATACCTCGACATTATAAAAAATTTTTAGTCAAAGAGGTTACAAGAAGTAGATTTTAAATATATAAAGCAAATCACCTTCAGCTGATTCCTTGGTCTTATCAACGCATAATTAGAGGTGATGTACTGGCTACTAGTACTTGTTCTCACATATTATAAATGTCAAACTCTCAAAAATTGTGATGGTTCTCATATATTTTAAATGCCAAACTCTCAATTTGTGAAATATACATGCAAATCAACAAAGTAATTTTTTTCTTTTTATATATATTGGGTACACAGAAGTTAACGTGGGAATCTAACGCAAGGTCCTGACCTTTTGCGATTCAAAATAGTCATTAATTTTTACAAAACTAATGACACACATAACAAATCAGTTAAACAATTATTGACTCAAACATTATTGAAGTAGTTTCAGTTGATATTTTCTCTTTCTCCCTAACTCTCCTTTTTATTTAATAATTTCGTTTTTCTTTTTTAATAATTTCGTTTTTCTTTATATAATAATTTCGTTTTTCTTTTTTTAATAATTTCGTTTTTCTTTATATAATAAATTCATTATATATTAAGTTTTCCTTTATTTAATAATTTCGTTTTTCTTTATATATTTATTTCGTTTTTCTTTATTTAATAATTTCGTTTTTCTTTATATATTAATTTCGTTTTTCTTTATTTAATAATTTCGTTTTTCTTTATATATTAATTTCGTTTTCCTTTATTTAATAATTTCGTTTTTCATTTAAAAATATATTAATTTCGTTTTTCTTTATTTAATAATTTCGATGGAAAAAAAAAATCAACTTTTTTCTTTTTCATATAAAACAAAAGTACAAAAAGCTTTTACAAAACTAATGACAAATAATCAGTGACTCAAACATTATTAAGCCATGACTTATATTTCCCGAAATTCTATAGTTCCGTGGACCTAAATTCAAAAAATAATATTCGAAAAAAAAAACAAGAAAACAAAAGTACATTTACAACAAGATTGTACTGTTTTTGCAAAGAACTAAGATTTTTGAAGATTTGTCTAGGGAAAAAATGTAGTGAAAGGTTATGTAGTCTTCTTTATTGCCTTATATTTGTTATCAACATGGATCAAGTGAACTTTTTATTTCTCAATCGAACTTCTGACCGACGTATTAAAGATAAGCGAAACACTTTATCTATCAATGAAATCAATAAACAGACTGTGAACAGAATATGATCTACCAATTGTTTTCATTAAGAACTGACATAATTTATCAAGCCTACTGATAGAGAAATTGCTTAATATAAACTCTTTTCTTTAATTTATAGTAAACACCCATTAAACTGCCCGAAAATTGGATTAAAGATAGATCGTCAAACATATGGAATCATGTTTATAATAATAAAAGACCATTCCTAAGACATAAAATAGCCAAAGGGCAATCAATTTATCTATAATGTTCTTTCTCTGAATCTGTTTTTTTTTTCTGATGAGAAGCAATGATCATCCAGCTATATTAATAGATGTCTCTTAGAGAAACAGACTGACCCCAGAACGCAACACCTGGAATAGCTGTTAGACCATTGTCTTAATGCCAGAAACAATCCCCCCACATATTTGTATTTCAGCTTTTTTTCTTTTTTTTTCTTTTGATGGACCATTAAGGTGTCTAAGTCTTATCTGAGGTATTTTGATGCTTCTGTACCTAAAATCCTTGCACAACCATTTTGTTAACATTAAAATTCAAAAATAGTTTACATTTATTATGATTGAACAGTTTGGAAGCTGATTTATGGATTTATTTATATCTATTTATTCGCTTTACCTATGGATAGTAATGCCATTTTTTTAAACATAAAAGTATCCTATGCTGTGAGCATACTATAAATCATGTTCGGAAATCGTTTCAGCAAGACATTTTCCAATTGTCAAAATAAAAATTTTCCCAAGAATACTCTGAGTAAATTAAAGACAAAAGATTGCGAATTGCTTCATCAATCTATATTATAGTTTTTGTTAAAATTTCGATAATGCTTAAATGACTATTATGTGTATGCATTTTATTCTTAACAGTTCACATTGAACATTGGGTGAATAACTTTACTTAACAAAAAATATTAAACAAACATGTACTAAAGCAACTATTTTTTTGTTGTTGTAAATTTAAGAATATGTTAATAAGCATGGTTATAATGATTCGAATTCTTTTTAAACTGTGAGCTAATTTTTCTGTTGAAAAGCAAATGAATTCTTTAAATTTCTATATAAAAAAATCTATTTCTGAAGTCATATATGTTGTAATTCTTTTGCAGTTCGGGGGAATAAATGGGAACAATGAGAAAATATTGAGCATAAATTTTCCTGATATATAAGTTCATCCCTAAATGTGCCTAAAGATTAAACCCTTATAATGATTATGTTGACAATCATCATGAGTAGTATAAAACAGCACCTAATCCCACCTCTGATTCTTAGGAGGTCCGTGTTTGTGCTTCTCCTATTTTGTATTGAATATCTCATAGACTTTTGAGCTAGAATAATATTCGTTATCTCCATATATTTCATCCAAAATTATGGATAAAGTTAAAAGTAACGAAAGAAGTTCGGGGTGACATGTTTTAAATTACACTTTTGTGTAAGTGTCTCCCTGAGTTTCTGGGTTTCTTTTTCTCTTTTTACCCCTAACCATTTGGAATGTTGCATTCACACCTAGTCTTGGTGAAAGCAATTACAAAGGTTATATATCTATAAGTACAGTTGTTTTAAGTTTCGGAGATACAGTGTATTTGCTGTTTACGGCTCTCTGGAAATATATCATTTTTCTATTAATTTAATTTGCAATTTTCTGTGCAAGCGCCATCCTTTCTTTCCAAAAGAAATTAATTTAAACAGTATGGTGGACAACTTGAGGCCGAGCACGTACCTGGACTGGGAGCTGTACACATATCCCTCTGTCTCCTCACAATACAGACAGATATAGTCTCCAATACACAGATACTCGCCCATGCCAGGTTCTTCACTACAGCCATGAAGCTAAAAAAAAAGACAGAAATACAATTATCACAGGACAAAAAGAAGAATACAATTACTGTAGGACAAAAAAGAAAGTAATACAACTGCTGTAGGACCAAAAAGATAGAAATACAATTACCATAGAGCAAAACAGAGAGAAATACAACAACTGTAGGACAAAAGGACGAATACAATTTCTGTAGGACAAAAAAAGAACGAAGGACTCATCCATCAACTCTGAAGAAGGTTTTTGTATCTCAGCAGTCTGTGTAGATATTTTTCTTGGATGAGAGGAAAATGAGAGCAGTTTTGATAGTGTTTCAATGTTCAATAATAAAGTGATTATAACATATCTTAATTTTTCATCTTCTTCCATTATGTCATAAACTGATTAGTACCCTGATAAGAAAATAGAAAACGTGTGGTTTCATGAGGTTAAACTTTTTCACTTCTTGCAACATATCGCGTAAGAGTGCATATTGCCTTTCTTATTTACAAGTACTTACCCATAAATTTTTATGTAGAAAATTCACTTAAAAATGATAAAGTACATATTATTAAAGCACTCTCTCAGAAATGAACCAAAAGAGTAACTTTTGGGAAACCTTTTTTCCTGTCTGCAAAATTGAATATAAAGAGAAAAAACTTGGAACCATGTTGGTTTCAATTAGGCGGTGTGAAATATGCATCAATTGAAGTGGTGTTTGTAGATTTGTCTGATACAAAGAAAAATGAATTGTAGACCCATTTCTTCCTTGTTTCCACTAATTAGTATGAGATCTCAAAATCATCTGTTGTTTGATTATGTTAACAGAAAACAAGATCACGTAATGACTGAAAATGAAAGGTGAAGCAAAGATTTTCTATCATCTTAACATTAATTGCAATATTAATGAAGAAAAGGTATAAAATTATTAATATTGTTGACTTTGTAACTGATTTGCTCCTCAGAAGATATTTGCAAAGAGGAGCGAAAAGGAGCCACAAGGTATAAAAGAGTTTGGCATAATGGTTTCTTTTTTACTTGTATAACATGCATTTATATTGCCCTAAAATGTTACAAGTATCTCTTCGCATCTTCAAATGGGCTTAAAAATTTAAAAATGGTGATTTTAATATAAACATTAAAAAATTGCATATATAAATGTACAAAAAAAATTCTTCTTTGAACTGTTTTTGACATGCAGAGGAATTCAGGAAAGGATGAAAAAGTCAAAAATCACTGTTTTCTACAGATGAAATCATATTTGACATATTTCCCATAAAGAGCTTAGATTTGCATATAATGAAATGCCCTTGATTTGGAAAAGCGTGTTTTTGCCATATAATGACCCTTAAGTTGGCGGAAAAACTAAAGACTAAAGACTGTTGTATTATTAGCACTTGACACTTGTTTGCAATCTTGACCGAGTGGAAGACGTCCGTAGGAGAGAATACAGTGGTTTTTGAACAGTCTTCACATGAATACAAGTACATGTTAATATTAAGAATTACACATTTTCATAAAAAATGAACGACCCTTAAATTTTACTTATAAGCATCTGATTTTTTGTTTATCTTGAAAAGCAATTAAATCTGAAAATTGTATAGTGCTGATCCATGATTTTAAGTATGTCATAATCAATATTTATTTTACATTTAAACAGCTTGAATTTGTCGTCTGAACATTATGAAAACAGAGAAGATTCAAATTAACATCAGGAAAAAACCCCAATAAAGTCAAGGAGAAATTGAAATTGAATCACAATTAAGTAAAATAATTGGACCTTAAAAAGTTACCTGTAATCAGTAAAAATTGAATTATCATTACTCCTTCAAAGGTCCAATGAATAAGATATGATCCAACTGCAATAAATATTCTATCATGTCACAGATTTGTATTTTCCAAATCACTTTTTTTTAAATATGAATTGATTTGAACACCATAAAAAAATCCAAAGTCTAAGAGTTGAAATACTCGCGCTACTGACGCAAAGATAATTCTATCCTTGTAACTATTGCAATGGCCGGTAACTTGTCTTAAATATGACGTCGATAATCGCGCCTCGCGCTCGCAGCAGACGACCCAACGGTTGCTGCTGATTTATTTAAGAGGTTAAGCTTTTGGATGAGGATTATGGAAGCTTAGCACCTCCGCCTTTTCTGAAATTGTTTACTTATGATAGTAATATAAATATATCTCAAATGATTTTAACACTTTGCGTTTAATCCAGTTAATAGTGTCTTACACCCCGTTTTCCCATCGCTCCAACTGAAACGAAAAATAGTTCAAATTGACACCATATAAGAAGGTCTCATAAAATATATGAAAATCTCATAAAAATAGAAAAGGAGGAATTGCAGATAAGAAACGGGTATCCTCAATGTCATAGAAAAAATGGCTTTGTTCATATTTTGGTGTGAGATTCACTAAATATTTATTTAATTTTAAAATGTAAAATATGGGTTCCACAGGATCACTATGTAATGATCAAGATTCTGTGAAAGTCTCATTGTATTTTATTCAGTGGTATAAGATAGAATTTACTGCTATAATAAGTGCACCTTTGATGTTACAGACGGACGATCACCCCCGTCACTATAGAGCACCCAAATTTCCAGTGGGAACATGTAAAAAGAATTAAAATCTATTCACTCCAAGAATCCATTTACTTAAAATTGATGAAAATAAAAAGTATTGAAAAGAATATAAAAACGGTTTCTACTCATTAGATCTCTGTTAACATTGGTGGTTATATAGAACTTGACCTGGTTTTAAGATAATTGCTTTGATCAAAATATATCAATATTTATCATCAAATTCCATTGAAAATAAAACGTCACATTAATTATTTTACCCAAATAAAACACAGGATAAAGATCGACTGTTAGTAGAATCAGGACACTGTATATTTTATTTTTATGAGCATTTGTTTTTCCACAGAGGATTTTACGGTATCTTAAATAAAAGCTTGAATTAGCGTCTGTATTTTTAAAAAAAAATTATCTAAAAAGATTCGATGAAAAAACATTAGTCAAGAAATTTTCTGTGATTTGAAAATTTTCATGAAAAGGTTTTTCAATCTAAAAAAAAAAGTCAAATCGTTTTCTTTTATTGTTATGAGTTTGGGGTTCGGGGAGGGGGAGACGCTTCCCAAATAGACGGGCGGTCGAGCAACCGATGTACCGCAACATCCAAGGTAAGTAGTGGACTTTTATTTTATAAATATCTTAAAAAGAGGTCAAGAAAACAAGCAGATTAGACCTATATATTTGAGGTAACCTTTGACCAAGATTCTAGCGATTATAAAGTTCATAAAGAAAATTTAGATACATGTATATATCTACGCTTGCAACTAATTCTGTATCATAACAAGAATCTCTAATGCCGTAATTAAGTCTATAAACACAACATAAAACCCCAAACACTAATGCTGTGCTTGGTATTTAAGGTAGCCTCTGATGCTTCCCATTCACACCTCTATTTTGTTTGAGTGTGTCCCACCCCATGAAGATCTGAGACGACCTCTCAAGCATCAAAGTCACAGAAGCTCAACCTACACATATCAAATATCGGAACGCCAAACTCCGTAATTCCAATCAAATAACGCCATCGTCCAATATTTCTGAAGTTCTCCTGTGATTCATTGCCGTGCTAGAGGAATGCATAACCAAAGGGAGACAATAAGACTCTGATTATGTAAAGGTTACGTCAAATTCTGACGGATAAAGATTTTAATTCTCATACAAATATGATGAATTGCCTTTATTAAATTCATTTTTAAAGATAAAAATAAGAGAAATCACAAAATTTACTCATAATGATGTAATACTGGGAACAAAGCCGTAGTTCAATCTCTATGAACCATTAAAAGCAACATTGCAATAAAAGCAATATTGACTGCCATTTAAGATGTTAATAAAACATTAAAAGATTTATATTCGCGCATAGACAGTTGTTGAAGCGTTTGTTCTAGAGTTGCGAGAAAAGGAATCGGCACTTTCGGGGTTCGAACCCACTGCGGGATTGGAAAGCGGTCCTTAGTATGAGACAGTATAAATCGAGGTCCCCTGTCGCAGTAGGTACTGGAACGTAAACAAAACCTCTCATTAATACAATGCCCTGAGTGCCATTAGTCTATACTGTAGGTCTAGAATTTGAAGTTCTTCGCCGGCAAGTGGTGACGTCTCGATATGAGTGTAAAAATTCTTGAAAGGTTTGTTCCCTTTGTTATAATGAAATTAATAATACTAAATTCCAAAATTTACATGTATATTTACATTATTGTTACGTCAAAAACATAACGTAATGACTTTCTGAATACCCGCATGCAAGAATGGGCGTCTTTTTCTGTTTCGATAGTACTTAGTATTTTGATCCGATTTTTATCTTTTTCCTCGGTCATCGTCTTCCTCATGCTGTCTCTCAAACTCACACAAACACACACAGGAAAAAACATCCATGATATTTGTTCAAGACTGCACGATTGAATTTTAACGTATTAACCAACTCGCAGCACTTTTTCAATTTTTTGGGATTATTTGTCTTTTTTGTTTCTGATTATGATACGTTTTTATGACTTCATGAATAAAGAAAATGTTACAGAATGACACGTGGGATTCAGTAAGAAAAGTTGGAAACAAAATAACCAAACACGGAGAAGTTGCCAAAAGGACAATGAGCACAAAGAAGGTCCTTTATTGCATATTCTTCTCTTGTAATATTTTGCACACTCATACTAGTATTTGTAAGAAAATCATTGTCCATAACAAAATGTCATGTAACTCCTGACATATATCACGGTGTGATTTTTACACGAAAAACAATTTTAGTGACATTTTAGCTGACTTTGAAAATCTAACATTTTAAACAACTTGAGGCTTTAACTGGTTTAGGTCTGAAAATTAATTAACAATTCAAAGGTTTGTATATCATATTGAGCATATTTGACAGTTTTTAGAGCATTTTTCATTCCTGCATTATGAAGATTCTTAGACATAGATATCACAGTGATACATAACATTTTTATAATCATTGAACA